ACCCAGCTCCCGTTTCTTCAAACCCGCCATGCATTGAAGAATTTCCCAAATCGGATTTTCTTCACATCTGATGTATGTCTCGACGCCCTGGCTCTTGCCGAAGTCGTTTCAAACTCAGTCAGAGAGTCACTAGATACATACATAGTGTGATGAGGAGTCCGAGAGATAATGATTAAGAACGTGCTACAGACTTCTTTGTATTTTGTTCAATGACGTTCAAGAGGAAACGCAAAGCTAGAGATATGTCACATGAGAATTTCGTCGGCATGAATCCCAGGCGCAGGCGCACTGCTCCTGCAACTTTTATCAGGGAGTGGAAAGCCCAGCTGTATTACATTGATCAGCTCGAAAAATGAGCATACATGTTGGAGATAAGGTGATTGTATGGGCCGATCGGCCAATAAATTATTATTCTCTACCGAAGCAGATGTATTTGTTTGCGGTTGCAAGTTGACCAGGTGGATGGATATTTCTTTTGGCCTGAAATGCCTCAGCTGGATCACGTTCATAATTTCATCGAGGGGTTGATTAGCAGGGGCTTGGCTGTGCTTCGTATTTACATAAACATGACCAACTCGAGTGTGTGTGACAAGTGTGACATCGATCTACAATCCTGGGGCTTGGACTGGTTGTAACACGATTTATCCAAGGACTGCCAGGAAAAGGCCATGGCTGGAGAATAGCGTAAAGCAAGCAGGACACTTCCAATGACGGAGGGGAAAGAAGGTGGACACCAATTCAAAATAAGAAACACGACCCAATGCCCAAATCAAAACAAGCAACAGTCCACCCCTTTCCCTTCAGTGCTCACCAACCAGCAAGCAGCAGCAGCAGCAGTGCATCAGTCCTTCTCAGAGTTACCTTTATCTGGCCTTCCCGCTTCTCTTCCTCTGCATAGCTTGTAGACCTGCACCAACATCCCTTCTGCTCTATAAATCATCCTCACAGTATATTGTAGTAGAGTATGCTCAACTCTACCGTGATAATTCCTCATTGAACAACGCCAATTCCTTCGGAACTTTTCACATCCTTTCCGGTCGACCTCAAGGGTGAGTTGCTGACCGTGCTCGGGCCCGGCCGTCTTTTATTTTATTTTATTTGAGTTCGTACTCTTTCGTACCCCCTCTTCACCCATCCCATTTCTTTGGCTCAACCAAATCGATCATTCCTCTCGGAAAAAAGGCTTGCCTGAGGGTAACGCTGAGGACAGATGGCAGACAAAGTGTATATTGCACGAGTTCGCGTCCGCCCTGCCCTCCAACTGCTGTAGTTCTCTCATTTGATATACATAAATTGATGTACAGCCGAGGAGAGTGTGTGTGTCTACGTATGACTCTCATCCCCTACACCTCCCTCCACTTGGAAAGCGATAATGAGCTGTCGCCAGCGGGTAGCCGAATCAACTTGTGCTGCTCAGTTCTATTCTAATTTCTCATTGATTGATCAATAACCACGGATGCACTGCCCCAGTCGGGGCAGATGGATACTTCCATGTCAGCGCCAGTTTTCACGTTGGAATGATGATTTGAAGTTTTGTTTAAATATTAACAACTGTCAAGCTCCGAGCTGAGGCGTCCGTTTAAATATTTACTCACTCCCACACCCCAATTCACATTGGATAGAGACATGAGTACATACAATTAATTTGGACCAGGGGAAAGAATGCAAGTCAGATCAGATCTCGTATCCTCTTCCCCTGCTCCTCTTCCTTTGGGTGTCGAGTCGTAAGGCATAAATACAACACGTATTTTGTACATCAAAAAATTGCCCTTCAAACTGAAACAGTTCTCAGCTTCGGAAAAACGCGCGCTAGTGATGATTACTTCTCCTGCTACTTGAAGGTTAACTCAGACCATTCGTAATAAAATCAGTCGCATCTTGCGTGTTATGTACCCCAAATCGATTCTATCGATCTAATCCATCCATCCTTCTGGTTACGTCATATCAACCGCTGTAGTTACTCACTTATTCTGATTCTTGGCATTGGTTTCTCCTTCTCCAAGCTACCCCTCCGTCACCTTCGGCCTTCTACTGGCTCTAGATAAATGCTTGTAAAACATCACGAAACTCCGCTCAAAAATAAATCCATTCCAACAAAACTATTTCGGTGATACTGACTCCTTCGTTGCCTCCTGCTTAGGTTGCTTTCATTGGTTATTGTCAAAATCCGAACTGTATTGGATCCCAGCCAACAGGAATTGTCCTCAACGAACCTCCGATTTTTATTCTTTCTACTTTCTTCGAGATTTAATTACGTCAGCTCTGGTTAGCTGGTAAGTCTAGAGTAACCTTTACTTTTCTTTACTTTCTGCTGCTTCACACTTTTTCATCTCCTTTTCCATATTTCAGTTTCCAAAGACTCTTCAGCTATTTTATTTTACCGGCTATGCCCGTTGATGAAGACGAGTACGAACCGGAGAATTATAAAGAGTTGAATCACAATTAATCCAATACTTACACTCCCGTCGCGTTATTTTACCCAAGCTATATATTTTGGTGATACATAAACCCATGATGAGCCGGGTAAAGCAGATCTTTGCTGCTACTACTCCACAAACAAGATACAAAAGCACATATACATACCTCGACTCCGATAGCAGCGATCGAAGATCAAATAAATGTTTGATTGCTGTTCAAATTTTGCACCTCAGCTTTTTACTTGACAGATCCTACGTGTCAGATCCTACGCCTTGACCTGTGTATTGGTCGGTTCGAAAGGGCTGTTGACTCTCGTGTTCAACTCTTGGCATCTCCTTATATATTGAGCCTCAGTTGCCGCGTTCGTTTTCATTCTGCTTTTGTCGTAGAATACGCTCTGCAGTCATAGTTTTAATCTCATCCAAGCCGGTGAGTTCATATATCACGTAGCGTAGGTGTGCCAGCTTTCAGTCAGTTTCTCTATGAGCCCATCGGCACCCATATTGCTTTCTTCTTCCGCGTGGTGTGTGTTAATGCAGACCACGATCCACAATTTGTTTTCATGGTGCATTTTGCTGCCAGGAACTTCGAAGTTGTCTTCTCGCAAGACACCTACCGGTCATCAAACCACCGCCCAGGTGACGTCGGGATCATCTACCCATCACCCCAACCAAAATAAACCCACACAGTTCCCAACATCCGTGACGGTTGGAGTAGCACCGAGTGCAAACCCCCTCCCCCCAGCTCAGGCTGCACTGCGCTCACGCGGCTGGCAAAGCCTTGCCCCATCTCTTTTTTTACTCAATCCCCAGTCTCCACTGTCCATGATGTGGATTTGTTGGTGCCATTGATTTTACATCCCGCCTTATATATCCAAACACGGTGGGCAGCATAAGCAAGTTGACGAGTGTCTACAACCGTCAGTTTAGATCTGGGCGCTAGGACAAAGCATCTCCACCAGACTCCTGTTCCTCTCCTTTGGGGCATTTTATGTAGTAGCGTTGCTGACAACAGGACAGTCCAGCCACTATTGATTCACCGGGTTGGCATCCCATCCGATTTACTGGATTCATTCGACCCTCCTTGTTTTATCACCATCTTGCCCTTCATCATTACATCTTGTGCATGCCGTTTCTGCATGTGTATGTATCACTGAATCGAAACAATTAATCGGAGCCCGTCGCGTTGTTTATCAATCAAATCAATCTCGGCGCCATCTCTTTACAATCACTGCGGCCAGCCAGATTGTACACTTCGCATTTGTTCTGTACCAGCTATATTTTGGTCTTTCTTGTTTGTCTCATAGAAGACTTTCACCCTTTCCCTGCGTCTTTTATGAACAAAATTCAGCACATGGGCTGCTAGCTAACCTCACTATTGGTCTTCCTTCCTCAATTTCTGCCGACGTGATTGGCTAATGACAGACTGCACTTGAAATTCCGAGATGGTTGCTGAAGTTTCGACTGCTGCCATTCAGCCACATCAATATCATCACCTCAACCCTTCCCTCCTATCGACGAATAGATTATTACCGCAGATTTTAACCAACACTGGACGCTCCTCTTGTGCCTCCTCATCCTCATCCTCATCCTGTGGATCCAGCCCAGCTACCACTCATACCAGCGCCGATTCTTGGAATTTAAAACCTCAAACTATCACCTGCAAACCCAATCCGCCCCCAGCGCGAAGAAAAAAGGCAAGTCGAGCATGTGGGCACTGCCAGAAGGCGCATCTGACATGCGATGATGGCAGGCCGTGCCTGAGATGCACAAAGCGTGGGCTGTCGAAAACTTGCACAGATGGGGTACGAAAGAAAGCCAAGTACCTCAGTGACTATGACGACGCATTACTGGTTCGACCACGCCCATCCATCAAGAGAGCTTCTGAGGATCCCTTGGAAGTCGAAGATTGCAAGAAAGTCAAGGTCGCAACAGACGATCGTGACTGCCGCCTGAGTATCTCCTGGGCTGACCTGGACTTACTCGAAAATGTCGGCATTCCACAATATCCCAATGTCGAAACTTCAGTGTTAGCCGGCTGCGAGACTGTCGGTTCAGCCAATCCTACAAGTCAGACCTGGGCGCTCGGCGGACTTGAAGAATGGCTTGCTCGTTTCGAAAGTGGGGTCAGCCCAAGCAGTTCCGCCGCTCTCGACAACTTAATTAGTCTCCAAGAAAATGTCAAACAAGCCGACCAAACGAGTGAAAGTAGACAAAGAATGCAGGAATGGGTTACACGAATTAATCGACTTGTCGAAATCCGGAAACTCACCATGAACATCACTGCTGACGATGAATGGATGCTCAAGAGAAATCTTGACCGATCATTGATGGTATGTTTGTTTTCCTCGGCGACAAGAAGGTCCCGAATGAGAAACAGAATGTTGATTTTGTTTTCTCGTTCGTCTCATCATCCAATTTTTCGCCATCCTTTGGTCGCCTACATCAGGAGCTAGAGCGCATTATATCTCTAAGCGGAACTCCAACTATGATTTGGAATACTTCTGGTCAAATTTTAAAAGTCGGGGATGAATTCTGCATGTTAACTGAATGGAGTCGAGAGGACTTGGTCGGAAAGCACATCGAAACGGTAAGCAACTCACTTCCTACCCACCATGCAGCTGTTCCTCAAGGATTGCACCAACCTCTGGAGCTGACGTTGTCGAAAAACAAAAATTGTTGTGCACTTTTTACAGGTGTTTGAACCAGAAAGTTTGGAAGAATATTTAGATATGGTCGAGTCCAGCATATTTCCTGATCAGGAATCCAATCATCATCCGTCCCGCCCTCGGTCTCAAGGCTCAAAAACTTCTAGCAGAAATTTGCCTCAACGTTCTTCCTCATCAGCCTCTTCATCCTCAATGACATCATCCCCGTCCCTATCCTCGATTCCTTTGATAGCGTTATCACAAGCCTCCGATTCGAATTTGAGCCGGGGCCCGTATTCGAATGATCGCCCTGATCTGACTTCATCATTCGCCCAAAGCAAAACTAGCAATCAAAGCTATGGTGAAAGGGAATGCAAGGAAACCATCAAGTGGTTCGGGATTCGCAAAGCCTGCGGTCGAGAATCCATTGGTTGTAGTTTTTGTTTCAAAGTTCGAAAAGATTTGTGAGTCCTCGATATCACATAATATCTTCACTTGACTCAAAAGCAGTTTGAAATTATTGAAGACTCAATTATTGATCCAAACTTGCCTTCCATTCTATTCGTCAATGTTTTTTTAAGATTCGATTGTCCTTCAACCATCATCGGAAACTTCTTACCAATTTTAACCCGAGCGTCTTACACCGACCATTCTTCATGACCAGTCTATCTTGAAATGTCAACCAAATCCACGCGATCATCTCGTTTTCTGCATTCTTTCTTGTTTCCTGACATTCGTAGTTTTATGATCATTATTCTTTTTTGCCGTGAATATATGTCCCTCTAAGAAATAGAGCTGTGGGCACCTGGTAAAAATAATTATAGATCAAGGCTTACTCATAATTATTTCCTAGCCGTATATTTCTTTCTCTCTTTTTTCTTGACACTGACACAAACTTGCTCTCAAAGGTTGACTCCTATGTTACCCCATCTTTGTTTTTGTCCTAGATCGGTTTCCTTATGAATACCTCTCCAATTTTTTTTCCTTCACAAAACAGAAAACAAAAATTATGATATTTCTTTTTTTGTTTTTGGGTTTCATGAGTTTTTGGTAAATAGATTCTTTTATCTTGTTTTTTACCTTTCTTTCCACCCGTGATACTCCTTTTTTTGTTCTACCTAGAAGATGTGTAATTGTCTATGCACAGTAAAGTAAAATGGGTTCATTCACCAATTATTTCATTTATTGTAGAAAGTGTGGTATATGTGGGTTATTCAACATTTTTGTTGGTCTTTGTGCAAAGTTTTTTGTTACTATTGCTTTGGTTATTATCTGGGGGAATCACTTGTTTAATCCACCCTTTTCCATGATTTCTGTTTCTGCATTTATGTATCTTTCCAGGCGCAATTCTACCAGGATATTTTTCTGTGAAATTATTGGAGCAAATGTGGGTTAAAAACCAATTGGAATTAAGATCCTGTGTGGACACCGATGTACTAGTACTTGTTACCCCATAGCTCAGTGCCAATTTGCACTGCAAGAGAAAAGATCATATTTATGCAAATGTTGCATGATTTTGTGCTGACTTTCATTGTAACAGAATTAGAACATAACAGTGGCCATTCAATAGGGCCCAAATTACTGCCCATCTTCCTCAAGAGCAGAATTTTGATCAGGGCAAACACCTTGGCATCTATCTGAAAACATAACTTGGGAAGCATAATGATTCACTTTGAGAAGACAGCCTTCCAAAATCCAAATCTTCATTGAAGATACTGTAAAAAATGACAGCATCAAAATATCCCATGTGTGATTTTTTGCAGGATATACAAGCATGAATGTAATCTCTTGGCAGAGAGTTGAGCCCACAAGCAACATTGCACACTAAGTAAATTGTGTGCAAGTGGAGTGCAATATATGTACTAACAGATTTCCATTCCCTGGGGGTACAATGTGATTGCTAAAGCATCAATTATGAACTTTGGGTGGCTCACAGGTCTAACTCTAAAAGTGATTCAACAGTACTTAACAGGCTCCTTGCAGGGATTATTTCAAGAGGGGGAGATGATTGGATTGCCTTGCATTTTGCTTCCTACTGCAGACTTGGAAATACAGTTTCAGGTCAAGTGCAACACATATGTCTAAATTGGCCACAAGATAATTAGGGCCTGTACTGTAGGGCACAAAAATTCAATTTCTCAGAATTCATCTTCCTCAAATTTTGATATCATCAAAAGTGACCGTTGTCAACAGCCAGTTTTTGGCCCAAAGGTGAAGATCAATTCCATCAACACATCTCTCCTCTTTTTATCAGTTTTGATGTACAGTGGGTGGACCTTTTTTTTGGCTGCTTGTTTTGGATCCCAGAGCTTCAAAGCACAGGATTCAAGTCATGAAAATTGGTCAAGCGGTGCAGAATAGGTCTCAAAAAATGAATATGAAAAAATAAAAACAAAAAACAAAGTTTCAAATTTTGTGAAAAATAAAAAATAAAATTGATTTTTTTCAAAAAGGTTTGATATTCATTTTGGGGAAGTGAGAGTGCAGAGAGAAAGAAAGAATGGAAAATGGGAAGAATGATTATAAGTGAAAATGTTGGAAAAAGTGGTTACCAGATAGTTTTAACCAGTTGTTGAGTGGGGCATTCACCAGCTCACATTGCAGTGAAGCACTAGAATTTACTGTTTTGACTCCAATCTGGACAACCAACCTGGCTCAACCTTTTTTGGTTCCAATTTTTTTATTTATAATCAATCTTGCCATGTTAGACTCTTTGTTTCTCTCAGCACTCCCACTCCCCCAAAATGAATAACAAAGCTTTTGGAAAAAAACATTTTTATTTTTTATTTTTCACAAAATTTAAAACTTTGTTTTTTGTTTTTCTTTTTTCATATTCATTTTCTGGGACCTATTCTGCACCACTTCACCAAGTCTTGTGACTCAAAGTTTGTGCTTTGAAGCTGTAGAATCCAAACCAGGCAGTACAGTGGATGGACCATTATTTTTGGCTGCTTGTTTTGGATTCCAGAGCTTCAAATCACAAACAAGAATTCACAAGAATTGGTGAAGGGGTGCAGGATAGGTCCCAAAGAATGAATATGAGAAAATAAAAACAAAAAAAAACAAAGTTTCAAAATCTGTGAAAAATAAAAAATAAAAATGTTTTTTTCCAAAAGCTTTGATATTCATTTTGGGGGAGTGGGAGTGCTGGAAGAAAGAAAGAATGGAAAATGGAAAGAATGATTATAAATGAAAATTTAAAAAAAATGGTTACCAGTTGGTTTTAAACAGCTGTTGAGTAGGGCATTCACCAGCTCACATTGTAGTAAAGCACTAGAATTTACTGTTTTGGATCCAATCTGGACGGCCAACCTGGATCACCCTTTTTCAGTTCCAATTTTTTTTTCATTTGTCATCATTCTTGCCATTTTCCACTCTTTTGTTCTCTCAGCACTCCCACTCCCCCAAAATCAATAACAAAGCTTTTGGAAAAAAACATTTTTATTTTGGGTCTTAGTTAAACGAATCCCAGAAATTGGAGTTCCGACTCCCAAATTTCTGGGATGTTGAGAGGACTGTCGGCTGACGGTCCTCAGGACATCCAACCCCGAAATTGGGAGTCGGAACTCCAAAACCTTCAAAAGGTTTGGGAGTCGTTCCCCTGACAAAAAAATAATAAAAAATATAAAAAAAATAAAAAAATAAAAATGAAATAAATGTGTGAATGGTCTCAACGGCTGAGAGGAATACCTCTTGGTTGCTGAGAGTGTATTGTCTCAACGGCCGAGAAGAATCCCCCTTGGTCACAGAGAGTGTACACTCTCAGCAGCCAAGAGATTCCTCTCGGCTGGCGAGAGTTGTACACTCTCAGCGGCTGAGAGGGATTCCTCTCGGCCGTTGCAAGCATTCACTCTCAGCGGCCAAGAGGGATTTCTCGGCTTCTGAGAGTGTACAGCTCTCTGCAACCGAGAGGAATCCCTCTTGGCTGCTGTTCCCCCTGAACACCCTGGTAACCTTGAACTTGAGATTTGACTTTGCCAAGGCTTTCGCCAAGGATGCAAGCAAGAGTCTTTCGAGATCATTTCAAATGGTTAGTAATACATGGTGATGTGGCGTAGTTCTCCGCACTTGCGCCGGGAGTGTTTACATCAACCCTCCACTTCTTTTCTCAACATATCTTGACACTAACATTAAGGGTCTCTTTTCATCCACAGAATTTTCTCAAATCAAAGACAAGAGAGTGGCCCGGCCCTGTAGAGGGTGTCAGCATTCAGGTAGACCAGGTCGTTTTCACAGATTTTGACAAAGATATTCTTGTGTGAGTGTACGACTCTCGGCGGCCGAGAGGGATCTCTCGGCTGCTGAGAGTGTACAACTCTTGCCGGCCAAGAGGGATCTCTGGGCTTCTGAGAGTGTACAGCCCCTTGACAGAAAAAATGGAACCCTTTAATTGGGGTCTAGAGGGCAAATCAATGGACCTTAATTCAGGCATCCTGGTGGAACTGTGGAAAATGAGTTCTCAAGGATGATTCTGACAAATTGGATAAGAAAATATTTTGTGAAAATTTTGTATATTTTTCCTCATTTTCTGATTTTTTTTTTTTGATATTTTTCAATCATTTTTCAAAGTAGCTCAAAAAACAACACAATTGCATGTGAAAAGGTGGTGATTAATGAAAAATTGGAAAAACAAGTGATCAACAGCTTTTTTAAGCATGTTTGGATTAATGTCATCCACCAGACCAACCCTGCAATCAGGCACTGAAATCTAATTCAATTCCAATCTCAATCCAACTTCTTCTGCTCTCTAAACTTTTGATCATTGATTTTTCTCAATTTTTCATTTAGAATCATTCTTTTCACATGCAATTGTGTTGATCCTGATTTTTTGAGCTACTTGGAAAATTGATTGAAAAATATCAAAAAAAAATCAGAAAATGAGGAAAAATATTCAAAATTTTCACAAAATATTTTCCTGTTCAATTTGTCAGAATCATTCTTGAGAACTCATTTTCCACAGTTTCACCAGGAAGCACGAATTCAGGTCCATTGGTTTGCCCTCTAGACCCCAATTAAAGGGTTCCATTTTTTCTGTCAAGGGGCTGTACACTCTCTGCGGCCGAGAGGAATCCCTCTCGGCCGCCAAGAATCGTACACTATCAGCAGCCAAGAGGGATTCCTCTTGGCTGCTGAGAGTGTACACTCTCTGCGACCAAGAGGAATCCCTTTCGGCTGTTGAGGGCATCTTCCCGGCGCCGACTCCCAACCCCCCTGGGGTTTGAGGCGGATTGACTCCCAACCCCCCTGGGGTTTGAGGCGGATTGACTCCCAAAAACCCCCGGGGGTTTCATTTTTTTCATTTTGTTTTTTTTTATTTTTTTTATAAGTGGAACGACTCCCAAACCCTTTGAGGGTTTTGGAGGTCCGACTCCCATGGATGTCCGGAGGAGCGTCCACAGATGGTCCTCTAGACGTCCCAGAAATTTGGGATTCGGAACTCCAATTTCTGAGAGTTGTTTAACCAAGACCCTTTATTTTTTTATTTTTCACAACTTTTGAAACTTTGTTTTTTGTTTTTATTTCTTCATATTCATTTTCTGGGACCTATTCTGCACCAATTCATCAAGTCTTGTGACTTGAAGTTTGTGCTTTGAAGCTGTAGAAACCAAAACAAGCAGCCAAAAATAATGGTCCACCCACTGTACAAGACAGAAAAGATGATGAATTTTCAAAATTGAGTCCCATGGTACAGGCTTTTATAGTTTATTTGTTTGTCCCAACCTTTTCTGTATGCTCTGTCTCATCTTCAATTGGGAGAATAAGTTGAATCAACCAACCCACAGAACAGAATTACTTCAGCATGATCATCCACTGAAGGCTTCAGACAGTTTCAGAATTTAGGGCTAGGACCATAGCCGCCAGCTCAATTTCCAAAATCCAATTTTGTTTTTGTTTTGTCACAAACACAAATTAAATTTTGCATTTGAAACAATAATCCACAGTTGAAAATCATGTACCATGACTCCATCATCATTGTTTACTGGCTGCCATGGCCAACACTGGGTCACTACTTAGAAGAATGATTGAACATGAAAATGTTGAAAGAAAAAAACAACAGGTAGTTTCAAACTGTGCATTTTCATTTAGTCAGGTGGTGATTCAAGTGCTGGAGTCAAATTGGATTCCAATTTTGAGCTGCACATGAGCTCTGAATCATTTTTTGGTACAAAGGGATTTTGTTCATCATCTTTCTTTCCTCATGTCACACAATGAGACCACTTTGGCACAATGTTGAACTTCTGGAAGCAGAAACAATGTAGCAGGAATTGTAACTAACCCACAGTACAGCACCAAAATGTGCCAACAAGATTTGCTTGGCAGAATGGGAGGATGTTTTGTCAATTTAAGGTCCCAATGTCACTGGTATATGAATTTTTCATCAAAAAAATGTCCAGTTAATCAATAGCCTGATTGCCTACATTCTATTGTGGTTACATCTGTTGGAATGAGTGACGTTGTTTGACGATTTGACCATTATGCTGCTGAATCAAATACTGCCTGAGAGTGAGAACTATCCAATTATGGGTGATATATTCCAAAAAAAGAAGAGAAAATGAAAGATTGCGACTGCGTATATACAGGACTCGAATATATCCAAGAACCTTGACTGAAGCAAAGACCCGGCGCATTTGGAATGCATAGACAACGAGTGTGGCCTTTGATTGAGAGAAGTAAAAATAATGGATCAAAGCTTGGGCTTGACCAAAAAGCTGCTATTGGAGTAGTCGTACTCCGACGGATGCTGCCAGCCGCTCAAATGGGCCAAGTCGACTCGATCTATCGCCGCAGTGGAAGCAACTTTTTCGGGACGCCATCTGTGAGTCGCCATAGGGCCAGACAGAAAGTTAGTATTTAGGCAAACATGAAAGCCATTGAAGGGTCGTGAGTGGGGATGGTTAGGATTTGAATGCTGATTACTTACCGCCAAGCTTCTTGAAGCGGGGGGCTTAGACAACCCTCCAAGCAATCCGCAACATACTTTCCTAAATTGGGTAGGTTTTTGAAAGCGTGACCGCTACCGGCTGTGGCTAGGAATAGAGTGTTTGGGGAGGAGGGATGGGGACCGATGATCCAACCGTAATCAAATGACCTGACAAGGGAGAGCCAGATGTTAATGGAGATTATTCTGGGGATTTCCCAAGGTACATGATGATGATGCTTGTCGGAGACGGCTTACTCGGTATCCCAGCACATTGCTGTCTTATCGAAAGACCGGCGAGAAAACTGTGGCAGGCAAAAGTCGATAAATCTTCGTACTTCCGCCACATCTTCGTCAGGCAGGGTGTCCGTTTCATGGTAGGCCGCATCTCGAGGCAGAGAAACTGCCTCAGGGCGGCCAAGGATTGATTGTTTCCATGGATGTCCTAAAGGCCAGGTGCAAAAATTTCAGCAAGAAGCTTGCTACAATCTTAACGCTGGAACTTGACTTACCTACGTGCAGATCACAGACTTTGATGTGCCCATTCTGGTCAGGGGGAAACGCGTATCCTAAGCCTTCTACCACTACATGATCATTTGGGAAATATCAAAATTAGATACCGAGAGGATTAGAGTCTAGGTTCAACACACGAACAAATCACTGGCATGTTTTGATATTTTTTGATCTCTGGTGGGGTGAGTGCAATGTGAGCAGTACTGTAAGCCACCTGTTTGGCATGAGTTCAGAATGTGATGGTAAATTTTGAGAGGGTAACGAGATTAGTGACACTGATTCTTGAAGCAATGGTTTTAGGGATTATTCAAGTACTCTGAAGCACGTACGGCCGTCACCTGTCCCTCCATATCAATCAAGCTTTCCGTGTATGCCCCAACACACATCACAATTTTGTCGGCATTGAAGACGGTCCCGTCTTCCATCAGCAAGCCGGTGACTTCATTCGACTGGTTCCCGTTCTGGTTCCTGATGAGGGACTTGACGGTGCCCTTTGGACCGACAACAAATCGGACCCCGCGTGCCTGACAATCACGGCCGACGACTTCGAGGGCTCGCGCAGCATCTACCCATCCTGCGTTACGATCGAATATCCCACGGAAGCCGGGAGCATGGCTGAAAAAATCAGAAAACTTGTCCTGAAGCGCAGATGTATCGGGAAGCGGCGTGATTAGGTCAGTGCGGCCGTGAAGACGATGTGTGTGTATCATAGCATCGAAGGCTCCGGCGGCGCTAATCGAGTTGCTCGAAGTGATACGATCTGGGCTCATCCGGGGAGCAGTCGTGCCCAAGACCCAACCCGTTTGGTGGAAAATCCCTTTAAATATGGGTTGCTTCCATAGCTGGATGGCCTCCTCTGCCAACTTGATGTAGAGTGGATCACCATAGGTTGTTCTGACGATCTAAATCCGGCAGAAATTGAGCCCAGATGCTCGATGTTAGTAAGGTTGATTTGACATCTCGAGTACTGTATTATCAGTGAATTCAGAGAGTGTTTGATTTGCTCACCTTGTTCCGGTCAAATCCCGCCGAGGATTTACTTGGAAACATCCAGCGATCCACGCAGATGATATTTGTGTAGCCCCGCTTTGATAAATGCCAGGCGGTTGAGAGCCCGAACGTGCCGCATCCTCCGACAATAATAATACGTTGAGAAAGGTCCATTTCCTACGAGTCCTGTGTAATGCTCTGCGTGGGTTAGGTAGTTCTGCAGGCAACAAGGATTGATCTGTGGCAGCTTCTTTCTTGAGGATGGGATAAATACGAACGAAATCCTTGTTCTAAATAATCTGCGGAAACTCCCAGGTCGGAACTGGGCCGTTATAAATCTTACCAAACTCCGCAAAACGTCGGAGAGGAGCCGTACTCTGCCGTAGATCAATATTTGAGGAGTAATTTACTGTGTGCGCAACCACACTGGGGCGTTTCAGGGTGTTCGACTGAACGCATCCGGAGCGTCGGAGCTGAGATGCTGGTCCAAATTTGCTGTATATTGAATGAATTATGTATGCGTCTTCTCCGATTTCGCTTGGAGTTAGGGTAAGTTAGGGTTTCATGGACATCCATGTCCATCGGCATCGAAAATTGGGAGTTTCCACATCACGCAATGCTCTTCTTGAGCAGGCTGCTGAAACATGGCACTCTCAGCTCTGTGAACTGTATATACTCAGCTACATAGCTGCCACCAGCTGAGATTGTTGTTATCCTTTTCACACAGATGAAATGAGAGGACAAAGGATTAACTGGCATCAAATCATGGTCCATGTATCACTGTGCAAAAATGCAATGCATCACAAAATCTGTTTTGATTAGCGGGGTTCACGATAAGCTTTCTGCTTCCTGAACCCGGCTTAAATTTTTCCTGAATGATGAAATCCTGAGCTTAATCTAAGCCTTGATTTAAGCTCAGAATCCCAACTCAGGAACCTCTAAGGCTTCCTGAGCTCAGGAAGATTTGAGGGTTCCTGAGTGCAGATTAAGGCTTAAACTTCACAAAACCTTTCCTGGATTGGTTAAATATTAAGCTTAATTTTGTCTAAAAATTAAGCCAAGGTTTGAGCGCTCCCAAATACTGAGTAGCTTGATTTTGTTCCTGACAAAATCCTATCATGAACCCCGCTATTGGAAGGAATGTAGCCAATCATTTCAATTCAAAGATGAAATAAAACTAAGAAATGACAGCACATTACTTGTCAACTTTGCATCTTGGAATGTTACTGTTGAGAAGCAGGCAAAATTGGAACAAAATGATGTGTGAAAAACATCAAACAGAGAAACTTAATCAGATGAGCTGAAAGTCTTGGTGCAGAAACTTCATTGGTGAGGGGAAGTTGATCAACTAGGCAAGCATCCATCAAAAGGGGACTTTGCAAACAGGCAAATCTGGAGTCATTTCAATTTCACAGTGGACATGAGGAGAAAAAATTAACTTGTGGGAAATGAAGAGAGTTGGACCATTTGTAACCCCATAGCTGTCTAATAAGACTGATACCTGTTTTGACTAGTGTTTACATTGGAAGACCATCAGTGAATGTGAAGATTTGTAATCAATATTTCTTATTTCTTTCGAGGTGTTTATGTTGAGTGGGTTCCAAACTTTCTGGACAACCCCCAAATTCCTAAATTTTGATCATAAACACCTTGATTGCAATTCTTAATTTCTTTCATAGATCTTCATCAGAAGCAAACAGATAGACAAGCTAGTAAAGTGACTCAACTAATCTCCAAGAATATTGGTCTTGATCTCCAAAGGCAGTCATGAATTGTGGATATCTGGCTTGCATGCATTGTAAAACCCTTATAAGAGATGATTATCCCCTCATGAAGAGGGAAAATGCTGTAAATGTTTAAACAAAGGGAATGCAAAAAAGGGGCTGCTTTGGATTTCCAGGAAAAGGGCAAGATGATTAATACTGAAGGAAGATGTTTTCGCAATAGCAGAGGAAGGATGCAATGCACACAAAGACAATCATTTTATAGAAAAAACGAACAAACACGAAAGATGAAACGGAAAAAGAATGTCTTATGCCCAAAACAAAACAAGATATGTGTGAATGAATGTATTCAGAGACGATCTAGAGGATGATTGACTGATTGAGAAGCATCAAATGCTTTCCAGGCAGATAGGTCGGGGTCATCGTCCCCGTTTTTGCGGGTATGATTGAGGGGGACTTGGCGGGACGGTCGGGAGGGGCGAGGTTTATATGACGGTGAAGAAGGTTGAACTTTTTGAGGGATAGGAACGCGGCGGTAAAGCGGCTGAGTGTCCTTCGGTGCCAGTTGTGAGGTGGTTTTTTTGGCAGGTGCAGGAGGGGCGCGTTGGCGTAACTCATGTTCGACCCAGGCTTGTTCTTCTTGGTGCTGGGCCCGATGCCAGTGTTTGCGGATCTCGTCCCGGTCCTGGCTCGATTGAGCGGCGAGCCACTCGAGCTGGGTGCTCCGGTGTTTCAAGGCGATGTTAGACTTATAGAGACTGGCAAAATCGCCAGTAGAAGAATCGGAGACCTCCAATGGCTTTTTCAACTCCCCAAGTCCCATTGGGGTGACTTGGAGCAGCTTGTTAATGTCTAAGGATTCGCCAGGTGGTATCGGGTCCGGGTTAGACGGTGTAACGCAAGATAAATCGACTTCCTTGCGCAAGACGTGGTCCACGTCCACTGCAGAAAACCAAGCGCAACTCTGTGACAATGATTGCGGGATCGGGACAAAAATGTTAAGTAAGAGTTACTCAGGCGAAGACTAGATACTAAGATGGTCTGCACAAGAAAGGCTTGTTTGTCTTACCTGAGGCAGATCGTCCATCTCTAACTTGAATGCAAACTGGCACCTCGTCCAAAGGTTGGCGATCTGAAGAGCTAGTGCACATCGGTATCGGTCCTCCCAAGCCGATAGATACCTAATCTCATCATGCACAGAGATCATGTAACGAGCATCAATCCCATAGCGATCGGTCAAATAATCCATGGCCACGATCAACATGTGTAGATAGTCAACTCCGCTACTTTGGACGGCCCAATTGACCCGACTGGTCATGAAGTCAGGGCCTTCTCCAGCACTGGGCAGGTGGCACTTCCTCAAGGCTCTTGTGATCCCACAATTGAGCGCCGGCGTCTCGGGGTACTCAGCTAAGGCGATCTGTTCGAGCTTGTTGAACAAGTAGCTCTCGGTCCCTCCATACCAAAACTTCCGTTCAAACATATCCGCTCGGTAGTTTTTGACTCCCTTGGTGGAGGCGTAGAGCTGTTTGGCAAGTTTGGTGGCTTCTGTCTTCGAGGCAGTCGGATCAGCCTTCATGAGCAGCTGAACAGCATGCGCAATTCCCGCCCCATAGATTCTCGAATAATTGAACACCTTTGCATCGTTCCGGGAGATCCCGAGAATGCTGGCAGTTTTCGAATGAAGATCCGTCCCGGCCACCTTCGTTCCTTCCAGCGTCATCCAACCTATTGCTGTTGCACCGTGCATTCCAAACTGGGCATCACCCATGACACTACTGATCCAAAGTTCTTCCGAATCCACGTCTGCTCCGACGATCGCATATCCTGGGGGTGCCCGGATCATCGACTTGAGCTCGGTGCCGATCTTGTTTTTCTTAGCGTTCGCAGCTGCCAGCCAGGTTTTCTCTGTTGCACGACGAGTGATCGTACCCATAACAGTGACCTGCGGTAGGATTAGGCCTTGTTTGCATCTAGATGGTTCGGGGTTATCGGAATTTTCCTGAGGGAGACTTGATTCCCATATTACCATCTGGTCCTTGATGCGCTGGGAGGCATTCAGCCAGTAGCTACATTGCATACTCATTGACAAAGCTTGGCGAGCGTTATCTGCCAAGGCGTGACTGTCTGCTGCTTTGAGAGTCACGTGTGCCGAGTCGGACAACAGATTTGCAGAGGAGTGATCAATACAAAGGGGATTGGCGCGCAAGACCTCGTTTTCGAACGCTTTATCGAAGGACTTGCTCAATGGACTTCCCACGTTCTCACTATCTCCATCGGGGTGAGGCACCTTAAAAAAGACAGCACCTTCCTGATCGTTAACGAACATCGGGTCACGCTCAAAATTGAAAGTTAGGGGTACGCGAGAAAGATACGGGTCTTTGAGCTCGCTCGAAGGAATGCGAAACACCCAACCATGCTGCTTCGAGCGATACAAAGGGAAACCGCAAAAGCTTAGCCGAAGTAACAGCGGTGTCATCTGACTTTTGGTCGTTAATCCAATGTTGTCGATCCCACGACGAGCAAGTAACCAGTACCAATGAGGCCAGACTTTATCTTCTTCCGGGAGTTTCAGGCTTTTGGATGATTTGTGAATTTGATTTTGGTCAACTCCTGTGGTCTGATGGTCCGGAGAACTGTCTTCTACATCCTTCAATCTCAAGTCAGACTCTTCCATCACGGGTGTCCAGTCCAACTGACGCAGCCAGGGATCAAGCTTCGCACTTTGGGAATCTAAAGTTTTGGCCTCTTCGGCCAGTTGAAGCAACCGGTCATAAACTCCTTGGTTCAAATCATTTGACACATCCGAAGTTTTAGCAATGCGACATGCTATGTGAGCTTCAGGATAAGGAGAAGAAAGGATATCTTTGTCGAACAATTTCGAATTGTTACGTGAAAGAAGGGTTCTAACTCGTTTTGTCGATTGGCCGGTAGAGCTGGGAAGCTTGAAGATGCGCTCGTTCTCGTACAATTCAACGTGTTCAGGAACCTCACGAAGATCGATTTCATCGGTTGGAAGACTTGACGGAGGTGCATTGGGATCTATAATCGAGCCAAACAGCCAGCCAAGTTTCCGGGACCACAGTACAGGGTGACCTTGATATTTAACTTTGAGAAGCAGAGCAGCTAAAGGAGATTCTGGAGCAATGAGAAAAGCGTCTCCCTGGCGGGAACGTTGTAAATTGGCGAACCAAGCAGGTATCATCTTTTTGGGGTCTTGGGCAGGCTTGCTGGGATTGTTAGAATCAATTGAGTCGGAGCCAGGGAGGGTATCTTGCGTAGTCTGAAGACTAGTCCAACGAGCCTTCTTAGGCGTCCAGTCTAGTTGCTTCAGCCAATGGTCATCCTCATAAATAGGTCGGCCTGTTTTGGGATCCTTGACGAACATCAATTTTCGGGTTGCTTCGGCCAAACGCAGAAGACTGGCTTTGACGGTTGTCGACTTGGTTAGAAAGGCGGATTCTGAGCGTTCGAGATAGGTCTGCCAAGTCTCATCGACTGGCAAGAACGGGTTGCCCATGTGAAGCATCCCTGCAAAACTCACCGGATGAGGACACTGTTCCAAGAAAAGCGGCAAAAGCTTGCAATAAACAGCATGGGTTGCACTAACATCCCGAGCGCAGTATTCCAAGAGCTGTGGTATATGTCTGACAATCTGGGATTTGTCATTCTCAAGAAATATGTTGCGAAGTGTTTTGTCAACTTGGATGCCACAGTGTAGCTTGGCGACTTCTTCCAAAGAGTTCATCGAAGCCACATCAGTCCAAGAGGTTTGAGTTGCCGCTTCAAGGCCAGAGAATCCAGTAGCAAAATCATTAACGTTGGAGGGTTCGTCTGAGGGAGTATTTGAATTTTCTTGGTCATGTTCCTCAATATTTTGCGGATTTGAAAGTGCTTTCTTTTTTGAGAACATATACGCTGGTCGTTGAGGGTTTGAGAGGCCGAAAGTGGCGATATGGAGGCTCATGGTGTCGAGAAAGCGAGTGCGGGTGGCTCTGAGCGAATACTCTTGTTGGATACGGGCCCGATCGAAGCCGACGTGATGACCGACAATCAACCGGTGAGTTTTGGACGGCATTGGGATCAGATTATCGGGTTGATCGGTTTTACCTACAAGCCATGGGGACAACCAACTGTACCACGAGCTACTAGAGACGGCGGTAGCCATGATGGCGCACTGGGTATGGGCAGGAAACGTTTCGACGTCCATGACCAAAGCCTTTTCACTTTCTGGGGGGTGATCGATTGCTTCAAAGGACCCATCGGAGTGATAAATCGTCCATCCAGGCAGCTGCGACCAATTAGTCGGGATAGATGGCAGCTCGCTCAAACTGAATATTTTCGCGTTGGAGAGGTAGGGTTCTGAACGATCGACGCCCAAGCTGACGAAATGTTGATCAATCGTTTCTCCCTGCAAGGATGGTAGGCTAAATAGAGGGGCTTCGATCGGATCAGATATTCCTTTGGCAAGGCCATGGCGACTCAAATGTTCTTTGGAAAGCTGGATGGCTCGCTCCGACGGTGGAGGGAAGACGTCCCGGGGAAAAATCTGCCGATGAATGGATCTGGGAAGGAGCTGCACGCCGACGGCATTTCGCACAACTGAATCCAATTAAAATTTATCATGTAAAAATTTTCAGCAACAAATCTCGAAGAAAATGCAGAGAAGGAAAGCTCACTAGGTTCATTGCGGTGGTCGTCCGACGAATTAATTGGAGAGTTCTGAAGACTATCTAGTAAGGGAAAGACAGAATGGACGCGATTTGTATAAATTTTACACATCAAACAGATAGTCAAATACAATGTGAACGACTCACATTCTGCCCTAAAACGAGGATGAGGAGTCGGATGGATTGTGGGCCTTCTGTTATTCAGTCTCGCCAGCGAAGAGTAGACGATTGAGGGTTGTTGAAGTCGTTTCATCCAGGGCTGGACATCTACTAAGAGATGGGCAGATGGGGGGGATCAAGGATTCAAGATGATCCATTCCCATCAAACACAGCCCGGGGAGGGAGACTGCAACAGAAAACCCGAGCAGGCTTTCACCGGACGGATTGGAAAATGAGCTACACTGCTAGCTCGGATATCCGGGGGAGATAAGCTTATATGTATCCGCCTCGATTCTCAACATCTCCGACTCGATAAACTCAGCACACCTACGCGAACTGGCCGTTTGGCATTTGCTGGTTGCTTGTCGATTAACAAAGGCAGCAAACGACAATAGATCATCCGCCTTACTTCCTGGATTACTCCCAACCTACAAAACAACGTGCCCGCTCGCATCATTATGGGGGACGCCGTCGCGCAGGGCATCGCTCTTCGGGACGATGCCTTAGGTGAGGCAAATGGTCAAGGTTAGAGCGGCGGAGCCGCCGACTCCCTTCAAAGTTCACCGGCGCGAAAAGTCAAGACCGAGTGTTGGAGATGAGCTGAAGCTCACCTATGAAACATGTGCTATCCTCTGACTGAGACGTACCGGATCTGCGACACCGCTTGAAACGTCCAGAGCCTCTGTCGGAGCCCGTTTGCATCCGCATACAGAGCCTCCAACTGGAAACCAGACATAACTGCTTGGACTTTTCCTTGCAGAGCTCTGGAAAGAAAGTATTATACCGAGCGTTTTTTCCTCTGATCGTCTCATTGCTGCCTCCCCCTGCCCTTCCCCGAAGCATCAGCTTTTTAGACAGAATTCCTTAAAACATAATGCCAAACAGTCAGTCCTGTTAATAGGCACGGGCAACTCTATTTACGAAAGATTCCCCTAAACCTCTCCCTCTTGTCATCCAACGTGAACCACCGGTAAGCGTTCCGATCCCGCTTACCACTTCCAAAACCTAATCATGCGATGCCGATCATGGCAGGTACTGGTGACCATCCTGCTGGACGTGTGCATTAGCCATCACTCCGTTTCCATCTCCTTCAGCTTCCCTCGTCCACAATTCAACAAGATTCTTGACAGACGGCGACTTTTCAAAAGAGATCAAGCCATCCCAACCGCCCCCAGTGGTGGATACGCCCCTTCCCGTCGTCCTTGCCCTGAAAAAGTCTTGGTTCGGCAGCCTTCGGTTCATGTAAGTCGTAAACTGAATTTCTAATATGGTGACTAAGGGCTGATTGATTAAATTGGTTATGATATACCTTGTTTTATTGTTCAAGGGTCCACTTAACTCCGGAGAAGCAGAATACGTCCTAACCAAGGCTCAGAAATCTCTCCCCCTATGGCGCACTTACCTTGAAAACGCTGGTCTCCTGGGATTCAACGTTGATGATTTTCTATCAGAAGCCACACAAAACGGTGGCACTCCGGCTGTCACATTGCCCAACTTTGGATTCGCCATCTCTGGAGGGGGAGCTCGAGCCGGCTTAGTGGGCGCCGGGATACTCAATGCGTTCGACAGCAACAACCCTGCGGCGGTCGAAGCTAAGACAGGCGGAATATTACAATTGGCGAATTATGCCGCAGGCCTCTCGGGGTATGGGCCTCTCGTTATCATCACCATCCCAGAATCCAACAAAAAAACATCCTACAACCCGAGAGTCTAACTCGTAGATTCTGAACTGTTCATTGTTTTCCAGAGCTTCGTGGCTGTTAGGAAGTTGGGCCACCGCAAATTTCCCAAGCTTCACTTCTTTGAATCAAACTGTATGGAAATTAACCCAACCGGATGCGATTTATGATATCGCAATCATCAAGCAAATCCATCGGGACCTGAAAACAGCTTCTCAAAAAGCAATGGCAGGCTTTCCAATCAGCATTGTCGAGTGAGGATTTGAAACTTTAGTGTAAGATGATAAATGAATCGAAACACTAATTTAATTGGAACGCCAAACTTGTTTGAAACAGTGCTTGGGCTCAATTGATAGTCGACCATACCATGTAAGTCTTTTGTGAAGTTAATAACAACATCAAGGGCCATTCTTACATGATTGCGATCTGTTGAATTTGCAGTAACACGACCCACCATGCAAATGCTGTCCTTTTATCTTCGGTCAAGGACCTGCCCGGGTTCAAAAGCCGATATGCTCCCTTTGTATGTCCAGATATATCTTCTCATATGACTGGAATCCCAGTTTTTCTGACCAATAAGAACAGATCATCATAACAGCTACTTCGCGGGAAAATGGAAAGGAAGAAATGTCGCTTGATAATCCAGTTTGTGAGTTTATTTCCCTTGATCATAACTCACAACCAGTACTCTAACAAAACGAGGGAGCGAAATTGACTCGATCGTCAATTCACTTCATATCCAGATGAATTTACACCGGAGGAGTTTGGAACATGGCATCCTAGTCTCAACGCCTTTATTCCAGTCCAGTTCTTAGGCACTAAGATTAACCAGGGCCAGATTTCCCGGGGTGACCGATGTGTTGTGGGCTTTGAATCAATGGGGTAGGTCTTGTGATGATGTGATGTACTGCACTCGACCCTAACTGACCAGCTGTTAATATACTTACGCCTAGCTTCATAATGGTTGGTCAAAGTTTCCGCAGAATGAAAGGTGGCTTCAGACTCCTGATAAACTTCCTGATCCACAGGCCACGAGCAGCAACATTTTCTCCACTTCGGAGAAGACCAGCGATGACCCATTTTGGGTAGCGCTCGTTCACAAGTTCATGAATTACATGACCGGGAATGTGTATGATGAAGCGATCATCCCGAACCCATTCCAAGGGCTCGGTCTAGGCTTCGGGCTGGATGGTGGATTCCCCAGTAAGGATGACGAAAACTTATACTTAGCCGACTCTAGCTTGTCCGGAGAAACGATCCCCTTGTGGCCGCTTATCCAGCCCAGTCGCAAGCTCGACGCAATCATCACCGTGGATTCATCTGTAAGCTATTTCTTCCATCCCATCAATGAAGCTTTGAAATGAGTAGCGAACAATTCTTGATTGGGCCTTCCCTGTATCTGCATCCAGAACCGAGCCAAACCAAGCGTCAAATCCCGAGTCTGTAAGCCCGGCTCGCTGTTTCTTTATCTCGAGTGACAGAAGAGTTGATGGACTCTTCACTGTTGCTTCAGATCCCAACGGCACCAGCCTATATGCCTCTTATCGGAAAATTCTTCCGCCGGACTATGCCGCCTACCCATTCCCCACGTATGTCAACAAGCCCATTGAGATAGGCTCTGACTCACTGCTCTTCATCTGACCTTGAAATCTTCGCCTATTTTTATCCCTTGAAGAGTACCTGATCCATATGGCGGAAACTTCTCTCGATTGGGATACAACAAGCGGCCGGTATTTTTCGGATGCGACCAAGCGTGCCCTCTTATAATCTACCTTCCCAACTACTTCATTGTAGCGCCGACGGATGCGCCCACGACGCAGATGCAGTACAGTGTAGGCAACCATTTCTTTTCTTCAATGTTTTGGCAGCTCAGAAGGCTACAAACTATTCTCTCTACTGGCAAGAAATTTTCACTTTCTGACGCGCTTGATGACTCTATTTCCTTGGGGGGATTCAATTGCACGTCTCAAGAATACGGATATTGATGGCTACTTCAAGAATGGTTTTGCACTAGCTACCCAAACGCGAGCGTCAGCGAACTCGATGAGTGAGGACATGCAGGGCCTCTTCGATCGTGCCGGGCCATCGAGCTCGATCGAGTGGTCGATCTGTCTGGCCTGTGCACTCATCGATAAACAGCAAAAGAGGAACGGGAGGAGACGAACGGCACAATGCCAAAGCTGCTTTGACATGTATTGCGCCGCCCGATGATTTCCCTCTCCGCACTCCTTCAACACTCTTCTCTATTAATCTCAATCTGCAAAAATATTTTCTCAATTATTCGGTTTCTCAAGCAGCGAAAAGATAAATTGATAGCTATCATTTAGAATTTTAATTGGACACTTTGTCCTGACACCTACCTACCCTGTTGTGGAGATTTTATTTCGTTATGTTTGTGCTTTTCCAAAGGCTCAATTTATGGCATATTGTATAAAAATTTAATTCAGCTTATTCCAAAACTCCAGTTTATTTATATGAGATATTAAAAAAATTACGCGGCTCAAATCATTGGGAGCTAGTTGGAGATATTGTCAAATGTATCTACTGTGAAGTTGCCATATTGACTATTGGACGGGACTAGGTGTATAGTTGGTGAAGCTGTGGCGCTGATTGGATGAGAGAATTATTGAATCTGGAGACAGAGTAAATCGATTGTATCTCCATGCAATTCATCTCCCATATCCCCTTGAATCATTTTTAGTCTCTGTGAATTCTTTACCCCGAAGTAAATTATTGGAGTTGAAAATTTTAAGAATTTAGAGTGATGAGAACAAAGGACAAGTGTTTGCTTTGGTCCAGAATACATGGGCTGAAAAAAATATTCAAAAACAAAATTGAATATTTTTCAGTTCAAACTTGTTTTCCAAGTTTGACTTATTGTTTAACACAGGCATGGCTTATTTTCAACCACAAAGCAGCCCAAATATTGTCCAGATACAAATCAAATACATGCAATTATATGAGGAGTGGTATTGGGCATTTGGTTTTTTTTTTGGAATGGTGCATGGCAACATTTCAAAAAAAAACCCAAAAATTAATGATAACTGACAGACAAATGTCATCCAAAATTACAAAGGCACCTATGTATTCTAATATTTCATTTTCAATACACAAATCTTTTTTTGCTGGTAGTGATATGGCAATGAAATAGGACAGAATACAAAAGTTTTGGAAGGATGTGCTGACAGAAAAAGGATAAGGGAGAGGCAAGAAAGAGAAAGGGAAAAAAGAACACAATGGAAAGAATGGTTTATAGTTATAGTCTTGGCTAGGCCAGCATAACAATCTTGAGGGAGGATGACTCGATGAGGAAAGGTTCCTTCCAAATGTGCTGGTCAAAGTTAACAACTACAAACACAGTCTACAGAGCATGTGAAATATGACTGCAATGTGGGAAACTTACAACTGAAACAAACACACCTCAAAATCTGAAAATATGTGTGCTGTTCTTTTATACAAAAAAACTACCTCAGCCAGGCTTTTAGAGCTTTGGGATTGTGTTTTCCCCATTGGAAACAAAAGTGTCAAATTCTAATTGACTCTGCAATAGTATAGATGAAAGTAACATTTTTGAGAGAAGTAAGAATCAACACATGCAAAGTACTGCTTCAGGATTGACTTTAACGCTCACTTCGAAGCCCATATTTAGGGAGTTGGTCAACCGACTCCCAAAATTTGGAGAGCCGACTCCCAAACCCGGGTTTCCCCGAAATTTGGGAGTCGATTCCCCAAATCCATCCTTGGGTTTGGGAGTCGGTCCCCCCAAAAAATTTAAATAAAAAAAAAGAAAAACCCTGGAGGGGTTGGGTGTCGATGCCCCAAAACCACTTGTTTTGGGGGGTCGGTGATCAAAAAAAAAAACCAGTGGCCGGGAGGATTCCTCCCGGCCGCGGAGAGTGCTCTCTCGACGGCCGAGAGAGTTTCTCTCAGCCGTCGAGGGTCTACAACCTCAACGGCCGAGAGGGTTTCTCTTGGCCGTTGAGTATAACCCTCAATGGCCGAGAGTTTCTCTCGGCGGTGGAGGGTGTACACCTCAACGGCCGAGGGAAACTTCTCGGCCGTTGAGACCTCTCGGCCGTCGAGGGTGTACCCCTCAACGGCCGAGTAAAATTTCTCGGCCATTGAGGGTGTACACCTCAACAGCCGAGAGGGTTTCCTCTTGTTCGTTGAGAATGTAAACCCTCAACGGCCGAGAGTGTACCTCCCGGTCGTTGAGGGTATACACTCTCGACGGCCGAGAGGATTCCTCCCGGCCGTCGAGGGTTTACATTCTCAACGACCGAGAGGAAACCCTCTCGGCCGTTGAGGTGTACACCCTCCACCGCCGAGAGAAACTCTCGGCCGTTGAGGGTTATACTCAACGGCCAAGAGAAACCCTCTCGGCCGTTGAGGTTGTAGACCCTCGACGGCTGAGAGAAACTCTCTCGGCCGTCGAGAGAGCACTCTCCGCGGCCGGGAGGAATCCTCCCGGCCACTGGTTTTTTTTTTTTGATCACCGACCCCCCAAAACAAGTGGTTTTGGGGCATCGACACCCAACCCCTCCGGGGTTTTTCTTTTTTTTTATTTAAATTTTTTGGGGGGACCGACTCCCAAACCCAAGGATGGATTTGGGGAATCGACTCCCAAATTTTGGGGAAACCCGGGTTTGGGAGTCGGCTCTCCAAATTTTGGGAGTCGGTTGACCAACTCCCCATATTTATTATGCAAATACCCACACTATAACCCACATTGAGAGCATGATTGGGGTTATAAAGAATCAGCCCACATGCACCAAATTTGAAGATTATTAGACTCTCTTAATGTCAAATAATGTGTAGGTACAGTGCCTAGACAGTGAAAAGTGGCTGCCTATTTTGGATTCCAAAGCTCCAGAGCACAAATTTGAAATAATGAGACTTGGTCAGGTGGTGCATAATAGGTCCCAAAAAATGAATATGAAATAATAAAAGCAAAAAATAAAGTTTCAAAATTTGTGAAAAATAAAAAACAAAATTGATTCTTTTCAAAAGCTTTGATATTCATTTTGGGGGAGTGGGAGTGCTGAGAGAAAGAAAGATTGGGAAATGAGAAGAATGATTATGAATGAAAAGTTTGGAAAAAATGGTTTTCAGATGGCTTCAAACAGCTGTTGAGTGGGGCATTCACCAGCACACATTGCAGCAAAGCACTAGAATTTACTGTTTTGGCTCCAATCTGGACCACCAACCTGGCTAAACCTTTTTTGGTTCCAATTTTTTTCATTTATAATCATTCTTCCCATGTTCCATTCTTTCTTTCTCTCAGCACTCCATCTCCCTCAAAATGAATATTAAAGCTTTTGAAAAAAATCAATTTTATTTTTTATTTTTCACAAAATTTGAAACTTTATTTTTTGTTTTTATTTTTTCATATTCATTTTTTGGGACCTATTATGCACCACCTGACCAAGTCTCATGACTTCAAGTCTGTCTTTCGGAGCTCTGGAATTCAAAATAAGCAGCCATTTTTCACTGTCTAGCCACTGTACATCTATTTTATATCTTATTTTTTCTCTGTAATGGAATGATCTTGTCATCATATCCCCTTGTGCCACACCATCAAAACGAAATTGTGAAAGATGTCCAAGTTATTGGGCAATTTGGGGTTCACATGTGAATCTATGGTCCATTCACTACACATTCTGCCCTGGACAACTACTATAGAGAGTGGACCTCCCTCATAGATGATCAGAATTGCTCTCAAGGAGGGTGCCTTGATGGATGGGATCATAGGAGCCATTGAGGTACCCTTTATATCAGTTTGAGGGAATCTATGACCAATTGTAATTTGTGGCAATCGGCGTAGGAGAGCTGACATGACTTGAAGTGTTTGTTGCCTGGAGTTGTTGTCAGGAATGGCATTTCATCCATTTTCCTACTTACCTACACTGTTTCATGATATGTGAGAAGACAAATAGGTGTGATGGATGAGGTAAGTAAGCTTTGGCTGAATCTAAGTTTAGACATGAAGAACTGGGCGAGTGACGAAAATCTATCTTGGGGAAGACGCCAAAATCGTATGAGAAGATCTTGTCGGAATTTTGGTCTTGGTCGATTGGTGTTGTGACTTGTTGCAACCGCGGACCGACCGATTGAAGAAGCCTGCTAGATCGTCGTCTCTGTGTAATTGACTTCGGTAAGTTAGTGATAAGTAAATATTATGTAGCCGATCGTCAACTTCCGCAATGTGAAATTCAAAAACAGCATCAAACCACCACCACCATCCACTTCCGTCGACAAATTTGAACCAATCGACAAAACCGGTCGAAAACCCTGGACAAAACCCCCTCGACTGGTTTTCTCATTGCTTAGCTAATCAACAAACCCACCCACTTTGCCTCACCAGCTCCACTTTTCTCTCTTGACCATCACCATCACCCTCTCCCCCGACTCTCTCTCTCTCTCTCTCTCTTCGTTAACTTCACTTTCTCCTTCCCTCCTTTCCCTCGTCCCATCTTCCCTCCCCTCCCGATTATCACCTCTTCTCGTTCTCCTCGACCTCACTGATCAGATCTCCGTTATCCCTTAAGACTGCCCTCAAGGAAAGGATCCTTATCGATCTTTAACCAGTTCGAAGCTCTCCTGTCCAGTCAGCTAGCTCGTTTTTCTCATTTTATGATAGTAGAGTCCTACGTAGTCATCACCATCATCGATCAGCAACAGTCATCACCTCAACCATCTTCCTACCCTTGATCGTATTGCACCCAGTCCATCCCCTTCTCCTTGAGATCAATCTAACTCCTCAAAGTCGTCGTGGATGTCATTTCGGTCATCCCGATCATGTTAGACGATCAACGAAAGAGAAGGATCGAGCTCAATGCCGGACCGACTGCACGCAAGAAACCTATGCTCAACAACTCCTCAACCCCATCCCCAATCCTCGATCCAGCTTCTAACCATCTCAACTCGACCGATCGAACTCATCAATCTGAGTCAGCCAACCATCTCAATCAATCCGTTGGTGATGACGACCTACTCGAGGTTCGTGCCCATCCTCGTTCACTCCCATCCTCCCTCCCTCACCCTCTCACTTCCACATCATCACCTTCCATCACTCCAAGTCGAGGTCATCCCATCCCCTCCTCCTCCATTGGCTGTGATCGATCATCTGATTGACAAACATATCCATTCCTCCCTATCCCCCTCCCCATAGAACTTTCGCAAAGAAGCTCTGTGGAGACAATTACAGGAATACAAACGCGACCTTCAACGAGCTCAGGAGAGAATTGAACAATCAGAGTCACAGAAGAGTGATGTTGAATCACGTCTAGCCGCCATCGACATCTGTTGGAATCAGGTCAGTTCTTCTCATTCTTCTTCTTCCACACCACCGCCATCCCTCCATTCCCCCCTCTACCTCTTAGAGCCCCCCTTAAGCGTCACCCGTTCCTGTCTGTGTCTCGGTCTTAATTAACTTGGCTCTCCTTTCCTTTTTTCCATTCATTTGGTCGTCTCTGTCTCATTTCTTAGTTAATAGAAGATGTCCGCGTCCTTTTTAAAGACTCATGCACCAATCTTGACAGCTCTACTCATGCCACTCTAATGTCGCTCCCATCATCACCCACAAGTCTCGATCGCGCACTACATCAACGATCGACTGCCTCAAAAGATCTCATCATCCATCTCATCTCTCTCGCCTCCTCATCTTCAGTAGCTTCACCTGATTTGGAAGAAATCAGGGCGCGTTGCCGGCGCTTGACTGCTGAATCGGCCTCAAATCGAGCTGCCTTAGGATTGGCTGAGAGTAAACTCAAACAGCTACAGGACCAACTTGATGCTGCCCAAGAAGCGACTAGGAGGGCTGAGAAAAAACTCGATCGAGAGCGTAGTCGAACCGTTAAAGAACTAGATGCCCAAGGTCAAGGCGGATCCACATCTCAAGCCCCCAAGGGTGAAACCCGATTATCCTCTGATGATTCTCCCAAACCACTTGTGGAGCAAAATGGCAATGGAACTCATGCTGTCAAACCTCCCAGTCAACCTGTGTGTAACGGCACTGATCCGCTCGATCACGACTCTTCAAAAGAGGCCAGCAACGATCGCTCACGAGAACTGGAAATACTCAACGAGCAGCTTCTGCAGCGGGCCCATGAAATTGATATTTTGAATTGGAAGGTTTGTCCTCTTAGCCATTTGTTTTGATTTACCAACCAACCCAATCATCAATATTCACTAGCTTACACCAGCCTGTAGATGATTAATTTGCCAGATGAGATTGTACGGAATACCCCAGCCTTTACACGTCTGAAGGCCGAAGTCGCTCACGCCACGCTCGAACTTGAACGCGTTCGCGCCCTGCTCGAGACAACTCAGAAGGAGGCCGATGAACTTCGTGAGCGCCAAGAGGAATTCCGTACAAAGATTGTGGTGAGTCAAGTCACCTTGATCTTTCCTCGCGACTTTCGATAATAGATGCCCATAATTTTTTCTTCATTGCTGCAGGCTGAGATGACTAAGCGCGTGGAAGATATGGAGAAAAAACTAGCCAGTAAAGATGCTGATGTTACCAGGATTCGCGCAACACGTGAGGAAGCTCGATCCGAGCTACATGAACTCAAGTCGCGGGATGTTGAGAAAATGAAGCAGGTGGCCCAGATCCGAACGCTCGCCAACAGTCGTCAGGACCGCATAAACGCCCTGTCTTCTGAAGTTCGACGGCTCAAGATGCGTCTTGCTGCAGACGTCGGTGACCGCAATACGGTTGACTTCCTAGCCACGAATGAAGAGGTTGATCTTGCCAAAGCCCTACAGGAGCGAGTAAAGTGAGGCCGTTGGTTTGGGTGTCATTCATCATGTCAGAGTTTAATTTTTCGGTAATCTTTTGGCATCAGGATAGCCGAGGAAACCATCAAAAGTCTTAACAATCAGATTGAAGAGCTTGCGCAAAATTCAAAATCGGAAGATTCAGCATCCCTCATCCGTTCCGAAGCCGAGGCCCGTCAAGAGTTGGTCGCTGCTCGCCAGCGTATAGAATCCATAGACAGGCTGCTGGGACCTGACGGAAATTCAGATAGTTCGGAGATGGCCAAAAAGTTACAAGTAGAACTGGATCGCCAGCAGGTTCTCGAGGCCAAACTAGCCGCTCAAGAAGCGGTCAGTCACGGACGCTCATCGTCGGGTTACCCCATTTCACACACATCACTCGAACCCTCCATTGACTTAGTGATATCTTTTAACTTTGATCCGTAGTCAGCTTCAATGTTATATACCGAAGTCGATCGACTTTCAACTGCTTGGGCCGTCTTGGATGAGCAAAATCGTGACAAAGTCTTCAAACTGGCAGAGCACGACGAAAAAGTACTCAAAGCCGTCCACGAGGTCAGTTGACCTGTCAAGCTCGGTCCTCATGCGCCCGTTCAGATCAGCTGACGCCACACTATGACCATTGTAGAAAGCCAAAGCCGATAATCGATACTTCAGTGCAATGCGAGCCAACGAGACACTGAAGTCCCAAACTGCTGTGCTTGAAAAAATGGCCGAAAAACAGACTGTGACCATTTCGAAACTGTCTGATGAGCTCAGGGCAGTTTCTGCTCGATTGGTCAGTCTTTCATCTCGAATGCCTCCCTTGCCCCATTTGTTTGGTTGTTGGTTAACAATGGGGTTTCTTAGACTTCTGCCGAAAAAGAAATTACAATTCATCAAAAAATGGCCGAAGCTCATAAAACGAGGACAACAGAATTATCAATTGAAAATGCGGACTTGATCGCACGGTGCTCACAACACGACCAGAAGGTGATCGAGCTATCGACTCTTCTACGCGATCGTACGACGCAAGCTGAAACGGAAGCCTCAGCTCGCAGGTCTGCTGAAGAAAGTGTTACGAATCTCGAAAAGGAGATGCAAAGGTCGAAATTGACTGGATCAAATGGACGCGGCGGGCTGGAACCGGCAGAAGTTGCTGAGCTACGGAGTTTCAATGATGATTTAACCGTAAGTATCATTTGCATTCATGATAACAGGAGAGTGTCCAAGCTGACTAACAATTGTAACTTTTGCTATCACGTCCTGGTTGATGTTCGGACTGCTCACTACAATCCTGCTAACCCGTTCAAAGAAAATGTTGAAATGTAATTCATGTAAACAGAGGTTCAAATCACATGTGATTACCAGATGTATGCATTTGTTTTGTGGTGCTTGTCTAGAAGCTAGGTTAGAAACTCGACAAAGAAAGTGTCCAACTTGTAGTATCGCTTTTGGTACCAATGATGTTTCAGCTGTGTATTTTTAAATATTTTATTGATCATTAATTTCTCTTCTTCTACTTTTAAATCAAAAATAAATAAACAAACAAAACAAAACAATCCATTCAAATTCGAAACAAAGAAATTCAAAAATACTAAAAGAAAGTATCAGCATATCTCATTTTTTTCTCCATCCCCTCTCATTTTTTTTGAAGATTATTTTGTTATGAATTTGATATCAAACATTAGTTTGCTTTTGCTTTTGACTATTCAAATATCATTATTTTTGTTCGCACTTACATATCATCAGTTCACAAACGCTTGTTCGGTCTTTTGGTGACTCTTTTTTGGATGTGTGAGCTTGATAATTTTTACATAGGCTAACATAAATACATAGACATACATAAGCATAACAACACGCTTATATCAACACCAAGAAAATTTGAGAACAAAAAAGTAACCACTCTTCCACAGTCAGACTTCTGTAACTGCATACATAGCTTTGCCTTTAGGCCTTGGTGCAAATGGGGATTTGTCATGCTTGTGAGGGAGCGTGTTGTCGTGAAGCAGTCAAGAAAAGTGACTCGCATATATACTTGAAATTTCTATCTAATCAACATGATATCCTTTGGGTCTCACTCATCCCATTGGCTCAATCGGCGCCATAGTTTTGATCCCCAGTCCTATAGGGGTAAATTTTAGAAGGACCTAGAGAGTCTATTAGACCCCCATAGAAAAATTTGAGAAAGATGGTAGATGGCATGAATGTTGTAAGAAATGCCCCACTCCGACGCGTCACATTCTGCTATGCAGTTAACCGCAACAGTCGAAATGGCGACTCTCGCTGCTATTCTGTATCTCGCGGAGAAGCACAGGTGGTAGCGAATGAAATTTTTAGGCTTCCGCAGAAAGTTGGAATGAAACGAAAAGGAAAATGTTTTACGCGCGTCACTGAACCATTGGTTACGCCAAGCACCTCCCCCAGACGCGTTGCACGTGTGCCCAACCTGTCACTTTTTCGACTTGGCTGAGGGCTCACACTGATCCACTGCATAAATCCGCAGTATCTATGATACCTCCAAGTCATCGTCATCGCCTTCAAAAGGCTCTGCGGGCCTTACTGTTTATAGAACATGGGGTCATGATTTCATATGTTTATTGGGTTTTGAGCAAACAGTCTCAAGTTTTGTAGACGAAATGGAGGGGTAAAAATATAAGAGGGTATGATTACCAGGTCGAGAATTCCCCTTAGTCTACAATAGAACAACATTCTCTAATTTTAGGAACTCCAGCGATCCTTGATCCGCTGGATATAACATTCCGAAATGGTTCAGAAATTCGTCATACTTCTTGCCATTGGGCTTGCCTTCACTGTCTCTGCAAGTTTTGAAGGAAGGTCGGGTGAAGCCACTGTGATTCAGGTAGAAGAACATACTGGAAACGGCCCGCCGCATCATCCGGAACTGCCACCACGCTCTGGTAAGAGTTTTCCTGCCAAGTAGCCCTCCCGGTTGCCATGCCGGCTGATCGATGCATGCTATTTTTTTTATCTTTTAAGGAATTATCACCGGTTCTTCTCGTCCAACCATCATACTCGATCCCGAGCCCTCTTTCGTTCCTTCTCAAGTATCCCAGAGTAGTGTTAGACCATCGGCCTTAACTCAACCACTAGCCCCTCCACAGCGTATCATTGTCCATCAACCACCTGCACCCCAGGGGGTTCCAATTGGTGTACGTCCTTTCAATCACCAGCAAGGTGCTGGTCCTTTGGCCGTTCATCCTCAACCACCGCCGGCAACTCAGGCTGGTGTAGGGGTTCCTGTCAATTACCAGCCGGCTGCTGGTCTTACCGCCGGTCACTCCCAAACGTCTTCGCCGGCACCAACTGGTGCACGTCCTGTCAATTACCACCAACTGTCCGCTGGATCCTCCGCCGGTCAACCGCGCCTCATGACACCAGCTGGTGTACGTCCTATCAATTATCAGCAGAGCACTGTCCTTTCAGTTGTTCACTCCCAAGTGCCACCGGCTGTTCGAACCTGGCATGCCCCAAGCCGTCAAACAGGTCCTGCCAGTTACCAACAACAGGGCGCTGGGCATTGCGCTGTTCACTCCCAAGCCTTGTCGGGTACTTCAGTCGGTCAAGCTTCGCCTGTCCCCAACTATCCGCAGCCGGTCGCAGGTCGCCCAGATGTTCCTCTCCAAGGAAACCCGATGACCTCTTCTCGCGTAGTCCCACCCGCCCCTACTACTAATGAAGCCCGGCCTGTTGAGTATATCCAAATTGACGACACTCCAAGTGACCCAGGTCCACCTCTCCAAGCCTCACAGCCTGCTCATGAGCCTGATCCCTCAACCCAACCATCATCTAGCGCACCACCTGGTAAAGAGTTTTCACTTTTATTTGGAATTCCTTACCCTTCGCTTGAGTGCTTCGTAAAAACTCATCCTGCTCCCTCCATTCCCATCAATTTCGTCATTTCCTCTGGCGCCTGTTTCAAATTCAGCCCGCAAACCAGTCTATCGGCAGCAGAGATCTTCCCGCCCAGCGGTTCCTGTTTCCCATTTCCCTCATTCAGAAAACGTAAGAAACCCGCCTAATGGGGGTTCTACTCAGCAGGCTCAACCCGGAAATCTTGGGACTTCAGCCACCTTTCCAACTCAAGATGGCAACCATCCAACTCAGAATCCATCAAACACACCAATGGGTCAGAAGTTTTCCATTTTTTCACGCATTTCTTTTTCTCTCCCTGAGTGGGTTTTCAGAAAAGAAAATGCTGGAATGCTCACATTAAAGCAAATTTTTACAGGATTCTTATTGACTGATGATGGTCAAACATGGAAGGTCCCTCTGCCACCTAGTTTCCTTGCTCGAAAAGGTCTTACTGGCCAGCCTTCAGGAATCCAAGACACATCTTCAGCTGGTAGTCAAGCTCAGCCAATTCAAAATACTGACCAAATCAATTTGAGCTCATCCATCAGACAGGCTGGTATGCAAATTTCTTTTTGAAATCATTCTGTGCTGCTTTTCTTGTTTTCCACCAATTTTATTCAAACACTGATCTCCTAATTGCCCTAAAACTTGACCTGTCCCAAATCCTCTTTAGGACATCTTACAAGTTCTGATATCAAAGACATATATCAGAAAATATCTAAAAACTTTAATCCTCAAACTAAAACTTATTCACAAATGCCTTCCACAAGTAATACTCCTCACCAGGGCCCACTCACTCAAAATAACAACCACTTGAATCAGTACCAAGGTCCCACACAGACTGGTATGCCCCATCCCTTTCAAAATTGATTCTCATTTGGTCTTCCAGGGCACTGATGGTTAAAGTCAAACACTTCAATCTACTGTATAAATGGATTGGAAACTTCAAACAATTTATTTCAGTCCAAACCAGAAATCCTCCTGTTCAAACTAGGCCTATTATTCAGCATCAATTAGCTGCATATAGCAATCCTCCTCAAGGAGGCATCACTAATTTGGCTCCAGGAACAAGAACACTCATAAATACCAATCCACCCCCAACTATTCCAAATCAAAACACATTTCTTCAATGTCCAGTACATGGGCAGCAAAGTAGGTGATCTTCTTTGGTAAAGTTTTGGCACAATTTTATTCTGAAAATCACTGATGATAATTTTGAAAAAAAAAAAAATCAATTCATCAAAAATTGAACAATCAAAATTTATATTCATTATCCACCAAATTCTTTACAGACCATCCCACTCTCCATCATCCAGCAGGCCCACCAAGCCATCCACAAGGAACTTCATCTAATCCCATTGTTTTGAATGAAAGACCGACTAATCAAAATGCTAACCAATTGAATCCGATTTCTGCTGGTCCACAAATTAATAGTATGAGATTTTACTTGTGAATTCTTTATGAGTGATACCTTAATTCATTTCAGGGATTATGACAACTTCAGGTGGTACAATGTTGAATTATGGTCAAAGGAATTCTCAGGATTCTCTTTCTGGCCAGCCTCAAAGAGGAATTAACAACATGGCTCAGGGATCAACAACAGGTCATATTCATAATCCTGGCCCACATGTTCTAGATACCCAATTTGATCAGTCCCAATCTGGTAAGTAAATATGTATGGGATCTTTCAATTTTAGCCAATTTAATCATCCACCATGTGAAAGGGTTGAAAGCTTACTCAATAATTTTGAACTCTGCACCATTTGGTATCAGATTGTACAAGATTGTATTTGGGACTCTTAAAAGTTATCAGAGATGGTCCAGTGCATCAAATAAATCCACAATCATCTTTGACAGAGGCTCAACAATACCCAGCTTCTTGTATGTATTCAATTTTGAATACTTCTTACCATTCCACACACAAATTCATATTTTTTGCCATTGAAAACCTTTCCAAAATTCAGTTGGTGATGCAGTAGAGAAGTGGTTTTTTGAGCGCCATGATTCTTGTTATAGGAATGGTATTGGGAATCCACCTGGAAATGGAGTCTTGCCAAATTTTCAACTTAAGATTGATATAGCAAAAAAACAGATCAGAGAATCTATCAGATCTTTGTCTGCAATTTCACCTGCTCTATATCAGGGTATGTTTAGTCATTTTGGAATTGATTATAATATTTTGGAAGTCTATGACTTTGCTTACTCACCCAAACTCAATTTTTTCCAAAATACCCACTTAAATACCCACTTAAATTCAGGTCTTCAAAACGAGTATAGGAATGTTATACAGAGGTTATATTCCTCCTTTTCTCAACAATCCACAAAAACTCACCCAGGAAATCAACCACATCAATCTCCAACTATCAACATTTCTCAGTCTTTAGCCCAACCACAATCCAGTAGGGAAATTTTCCTTTGTGCTCTCACGTTTTAATTCAGAAAAAAAAATCTTGACTCAAAAATAATATCTTTTTGCTAAAGGGAGAAAAACTGATACATTTTCCATTGATTCAGGTGTTCAAAAATCAAGTTTCATTCAACAGACTTTGCCAGGTCATCCAGGTCCAAGTAGCTCTTCCCCAGGGTTAAAAGCAACATCTCCTCATCCAAGTAATCCACAGTATCAGAAAAGCACACAAAACCTGGCTGAAACCAATACACCTCAAGGTAAATTGTTTCTAATGAAATCATATGAATTATACACTGGAAGCCTTTCAAATAAAGATGTTTTTAACTATAAGTTTTGTTTCAATCACAAATTTTAGCACAAGATTTGCAAACATTGAACAGTGCTCAGATGATGCAAATACAAATGGATATGCAGAAAAGACAGAACGAGGCCTTGATGAGAATGCAAAGAAATCTTTCACAAAATCCTCACAGTTTAATGCACCATAATTCTTGTCCTCCTATTTTCCAAAGGGCACCAACATCTGCTTTTGATTCAAATCAAGCCCCAATCTCTCAAAACATCAACCCATCAACTTCTCTGCAGCATGGTGAGTAGTATAATTCCTCATTTTATCAAAATCATACATGTATTCATCCAATTTATCATAAAATCACCTGCTGAACTGATATTTGCAACTTTGGGATTGAATATTGACCATTTGCCTTGATTCAAAATTCAGCTACTCAAGAGAATAGACAGGGAATTTTACAAAATTTTCACTCTCCTCCTCAAGGAAACCCAAACACTCAGGCTCATAACCAAGGATCAACTAACAATCCTTCTACTATTAATCAAGAAAATACCTCTCAAAGCATCAACCAACCAACTCCAAACCCATCCAATAGTCAAAACATGGGCAATCAAGGATTGGATTTTGATCCATTGGGAATTTCAAGCAGGGAAAAAAGGAAGATTGTGGAAATACCAGATGATGACAATGATCCAAATGATTCACACAAAAAGAAGAAATCAAGTTGATTGATCTGATTAATTTCTAGAAAAAATCCTGGTCTATTTGTTGTCTGTTTCTTCCAAAAAATTAAACACAGATACTATCCATTGATCATTATTTTGTGATTTTCTCTATTCTTGAGTTCCAAATGAAGCAAAAAATTCTGGATAATTCTTTATTTATTTTACACTAAATGCTTATGACAGAACTCTGCATGTGAATGCAATTTTTATTAACAAAAAAAGAAAATAAAAAAACTTCTTCAATCAAAATCACAGTCTCAAATTTCTTTTCTTTATGGCCATCTATTTCTTTCCTTCTTTTCTCATGAAGTTTATGCTAAAATATTTAGCACTGAACCCCCAGAGGTCTGGTTAGAAGCTACACTGCCTGCTTTTAGCAAAATGATCTGGGAGAAGTTTGTTTATTGTGATCAGATATTAGATTCCTTTCACAAGAACCATCTTCACAATCTAAAATGGATTTTTTCTTCCTGTTGAAAACCAATGTGCAAATAAGCTTGGGGGAGTTGACGTACTGATTTGGATGCCTTATTGATACAACATGTTGTTAGTGATAATTTGGCATTGACCAACTGGATGAGAGTGGGTTATTTGATCAGTCATTCTCAGGGAGTACGTGAATCAGAAAACCAAGGTTCAAAAAAGTGAAGAACTGGGGAAGAAGAGTTCAAAATAGAAACAATGATTGGAAGAACTTGGGTGGTGTGTTTGGGCATGAGATCAATGGCTGTCTTGTGGATTTACATTGTCAAAGATGGACTCATTAAGATATTTACTAGTCTGGATGATACTTGAGACTAGAGTAATAACGTGGGTCAAATTAATGGTGCACCTGGGAGGTCTGGGGGTTGGTTGCATGCAGTCAATGACCCAATGAAGAACAGGGTGCACATGAGAGCTTCCAAAATCACAATGCTTGCCATGGAAGGACTTGAGCTTGAGTAAAGTGAACAAGAAACATTTGAGGATGAATTGTTATTCCCAAGCCTCACATGGGAATATACTGGGCTGGATCTACTCAATTTTCTGGTGCAATTGAAAGCAGGGTCTAATGCTGAGCAGGTGAAGGGAAAGGTGTGTTACTCTCATGTGAGGCTATTCAAGTGTGTCTCAGGGCCCTATATAATAGTTGCCTCACTCAGACTCAGGCTGGTCACACTCTGCTGTGTGTTTGAACGAAACGGCCGCGTGCTGCATAGTTAAGATAGCAGTCTGGCTTCTACTCTGAATCTTCCAGAAACCCAAGAGACAGCTTGGCACCGGATTTACTTCTTATGTCATTGCAGAAGGTTCTTGTAAAGTCAAAGGGGGGATGTTTTTACGGGGCCGCCCAAGCGTGACTCTGAACTGTAAAAGTACCTCACCAGATGCGTTGCCCGTACGCCCGGCCTGTTTTGTGCCTATGCCTGACACCGATCTAGTCGATGTGTATGACTCCGCAATACGCAGTATTTGTGACACAGTCTAACTTCAAGTTATTGTCGGTCATCGTTTTCGCTCCAAGACGGCTATGTGGTCGTTACTTTTTACAGCACATGAAGTCATGTTTTCATAGGCTTGTTGAGCTGTGAACAATCCGTCTCAAGTTTTGTAGAAGATATGGAGGGGATAACATATAAAACGGGGTGACTCCAAGTCAGTCGTACTTGTCCCGCTTGTATCTAAAAATATTTTCTAGGGTTCTACAGAGAACTCTCTTTTTTTTTCTAGGTCTAAGCAATTGCTGATCTGCTAAATATACCATATGCGTTTAGAAATGCTTTGGAAATTCACGACACTTCCTGCTGCTATGTTTCTTTTTTGCCCTGTTTATGCAAGTTTTGGAAGAAGGCATAGTGAAGCCACTGTGTTCCGTGTAGCAGAACATGCTGCCGGCCACACCCAAGTGTCCTCTCCGACTGTCAGTTACCATCACCTGACTGCTGGTCTTTCTGAAGGTCAACCACCCCCAGTGACTCCAGCTGATGTACTTTTTGTCAATTACCAACAGAGCGCTGTCCCAGAAGCCGTTCATCCCCAAGCGCCGATGGTAACCGAGCAAGTCCCAAGCCGTGAAACAGGTTCTGTCAGTTACAAGCAGGGCGCTGGCAATTCCGTTGTTCACTCCCAAGCTTTCCCGGGGACTCCAGCTGATCAAGAAACGTCTGTGCCTAAATATCAGAAGCAGGTCGCTAATTCTCCGTCGGTTACTCTGCAAGGCAGCACATCTCGCTCAGTTCCACCCGCTGATACTGCCAATAGAGCCAGGCTTGTTGAGTATATCCAGATTGAAGATGATTCAAGTGACCCTGGCTCGCCTCCTCCACCCTCAATCGTCAATTCAAAGCCTTGTATTAAACCAGCTGGTCCCTCAGCCCTGCCCTCGTGCAGCTCACAGCCTGGTAATTATTTTTTAAATTTGGCTTAGTTCTAAATCATTTGATTGAGTGTCAATTGACTTTCATGTACTCATCCTGTTACCTTCATTTGTACCAACTTCATCATTCTTTCTGGTGGTTCATCCAAATACAGCCCCTAAGCTAGTGTATCAGCAGCAGAGGTCATCCCTTCCTGCGGTCCCTGTTTTCCAATTCCCATACTCAGAAAACCAAGCTATCTCTGCTAGTGGAGGCCTTACTAATCAGGTTCAGCCTGAAGAGGTTGGTGCCCCAGCTGCCCATCCCACCAAAGATGACAACCACCTAACTCAGCACTCGTCAAATACACCAATGGGTAAAAAAAATCCTTCTTGAAATCAGACATTATTTGTTTTTCTCCTGGGTATTCTTGCTCATTTTTTTTAAAAAGAAAGATTGTCTGAATCACCACCAAAAACTTTTCACAATTTGTTTTTAGGATTTTTGTTGACTGAAGATGGACAAACATGGAGGGTCCCTATTCCATCTGTAGTTTATTCTCAGGTGGACCCCACTGCCCAATGTGAAAGGGCAACAGGCACATCTAGAAACTCAGGGGGTAAAACAGCTCAGCCATTTCAAAATACCAATCAGAACTTATCCTTTCAACAGACTGGTATGGAGCTTCATCAGAAATTATTCAGGAATTTATAGCTTGGTTTTTGATCATTTCCGGTCTTTTTTCAGGGCAACTCACAAGTTCTGATATCAAGGAAATGTATCAGAAAATCTCATCAAATTTTAATCCCCAAGCTAATTTGTATCAAAAAACCACTTCTACAAGTGACACTCCTCACCAAGCAAAGCCTAAAAATCAAAATACAAGCCCTCGCAATCAGTACCCAACTCATCCACCAAATGGTATGACCTGTCCATTTTGAAATTGAGCATATTTTAGGGAACTCATGGTCCTCTTAAAAAACTTTTCTTCTGTATGGGGAATCTGAAAATTTAAAAAAACATGTAGACCATCCAGAAAATCCCAGTATCCAAGCAAGGCCTGATAGTCAGCAGCAGTTGGCTGTATATAGCAATCATAAAGCTCAAGCAGGCCTCACTTACACCTCTCCAGTAACAAGAGAAGCCACACATTCCAATCCATCATCACCTTGTAAACATCCCAACCATTTTCTTCAATACCCAAACCATGATCAGCAGCAAAGTATGTGCTCCCCTTTTTTGTATTCTTAATTCAAACCTTCTGATCATAATCTTCAAACAATATTTGACTCATCACCAAATTAAATGATCAATCAGATATCCAAGGAAGCCAAGAGATGTTGACAGTTCATTCTGACCAAGGTCATCAAGGAATCTCATCTGACTATCCTCAAGGGACTGCATCCAATCCTATTGTTCTAAATGAAGAAGATACCAATCAAAATTTCAACCAACTTAATCAGATTCCAGAGGCTCAGTCAAGAAATGGTATGGGATTTCAATTTCCAACCTTTTTTTGCTATTTTACTTTCTTGAATGCTGATGGTATCTCTACATGATAACAATCCTGAAACACTGTCACATGAATCTGAATCAAATTTTGAACCTGTGGAAACTTAAGGTGGCACAAAATCAAATCATGGTACAATTTTTTCTAAATAGTCACATTCTTTTTGCCATTACTTTCCCCAGATAATTCTTATCTTCTTCTAACACAAATTTCTTTTGTCCGCGAAATCACAATTTTCTGTCAAACTAAAAAAATTCCCAAATCCAGTTGATGAAGCACTGGAGCAGTGGGTTCTAGAGCGTTATGATCCACTATTCAAAAGAAAATATGGGAATTCACCTTCAGAAGGAGTGCCCTACCCCATGGCCCAAATTGAACTTGACAGGAAAAGAACCCAGATCAAGAATTGCCTCAGATACCTGTATTTAAGCTCACCTAGTCTATATGAGCGTAAGTAGCCTCATCATGAACGTGATTTGAAATAATTCCACAAATGTTTGGTAACCTATGAATCCTGATGTTTTTGTTCCTTTTCACTGAAAATGAATTGTCTTGAAAAATTAGGTCTACAAGCAGAATATGAAAATTATGTATTGCTTTCACATTCCTGTCCCCAAGGATCTGCAACATCCCATCCCGTCATTCAACCACAGATATCTGAAAATCTTGACCAACTTAGTCAGTGTCTAGAACAAACACAAAACAGTATGTAAATTTTCATCTGCTCTCTCCAGTTCTTATCCTTCACAATTCTGCTTAAATTCCAAAAAGAATTACTTTTCTCTTAAAAGAAGATTAATACTGCTGTGTTTAATTTAGCTTTAGTTGGTCAACCACAGCAGTGGGAAGGTGGTTTTCAAGTTGGTCCTAGTAAACCAACCCCAGGGTTCCAATTGGCACCCCTTTCTTCAAAAAATGTGCATTCCACCCAAATTGCACAATACTCAGCTGAACCCAATAATACACTTGAAGGTATATATATGTGTCTTTCTTTTTTTAAGATAACATAAATAAGAGGCTAATCAAATAGTTTCAAAAATCCCAATCCTCTACCAATCTATTTCAATTTGCTAAATTTCTCTTAGCACCACCAGAAAATGAATTCAATCCAGAATGGTTGAAATATCGGCATATGTACTTAGAACAATTTTATAAGTCAATGGGAACACATCAAGCTGGTCCTTCCACCTCTCAAAGAGGCCCAGTATCCCCCTTTAATGATAGTCAAGCCCAAATTTCTCAAAATAAAGATCAATTAACCCCTCTACAACAAGGTGATTAGGCTAATCTTTAGTTCTTTATACCAAACTGTTTCTGTTCATTACTTGCATCAGTTTTACAAGTCAAAAACTCATCTAATGAATTAATTGTGAATTGTTGTTCTAAATTCAGTCCTTAAAGAAACTAACCAGGCTCAAGGAAGGAAAGACAACCTCCATCATGGCCAAGAACAAGTTCCTAACCTTTCTTATAATCATCAAGAAAATACATCTCAAAGTATCAACTCACCAAATCCAGACCCAGCCAATATTCACCAAGTTGATCATCACTTTTATCCTCAAAATAAATTGTCAAACAGGACAAAAAGGAAGGTTGTTGAAATCCTTGATGATGATGATGATTGATTCACTAAATATAAGTAAAAAGAGGATAAGTTGATCATTTGAATGAACCAAGTTCTTTATCTATGAATTCCATAATCCTTTTTCAATCTCTCATCAAATAGTTGTTCAATTAATCAATAATCCAGTGAAAAACATTCTCACTGATATTCAGTTTGGTTCTTTAAAAGAGATTCTTGGTTTACATAGTAAACTTGTAACCTATCAAAGTTCATGTTTTTCTAAATTGTATCAACCAATGGATGACTTCTTGTTGGGATCTAGAAACCTTGCAGAATTCAATTTACACGCCTTGCATTTGAGGGCTCCCATGGAAGCAGTTCGCACATTCCCACCTTGTTCCCCATGGATCGGATGTCCTGAAAGCTATCTCGGAATCTTTCGAGCAATACTTTCTTTTTCTTCAGTCGGCTAAAAGAAAAGCTCTCAACTCCCGGAACTCTCGAGCTCCCTGAACCCTCTATCTTTGTCAAAAAAACAGAGCTCCATCGTTAGCCCAATCATCAAGTAAACTTGGTTGTAATTAGTTTTCTTATTTGATAGTGTTCACTCTTTCTTCGCAATGCATCAAAGTGATATCTTATCAATTGGGTTTTAGCCTTGTCCCTTTTGATGCTCACACTGATCTCCGGACTTGCACTAAGATTGGCGCACACAGGTTAGTTAGTTGTATTGCAACCATTCGGAAATGATGACATTTTGGTTTTTGGGGCCGCGCAAGCAGCGCTCATGAGTTTCTTTCAAGTGTCTGAATTATCCAAGTTAAAGATTTCGCAATAGGGAGATATTTTAAGCAAGCTCAGAAGCCGGAAACGCTAATGGCGAGCCTTGCTATTGCGAGGAGGAAGTACTGAAAACCTTAAGAGCAATGTATTTATATCATCAGACTTCTCTTTGGGACAGAGAGAGCTTTGCAGTCCGTCCAAAAAATCCATCAAGACCTGGCTGCAGACCTGTGCTCAGATGATAGAGACTATGTAAACACACCGATCTATGAAAAAGAAAATCTTTGTCACTTCACGTAGAGATTCATATGATTATGCAGTAAAGCGAAATGATTGAAAACCCGCTTTGACCTGAATTTGGGATTTTTTTTTTAATTTTCAATACGTCAACGACGACAAGCGAAGCTTAGAGAGCTAGAAACGATACAAATACAAAGGACAGAGATAATACAGACGGAAATAAAGAAGATGAACTGTAGAAGCCGGAAGAGAGTCGATCATAAAAGCTATCGCTGTCACCGTCGAGCAGAGTAAAAAAGCAACAAAAGAAGTAGGGATGTGAATGAGACTAAAGAAGAAGGAAAAAAGCGGAGTATCACTCGTAAAAGTACAACAAAATTCTACCAGATATAATAGTCTATGGGGCTCAAGTGATGTTGATATAAATCGAGGCATATATCACCAGCCCGAAAACAAAGGCAATGTGTGCACCTTGCCTCGTTAAGTATAAAGGCGGTCCTTTGTACCTAACGAGGCAATGTGCACACGTTGCCTTCGTTTTCGGGCTGGTGTATGGGAATTAAAAGTTGCAACTTGTATTGTAATACATCGAGTTAGAAGCAGTCGAAATAAGTAAACATAGCCGATGAAGAAAGTGATTTGAGGTTTGACTGGAGTGATACATGTCCAACGTTCCTCCGTCCTTCTTGGTTCGGGGTATGAGATCGATCGAAGCTCTTCAATGATTTTCAATCCGATTTATTAGAGGAGGGAACTGAAGTCAAGAGGAATAAAAAGAAAAAAAAGACATTTCTATTTCCAAAAAACAGGCAAGTTAGAAGGCGAGAAGCGACTCAATCCCCCAGAGAAAATAAAAATCGGACCACATACGTAGTTTAAAGATAGCCTACAACGTCCACCAGGGCGATGACTCGTTGGGACAGTTCCCGCCCGAGGTGTTCCTCACACTGGCCAGTCTCAAGATGGGCCATGAGGTCGCTCAAACAAAAGAACTCCAACCGCTGGCAGCGGTCCGATGGGCACTGATAGGCCCGGAGACCCCAATTCTTGTGAGGGGGACTCCACACATGACACATCAGTTCATGTGGAGTTCGGAACCGCAGGTGACAGAGCCTGCACCAGTATAGACCTCGTCTATCGAGGTCGAAGTCGGGCATGGGAGGATCCTGGCTGATCCTCTCCCTATGAACAAACCGTCCTTCGGGGTCGCAACGGCCGCTGAAATAATTGTCGACGAACCGAAGGTCGACCCAAGACGGACATGTCAACTTCTCGAAATGCGCCACTAATGACGACTCTCGGGCAAATTTTCGACCACAGGCACACTCGTAATCCATAATCTGGTTAGTACAATCATAGACATGCTACAAAAGGACAGAAATTTGCAGTTAAATGAGCCCGAATGCCGTTTGAAAATTCTCTCCTGCAATCTTGCGTTGAGTCAATCTGACTAACCCGTACAAACTCGACTCTGGTGAAGAAAACACGTCCACATGCGACGCAATGCAGTCCGGCAGCTGGTGGCCGAAATGGCAGAGTGTTCGGATCATGGCGATGTCGGGGCGAATTATTTAAGTGCTGCAAGTAACTATGGTAGGCGTTGAAGCCGCGATTGCAAGGTGCGCAAAAGGCCATAGTAGGTAGGTTCGATGTGTTAGAAAGTGGATTTGAATTTGTATTTTATTAGGGAGGGATGGTTCCAACGAGTATTCTGGTAGGGTGTGATAGTAGTGTTGAGAGGCTCGAGAGGTGAGTTTAAATGAGTATCGGGAGGGGGGAAAGAGGCAGATACTGGCTGAAGAAGGTGGGAAGAGCCGATTGGGTTGCAGCCCTTGTAAGTCAGCCCGACTTGAAGTGATGGGGCCATCTATGAACCAATACTAGTCAATGTTAAATCTATACACCCATCTATTTCTTGGAGAGTATCTGCTAAGTAATTGTCCAAAGCCCCAACGTGTTATATTCTCCATTGCCTGTTTTTTAACGCTTCCATTGGTGTGTTAGATCGGACTAGCAACACGTAGGACTCGGTAGCGACTCACAACACAGGCCTTTGGTCTTGGAGACATCATCGATTTGGCCTTCAGCTCCGAATCCTTGCCCTTGCACCTCCATGTGCTGAGATTCAATCATGGGTACCTTGAGCAATCTGGCAGTAGATGTAGGGCTTAGTTCTCATTGTGGTCACCCGGTTGATTGAGGATATGATTATGTGATGGCTAGTCCATGGCCTTGGCCTATGAAAAACCTGAGGGATTAGGACGGAACACTCTTCGGATGTGAGGTTCCATAACTGCCATTCACTCTGGATTTCATCAATGGGGCTAGACACGACCCAGGAATGGGTTGCAAGAGACAACAACTGTTGGGATATGACCCAGTGAGTTGCTTTAAATCTTGTTGTGGTGGATATGACCCAGAGCATTTGTTTCAATTCGCAGCCAATAGGAAAGGAGTTGGATATGTCCAATACACTGTCCCCTCCCCAACTTCACAGAGGGATCAGATTCTATTCTCCTGGATGTCCTCGCCCTGGGGGTTTGTTTGCCTTCGCCTTGGAAGTCTGCCCTTGAGGCTTGCCCTGGAGACTGGGACTTGACAAAGTTCTCCCGCGCCCGCGCCCTATGTAAATGGCTAGGGCGACCGCAGGCTGGACTGCGGCTCTCATATCAGACAACCAACTTGGCTGGATACAATGACAGAACCCATCTCATTCCTGATCATGACCTGTCTAGACTTTTGGGAAAGAAGCAACTGAATTTCTTAAAAATTACCCCATGGGCGTGCGGGGAGGGGGAGAGAGTGTGATTATCATTGCCCTTCCAACACTTCAGCTTCACAAAATTGACTAAATCCCCTTTTCAGTGGAAATTTCAAACAACAAACAAAGCCTCCCTGGTTCCTAAAAGGGAGCATAATTATGGTGCTTATATTACCAATACTGAAACAACAAATATTAGAATCAAACAAAACGGATTGGCACTTAATAATAATTTGTTTCCTCAAAATGTGAAGTGGAAGAGGCCCTTTGAGCAGCATCTAAAGTTTATGATTAAAGCCATGAGCAGGGAGAAATTAATGCGTTATTACAATCAGAAAATGGACAAATTTAACAGTAAGCCCCACTATTGCATACTTCAAACTGTAAGGGTAATGCACATCACAAAATTTCTCATTTGGAGGTTAGACTTCCATGGCTCCAGACAGAAATTTTCTTTGTGGCAGAGCTTCTATTTGCATGAACCCTTCTGGGAGCCATCCCAAGCTGAAGTTTACAAAGATGTCAGGGTTGTTGAGATCAAACCAAAAAAACAGTACTGTGTGTGATGACAGGTTTCTATACTAAGACAAAGCCAACCCCAATGCAGTAGGGTGGTTTTTTGGACAGAGAGAAATTTGAATTCTATCCAAAAATAAAAACATGAGCTTCCATTGTGTACTGGCTTCAAACCTGTGCCCAGATGATAGAGAATATACACATACAAAACTGTGAAAAATAACATCTTGGACACTCCACACAGAGATTCTAATCATCAGTGAAGCCAAATATTCAAAAAACTATTTTGATTTGAAAAATTGGTGGTTATATATACTATTCCTCTTTCTTGTTGAAGTAAAAGATTATGGAAAATTGCTATAAACTAGCCAAAAAATATGTTCAACTATCATGGGCCAAATATTGGCCCATGGCATTGTTGAGTTTAACTAAGTCAACCCCTTGATTAACATAATCTACCAACAGTAATCTTACTTATCCAGTTATATCTAGGTCCATACAGGTGGAGATTCTGGATAAGTGCTGGCTCTATTGAATTCTGGACTGCCAGGGCAGCTTCACAGATGTAAGATGAATATCAAAACTGGCACAATGATATATTCAAAAATTTTATGAGAACATTATAATTCTTATTTGATCTTCATGATGATTTTTTATTTTTAAATTTTCTTTTTCATAGTCTACAGGTGTCTGCTCAAAAAAAAAGAAAGAGAAGGAAGGAATTTTCTTATAGATTGATAATTGGAATTGTTCTCTGTTTTCATCTTGATCATTACGATTATTTTTCTTTCCTGGCTGATTCTAACTCATTGATCTCTTAATTATTCTAGCTTATTGAGTACATCTTATTTTATTTTTTTTTAAAAAAAGGGTGAATCATTTAAAATCAGAACATTAAAAACCAGAAGCAAGATTTTCCACCAAGGAGGGCCCAAAGGGCCCTCCTCGGAGGGACTTAGATAAGTTTGATTTTCCAGGTATCATTTTGAGAAAAATAAATTCCAGCATTTTTTTTTTCACAAATTTTTGAACTTTTTTTTTTTTTTTTTTTTCGCATTCATTTTCAGGACCTATTCTGCGCCACTTCACCAAGTCTCATGACTTCAAGTTTGTCTCTTGGGCTCTGGATTCCAAAATAAGCAGCCACTTTTCACTGTCTACCCACTGTACTCTAGGGCTCTTTTTTCATTTTTTCTATGTTTTGGACAAAAATTATTAACAATTGGAGAGATCTATTGTTGAAATTCTTCACTTTCAGGCCAAAGGCTGGCTTTTGGTCATGGTCACTTTTGGTGATACATATGAACTTTTGAGCAAGATAGATTTTGAAAAATTGAATTATGGTACAGGCCCTCATTAATCTTTGGTAAAAAAACATGCTTTCAGAAGCCTTGTATTGATGGCCCTCATGTGAGCTGTTAGTGGTTTTGATTGTGGTGTTCATGGTTGTTGAAAGATTCACTGGAGGGAGAAGAAATGAAAGTAACAGTATGTATGGCAAAACTCAATACATGAAATCATTTATGGGAGTAAAATGGGCTTGGTATTCTCAGAATCCATCCCTTAGGAACTGGGGGTCCAAATGTTGCAGCCTGCAGGGTGCGGACGCGGTTTGGTGACTGCAGTGCTCTGCATGACTGAATACGAGGCTGACCCCGTGGTAGTGAGCGTGGTGAAAGGTCATTGCTCCCCCGGAGTCGACCCTGCCCCTTCCCTCATCCAGCCGATCCCCAAATCTCTCGATTACCATCCAGTCATCCGGAAAAACAAGACAACTACTCACTTTGAAGCAAGCAAGTAAACTACCACTCCAACAAGAAAGATCCCCAATCTATCCGAATCGCCTCCCAACCAGTCACTCGCTTCCTAGTCATCCCTCGAGAAACCCCCTGGCTTCTGCTGTCGCCATGTCTGCCGAGTCCTCACCCGTTCTGATCGACAAGGACGCGTCCAGATTCCTCACACAATGTGGTTACATGTACCGTGATGAACATTCTATCAGCAAGACTCTGCTCTGCTCAATTTGCTCGTCAGTATCTGTCTCTAAGCCTTATCTAATGGTTAGCCTAGCCTTGCTTTCAAATCCTGACGATTGATTTTGATTGCCTCAATGCTCCAGCGAACCTTGGGTCCAACCTGTCGTTGCTAATGGATGCGGTCACATTTTTTGCGAACGGTGTATTCATACCTGGTTTGTCATTCTTCTTAGATCCTTTCTTCCAGTTCTTCTTTTACTTGATGGCTTATATCCATGCTTTCTTTTTCATCTACTGCCTCTTGGCCCATCTTGCTTGAATGTACTAAACCTCTCTAAAAATTGACAAAACGAAGGATCCGACATATTCCCTCATGCCCCATCGACCGCTCATCACTGCCATCCAATCAATTAATCCCGCCGCCACGGATACTACAAGAGCTAGTGGATGAGTTGGATGTGATTTGTTCGCTCGGATGTGGCTGGATTGGACGAAGAGACTGCTGGAAAACTCATCTGGAGAGCGACTGTCCCGAAGCGAAACGCGACGAACCTGTCATCCCTTCGGCTCTCATGACCGAGAAAATCGAGTCGGTCGAACCCGAGGATGAAGAGGAAAGCTTCAAGGAACGTTGGAAGAAATTGGCTAGAGAGATGCATGTTCTCAAAAAAGAAGCCAAAGATTATATCTCAACTATCGAGAGATTTAAAGATAAGGTCTCGAAGGTATAAATCCTTCTGCTATCTAATTCTAAACTTCATGATGGCTGATGTCCTGTTCTTTCTTCTATGATCACATAGCTTCAATTTGAACTTCGTCAAGCAAATGAGCTCATCATCGTCAAGCCGCCCTCCCCATCACCAGTCTCTTCCCCTAGCGCACTTCCATTACACCAAGCTACTTGCGACTTCTGCCGCTCTCACATTCAAGGTACCCGTCACAAATGTAAGCACCATGATTTGATCCATCTTGTATTTAAAGAGTCCGTGTCTCTGTACCTCGCAAGCTAACTGGTTTGTTTCTTTTGACTCGTCCCAGGCCTCAAATGTCCAGATCTTGATTCCTGTTCTGAGTGCTTTTCTGACATCAGCAACCTCCATCCGATCCATGACTTCGTATCGGTTCATTCGCCAGAAGATATTAATATCGTCTGCGTGAGTTTAGAGCCCTTGCCCAAATTGGTTTTCTACTACACCACAGAAAAGAGTTACTAATGTTTCTTTTTCGGTCCAATCAATTGGTGTACAGCTGCCTGAATGGAGCATAGTTCATCCGAATGTCAGATGTAACCATTGTGAACAGCAAGTCATCGGACCTAGGTTCAAATGTGTGATATGCATAGACTATGAGTTGAGTGATAATCGTTTGTAACACCATTGGCCGACTCATACTAACTTTCAAGCACCAATCTATCCCGGACTTCGTCGTCGCACAGCTTATGTCATCATTGCATGGCTTTACCTCGACCCGTCCATCCGATCGGTCATCCGATGACTCGATTTGTTAACCCTCAAGGGTGATCACTTTTTTGTAAGGTACGTTCAATTATTATTTTTTTGCTTTGTGGAGATCACTTTCATTCCTTACTAGGGACTAACCCACTTTTCGCTACGTTCTTCTGATCATTCAAGGCATGCTTTTGCTCGCTCCCGTCACCATCAAATTATCTTCTTTTTTTCGAGCTCAGCGTGCGAAAGATGTCTCCCATACACACACGACAAAGCTCATCAACAAGCACCCCAACTCACCTCGATTTGATTCATCTTTTGTTGGAATACTATTGTACTACTACTACTACTATTACTATTACTATATTACTACTGCATAAAGGAAACAAAGATTCAAACGGATTTTCTCTGCATTATCAGTGTTGTTGTTTTTTTCTCTTATTCCTTGTATCAATAGATCTCTACTCGGCACCAGTCTTCTCTTTCTCTGTCTCTCTGTATTCTTTCTACAAACTCGACATCTTTTTTGTTTTGTTTGGACGGCGTTTTCTCGTTGACAATCAGGTTAATCGCTTGTCTTTTTTGTATCTCCTCATCAGCCATTAAAAATCAAAGTCCAGATGCATATTTCGTTTTATATATATATTATTTTTATATGCACTTTTTTGTTACGTCTGGCTAGTTTCTTCTTTTGCAATCTCTTCCTTCAGAAGGCATTTTTTTTTCGTGCATGGATAAGTACAATGTGTTTTTTTATATTATGGAAATATATCAACGGTTGTAGTTTGCAGTGTTCGTCCTCTCTTTATATGAATTTTTCCAGCATTTTACCAAGCAACTCTTCCTGATGACAGGCTAGTTTTTATTCGGATCCAGTGTCTTTGACTCCATCTTTCTTAATCCGAAGTCTCATGATTGCGGCCCACCCGTCAAAAAAAAAAAAACCACAAACATCCTCCGGTACATAATATGATGAATGTGATTCCTTCATTCAACTGCTGAAGTTAAGTCACAATATGTTACCCGAGCATCTTGGAGATTTCACCTCCTGGTATCCAACGCGAGCCTCATAACCTTATCGCAGCGAGCTTAACAAATCTTCGGCGAGCATTCGCTGGCGAGAGCTAGGCGCAAAGTGCACCCTATCGCAGGAGCGATCAGTGCTACACCTCGACCTAGCTTAAGATCGGGGTTGTGATGTTGAGCCCGGCGGCTACAGTGCTACACGCCGCTGAAGTGCCGAGGGACTTAGATACATAAGTTCGTTGTCTTTAGTGGTCACCTCACGAGCCTCATAACGCACACTTAAAGAACCCGGCGAGGCTTTGTTAGGCTCGCTCATAATGCCTCGCGTGGAAAGCACACCACAGAATATGTAGCATACACTGCACATCCTTCAGAGAGGTGACCGCTTTCCCTTGCCTGATGATGTTCACAAGATCATCATCACTGGATTTGAAGGGTTGAGTGATCTTGCCCGTAGTAGCCATGCATCGCGTTTACTGGGATTCCCTTGCAGAAAATAACTCGTCTGCAAAGCTATAAAGGAACGCTTTGTGTCTCAGAACCTTTTGAGATTTATATGGATAAAAAGGCAAGAATGACATCACCAAACATGGCGCACGAGTCGGACAACATTGTGCCAGGTTGGACCTGGGCTCATTGCTGACATTACGTTAATCCTTGAACAAGAAAGCCTCAACTCAGCGGAGGAGCCGAACTTGAAACTATGCAGTCTCTCTGGAGTCTGAGGGGGTCCCTCGGAGGGACTTGTGTTGAGTTAGCGGAGGAGCCAGCTGTAAGGATATTACGACCCGTTGATGGGGCCTGATCAGTGGTACAGTTCCGAAAACCAATATTCTTCTAGGGTGTCCCCGCCTAGCTCGCCCGTAAAGTGCACGTTGTCACAATATCGTTGTAGGACATGTGAAGCCTAATCTACGCCGCAAATCGTCGTGGTCATCCGAACAAGTCACATCGCAGGACATTATTGTATTACTGGTGTGGCAGCGGTGACAGTCGATGACGCGTACTTATCTCAATCCTTCAGAGGGGTGTCCGAAGCAACCTCATCGAAGGGAAGTGACTTGACTGGGTAGTGAAGCACCCAATACTGTGATCTTTTGGTATCAGCAGCTGTTGGGCTGGTTAACTGTCAGCGACAGAGGTATCCGTTGGACATGTTTTATCCTACAATTCAGCCATACCCCTCGAGGGACATGTTTTACTCTGGGCTAATCAAGTCTGAGGATTTTACTGCTGCAACCACAAAGTTAAATATGTTGTTCGCCTAATGAAAATTGGGCGACTTGATCCATAGCCCACAACGAAGCCCGAAGTTTGAGCCAGTAGCTGAACAGTTAGCGGCTCCTCCTCTCCATTACCAATTATATGGTATTTATATCGCGCAAACAACAACTCAACCGGACTCCAAATACCCAAAGTTTTTTTCGACATGCTCAACAGCACCAAGACTGTCTTTAGCATCGCCCTGCTGCAGTTTAGGTTTTACCTCTACACCTGCTCGCCAGGGCTCCATGAGTTACCTCGTCTCGCAAATCAGCCGCCGTTTGTTGATATCCATGATGCTTCGAAAGAAGCGACTTCAATCAGCCACGGCAGCACTAGCACGAATTATAACATCCCGGGCTTTCACTTCGGGCTTGAGCTTCCACTTGAAGATTGGACTCATGATGCCTTGTTCGAATTTGAGGAGTATCACCGACTTCTCTCGAGTAAGGAAATCGACTCATTTCCCGCGAGTCCGCACCTCGAGGAAATGCCCTGGGAGCACATACTTTCGAAGATTGACGGGCCTCCTGAGTCTCCATATCGGGATACCATCCAAACTGGTCACCCACCGCGTAAGTCGATTTAGACATTTTCCTCATAACACAAATTGTGTTCGATAGGCTGAGGCAACACTTACGGCCAATTTCAAGTATTTCGAGACATCGGCAGTACGCCCAAATCGAATATGGAAGTTGAAAGCCAATACTTCCCCCGGACGGAGTACCAAATCCATGACGAAATGCGCTTGTTTGAACCAGGTCCCGTGGATTTGAAGCAATTTGGGTGGATTAATACGCTCGAGTCTCCTACAGGTAAATTTTCGATGGAAGATAAACTCCGGCAAGATTTCTCAGACAGTCAAATTTGTAAAATTATCTTTGAGAAAGGTGAAAATGAGCATTTGCCAATGTTAGTGCGAATGGCCTTTGACCCTGACAATCTTCCCGAAAGGGCACGAGTTTTGGATGCAGCAAAGGACTTGTTGATTGAAGTCCGTTCGCGCATGATCCAATTTCTCTTGGTTTGCACTTCCCCTGAAAGCACTGATAAGAAAGCACAAACGGGGCCAAAAAATGATAAAGACAAGGTCTACCGATTGATAAAGGAAGAGCAAGAAAACCTACTTACATGGTTGATGCAACAACTTCAAGTTGAACCTGCACCTGAAGCCTTATTCCCGGTCAAAGCAGGGGAAACAGATGCAAGGCCCAATTCTACACCCTCACTTCAAACAATGTTATATGAGTATTTTCTTTACACATTTCCTCGCGGAAAAAAGTACATCGTTGATAATCGTGGTTGGAAAGTGAAAATGAGTGGGAGGCCACGCCGAAGCAAATCGGATAAAAGCAAACTGCAGTCCGAGCGAGGCGTAAGCCTAGGTCAAGCCATGAAAACTCAACTTGCAATCTACATCTTAGGAAACTATTTCAAATTCACAAATGAAATAAAATGGAAAGAGCTCATTGGTGACGATGTCAAGTTTGTTGATCTGTTTTCATTTCTCAAAGCAAAAGAATATGATAGAAAACCTCAGCACATCCGCAACTTATCTGCTGTATTAGAAGAGCTCCATGTGATACCATGGGCAAGTGATTTGGAAGAAGATCAAATCAAAGACATCCAAAGATTTAGAGATTATATAATTTCTACACTGAAAGACTCTCAAAAATTCTCTCTGGACCATAGCTTTGTGACCCAAGGAAAGACAAGAAAACTGAACAGACTGAAGGATATGATTTTGGATGACAAGGTTCCAAAGCAAGAAGAGTCAACTCAAACAGAATCACTCCAAAAAGAATTAGCTGAAAAAGAGCCAGCTCAACCAGATCCATTTGAAAAAAAATTCATAAAGGATGAGCCAGGTGAAGAAGATTCAATTGACAAAGAATGGAATCAAGATGATCCAAGTTGGGAAGAGTCAGTTGAAGATGAGTCAGATTAAAGATGGTTGTATGAAAATGAGTAAAATTGAGATTAATCTGGTTGAATGCCCGTTAAATTTACTTTTGATGTTAGAAATGGTGCCAATTGTTCTCTTCTTTTTGCATCCATTACTTGATGCTGATTATTTTTGTCCACCTTGCTTTAACAACTTTAAATGCATTTATATAGACTACTTGATCTGAATAGTAATTTAATACATCCAATGGCACCTGATTCTTTGGGGCCCTCAAATCACCTTTCAAACTATTCTGATCACATCCAGTGGAAAGAATCTTCAACCATAAAATCCATTTACACTTCATCTGTGTCATACAGCCGGTTCAGACCTCTTGAGCCAACCTTTTTATTTTTAAAATCCATTACCATTTCATACTTAATAGCCTTTGGATTCAGATCAATCTCTTGGGGGCCGTCTACAGCGGTGTGTGCGCCGTGCTCCTATCTGTGAGATGGGGATCAGCTGTAGCAGCTCAAGGGTTGCCGTCGGATGCCCGGCGTGGGTCGATTTACGTCCAACTTTGATGTTTCTGCACCCGGGGTGTACATATCCAATTCCAGGGGTTAATTAAATTAAGTTTTTCCACTGACAGAAATTACGAACAACCATCAGAAGCTCACTTTGTCTTCTTGAGAGAGGCTGTACCACTCACAAGACTCATTCATGGCGGCCAGTCCCTCACTCGCCAACGACAACAAGTCGAATGTCCAACGTACCAAGACATCTCTGAGCCACCTGCCATACGAAGTCAAGCAATGTATCGTTTATTGGGTTGATCGTTTCCAGAAAGAGCCCCACCGATTCGGCTCTGATAGTCTTCTAGATCAAATCGCTGGTGGCATCAATCACCCTGGAAAAACCGAATCTCGTAATAACCATCCGCTTTTGGCTCCTCCTAGTGCTCAACTCACGAACCTTCTCAATATGCATCGGTTCTTTCATACTACTTCCACAACGAACAATGATAATAAACCTTCGATCAGGCCTCAATGTAACTCTATCCTCGCTCTGTGTCTGGTCGATCGTATGTTTTACGATATTTGTAGACCGCTTATTTGGCAGGTAAGCAGATCCCCATCATAATCAACAGATTTCCAATCTATCGAGATTGTTTGATATTAATTGATCTTTGACCTGATATCCATGTACAAAGACCCTAGATCTGGAACAGTTTCATTTGAGTAAATTACGATCGTTAAGAACGGGAGGGTTAACACGAAATGCGGAATACGTAAGAAAGATGTCGTGGCGAATATCGGTACATGAGCTGGAAGCCCTTTGGCCAGACCTTCGGGAGGAATTGGGTGCAAACGATGAAGCGAGAAAGGGACAAGATTGGGACGAAAGCTCACGATCAACTGAGATTTTGGCAATACTAGAGATGTGCACGAAGGTTACGAGCCTGGATCTCGATTTACGACCTACCGAACTAGACAAACAAACCGGAGAATTCACAATCGATGAGACTGAAACTACCTCCAAGTTCTTTTACCCCATCTCCAGGCTCACTCAACTCACTTCGATCGCCCTCACTACACCTTTGCTCGCCAATAACTCCTTTACTGAACAGTTCTTAGTCAGGTTGATCAGAGACATGAGTGAGCTGCAAAGCTTCAAATGTTATGGCACCGACTCCGTTACGCCTGACTTGGAAGGATTTAGTTGGCCCTTACCTTGTGGATCTCCACTAGGGCTTCATCTATCCAAACTCACTTCTCTCAAAGAGCTTTACTTGCAACAATCTGATTGTTTCGATTTCACTTGGAGTAAGATCGAATGGGCTGGCAATCTAGAGAAGTTAACATTCGATGGATGTACTCGAAATCCCTTAAGAACGTTACATGCATTTTGTCAAAAATTCTCTACAAGTTTACGTTACCTCAAGTTGGACTACCTCGAATATGAGAAAGATGTTTATACAACTTTATTAGAACCCACACGAGACGGACCGCTCTCCGAAATTAAGTCTGGGCAGTACAGATTAGACTTACCTGAATTAACTACGCTATCTATAACCACCGAATTACCAATCGATTTATTACTGAATTTTCGTGATTGCAAGAACATCAAATCGATCGAATTAGCCATGAATCCATCAATCTCAGCTGAACAGATCCGAGAACTTCCTTGCTTTTGGCCTAAACTTGAAAAACTCAAGATTACGATCAACACGAAATCAGATCTCGCACGGTGTCAGATAACGGCCTTGAAAATGACCTACTGGGGCAAAGGCATAGAACTTGAAATCGAGGATGAGGATGAAGAGTACAATAGTGCACGGTTTGGACATGCTTATGAGGATGATGGTTATGATAGTTATGATAGCTATCATGATGATGATTCCGATTAATATACGATGAATAACCATTTGCTATATGATACTGCTTCATAATCTGGTTCAGTGCTCCCAACTTCTAGTAAACGTCCTCCACTTATAGCTCTCAATGTTGGGGATGTCCACCTCCACAAAAATGTAAACTCAAATTCACATTACACATTTTCATGGTTTCTCTCCAGAGTGTTCAGATTTTTTTTTTTTTTTTTTTTTTTAGCTGTGTTATTCATCCTTAAATATACGGTCACCTACCAGTTGTTTGTGGCTAGTTTGTTTTGATTACAGAACCTCAACCCACCAGCTTGGAGTCATCATGAGACTGGTATCACATGGCGTTTGGTTGCAGAACAAACGAGTGGGCACTAAGGAGGAAGGAGATAGTGGGTGGGAACAACTAACAGCTTGGAAGGGCTGGTTTGAAGTATCTTTGGCTTCAAAGAAAAGAAAGTGTGCAGGCTAAAGGGACTCAAGTAAGAACTCCGGGACACACTCAGAGGAATCTACACCGATTACACCCTCTGAGTCACTACAGCCCCGAGCATACGGTTGGGAGCTGAGGACTTTGACCGTCGCCTCAAGCCGGGTTATGTATACATTCATGTATAACTGGCATTCGTTGCGAAAGCAAAAGGAGGGAAAAGGATTGTCAGCGGTCGCTGCCACGGTTTCTTTAATGGCCTCTCACGTGACAAAAGCCATATTCGCGGTTTTTGAACCTCACAAGCTACATAACAAAGGAAGGTCAAATGCATTCTGACACTTGTGATGGTGGAAAAAAAACCCTTTCTCCCCCTTTATGCCGAGTGGTAACAACGGAGCGATATCTATCATACGACTGGTGCATTTAGCCCAACAATGTTGCTTTCGTGACTCGCAAACAAAGGCTAAAAGTCTACGGTGCTATTGACGGCTATTAATTAAGCATTCAGGTAATACTCAGAAAAATGCTTGTAAGTCTCTGCCTCAGCCTGTCTCAACCTGCCTCAGCCAGCCACTGACCCGGACTTTTGACTTGCTATCTGGAGCTGCCTCCTTCCATTCCACACATTCACCGTCAACGTCTGCTCTGTTTCTTAAACCACATCAACACCACACACTGCGTTTAGTCCCATTCCCCAACCACAACATTCTCATTATCCATCCTCCCTTCCTCAACCCAGCTTCGAAACCTTAGGTATCCACTGAGTTTCAAACAAAACGAGCCAGAATGCGCCTGTATCTTCATCTTTTCCTTGCCGCCATTCTCGCTCAAAGCTGTCTCGGCGAAACAGTAACTCGCAACCAAACACACAGATTGCTTCACTTGGATTCAAGGGCCATTCAGAACGCTTCATTTCACACTGGAAATCCCACCGGCAACCAATCGGCATCCTTAACTTCCCACAACAATTTTGTAAGCCTAGACATTGACGCCTAGATGTTTTATATCCTGGATTGCCTTCGGCTCACATTTCCCAACACTCCAATGAATCTCTTCACGTAGATAAATTTCTGCATTTCGAAGCATGCGCTTGGAGCAAGATTGATGAACGGAACCCAATCGCGTAACAATTACAGCTGCAATAGTATTCCTATGGGGATGGTAAGTTGTGTTTTATCCCTGCACCCAATCGTCAACAAGGTTAAATAACAGTAGCTACTGCTCCTCTTTTGGCTTGCCTTTCTTCCAATCAACTATCTTGGCTCGCTTTGTAGATCGTCGCACCCGAACAAATGCCGTCTTGTAAATTCAAGCACCCGCACAACCTCTCGAAACTAAAAGCAAACAAGCAGTTCAACATTATCTTAGAGATCAAGAAAATGGTCACTGGGAATTTTGTGAATCCGAACGCAAGGTAATTCTATACAAAATAAAGAAAATGCCTATTTTTACCTCTACTATACTAACACGCTATATCAACAAATCGAAAACTTGCACCGTCACACAGCTATTTTGCTGCTCCACAGCGACTTTCCAGCGAAACCAAAGAAATTATTGGTCACGCTCATGTGGTCATTCAGAGTATTCCAAGTTTAAAATCGACCGCGGTCCTCGATCCGCGCAAGTTTGTATTCTTCAAAGGTACTTCAGCCACAAATAACCTTATCAGCCTATCGCTTCAAATGGTGCTTGACAATCAATCTAACTTTCTGGTCAATGCTTTGGTGTATCTTCTAGGAATTGATAACCCAGTATCCAAGGACGGGACTTCCACAGTGGTAGTCACAAGGGGTTTGCCTGCTGGCACTTATCGGTACGCAGTTCTCCAAAACTACCCCAAGTTTCTCTTGACTTGACATTTGTAAACCAAAAACTAACATCGGCCAAAAACTCAACAGCTTGGGAAGTATATTGACGGCTGCCAATCACCAACCTGTTCTAGCTGGAGTTGCTCAAAGAGGACTTTTTGATGATGGTAAGTAATTTTACATGGTCCCGACTTTTGAGAATAATGGTATCAAGTAAATTGATAAAAAATTTCATGATTGCACATTTAATTTTTGTAGTGGTGTACTTCGTTGTAGAATAATTATGTCATTGACCCAATAGTTATTCACACTAGAAGTATGCATCTTACAAGGATTGATCCTAATGTCAATTCATAGCTGAAATATTATCAAATTTCAAATGAGAGAATGGTTACAAAACACAACTAGTCTTGATGCCCAAGATCAATATATTTCTGGGCCTGAATGTTGCTGCTCACAAAGTGGGCATGAATGCTGCTGCTCACAAAGTACCCCTGGACAGCAGAAAGCAAGCTAAAAGGCACCCCAGGTGAAATATACAGAGGAGAGAGATCCCATAGCTAAGTTTATGCCACATTAAGGATAACCATCTCCAAACTAGTCATATCACTGGAAACATCAAACAAATCTTCCTACAGTTCATTGTGGCAAAAGCCAAGTCTACCAAACTACAGATAGAACTTGAGTCAGAAGTATTTCAAAGGTTGACCACTTCAAATCAAGCTTGAACAGCAGAATCCAAAGAATTGTGTAAAAGTAAAACAATATGGGATTGAATTACCCTCAAGCATCAGCAGAATTCCCAATGCAATTGAGCTGCCAGTCAAATCTTGGAGCCAAAAGTACATTTGTAATTAGACTGTTTCCTTTCAACTTCAGGAGGTCCTTCAAAATTATTTTAGAGTCTTGATATCTAGATTTCGCTGCAAAACAAGCTAGACTCTTTGGGTCTAAATTGACATCTACCAGGGCTACAAATTTGACAGAAAGTCATCCAATCTGCTTCATCACTAAAGTTTTGAAGTATAAAATTTGCGTGTTAGACTGGGATTTCAACTCAAGGGAAGCCCTTAAGACACTTATGAGAAATAAATGTTTTTTTATTAGGAAAACTCCAGATTTTCTGCTGCCTGTTGAAATGTTTAGCAACTTGATTCCTTAGTCTTTTTTCAAGCATGTTTGATGGCTTTTGATGAACAAAGGAACTTGCCTGTATTGAATTTTGACCTTTCTGGGATTGGAAGTCAAGTTCAAGGGGCGCTACACGGTTTTGGGTCCAGCCAACAGAATTGCTTGATTCTTAATTTATTCCAGTTGAGGTGGATGAGCATCCTTTCGCATTGAAAGTGCTATTGGTTTGGCTAAGTGAAATGCAAAACATTAAGCTCTTTGGCTGATCCTTCCTCAGTTGCAAACTGGTCAAGGGAAGTTTTGTTGGATTCAATTGACAAGCCGAACTTATCAAAGTCCCTTGCTTCGGAGGGCCTGGTGGCCTTGGCTGGCGTGGAACGCCACTCGCGCGAAGCGCGAGCCTCCGAAGGAGGGACTTAAGACAAACACGAACAGGCCCGCGTGTCACGGTTGGGCCACTTTTGGTGTAACGCACATTGAGCTGGATGTACAGCATTTACATCACCAGCTATTGGCGATTTGAGTAGACAAGCTTTTGGTGCTTGGTGATGCCTCTCACCTCATCCAATTTTCAGAACTTCATCTTGAAAATTGGATGAGGTGGATCTTTTTTAAGTTGGTCAAATTGAGAAAATGTTCTCACATGGTAGGCAGTGAGATTGAAACTGGCTTATGGAAGCTCAGCCAATTTGCCATTGGGCAAATTTTCCTTTAAAATTTTTCAACTGTGTAGTTTTCATTTTTTCCCAAAAGTTTCTTGATAGAAGTCAAGACCTCCATGTTGGGCATCTTCACTCCATCTCAGCTTTCAAGAAATCCAAAAGCTGGAGTTTCTATGATTTTTGGCGCAAAAAACAGCCAAAAAAACTCAACTGTGACACCCAGTCGTGTTCGTTTTGGGCTCAAGCCTCTCCCGCACTTCGTGCGTTCGACGGAGAGGCTGTACAAGCTCGTTGACAAGCCTGTTAACATCACCAACACAGCCCTACTCGTGATCATCACTATCATTTCATTGGAATCGCTACGAACAATAAATAAAGAGTTCAAAAACAAAACATTCCTTTGCCTGGGACTAGGATGTGTATGTAAATAATCCAGAACGATTCATGCAAGAATTCAGATGTGTTTTTATTAACAAGCAGTGTTATAGTAAGAGCACCTCATACCAAAAAAACGGCAGGGAGATCTTCTGCGCTTCACAAGAACGCGAAGCCATCGTTCTGAGAAATTCGCCCAAGTGGTTTCCAAAAAGCTTTCCAATTCCGTTTTTTTACGAAAACCTCGTTGAGCAGTGAGGCCTCTACTGCTCTTCCTCGTAGCCGTTTTCGTACCCCTCGACTTGATCCTCTTCACCCTCGTAAACTTCGTCCAAGTCATCAATTCCAGCAACAGAGTACCTGAAGAAAGTGGATTCATATAAAAACCGGCGTTTAGGTTATCCACTTAGATTGATTAGCATGTTGGATCACTTACTGTTGGTATTCGGCAATCAGATCGATCAAGTTCGATTCAGCCTACAGAGAACCAAAGAACCCCAGATCAGAAATTGAATACAACCTCAATCAAAGGCTTTTTCAATTTGAAAGAAACGTGACTTACTTCTGTGAATTCCATCTCATCTAAATCATACCAAACCATACATCGCTCATGATTAGAGACATTGATTCCATCATGAAAATATTGGGATTACTGACCCATTCCCTCGTTTGTGTACCAGTGTAAAAATGCTCTCCGTCGGAACATAGCCTAACGGAACAAATTGGAATCATCAGGTCAGCTGTAAGATGTCAAATCATGATCCATCAACAAATCCTTCAGCCTACAGAATATTGAGCTTGGGTACGCTTAAACAGCTCCTGTTGAGCAGTTGAGTTTCCAATAAAAGTAGCCGCCATCCGAAGGCCTGTTGAGATGTTACACAGGTAAGTGCCACTAAAAATACAATGGAAATGATTCGAAGGGAGTTCATACCATGTGGAGGGACTTGACAAAGAGAAGTCATGACGGAGTTGGGGATCCATTCAACGAAAAAATCCGAATTCTTTTCCTGAACCGCAACCATTGCGTCTTCAACACTGTATTGACAATCGTCTCGATAAGCCCTTATCCAACTGAGGTCGCGTGTGAGATGACAACAGCTTGATGTCGTGACTTACTCTCGAGACGAGACATTCGAGCCCCGGAAAATCGTAGCCGCCGTCAGGTATCGACCCAGGCGCGGATCAGAGGCCGCCATGATAGACTGGGGTGAGAAGACTTGCTGTGTGAGATCCGCTACCTGTTTGGAGTGACAGATGCGGGCTGAACAGGCTGAAAGGCTTGGGCACTCCGTTTAGACATTTAAATGATATGTATATGCTTGATGACTGACACTAATTTTTTGATAAGCTGCTGCGCCAGGAGCAGTAAGTGGAGCAAATCCACACATCAAGAAATGAAGCCGAGGGAATGGAACCATATTAACGGCCAGTTTACGTAGATCGGCGTTCAATTGGCCTGGAAAGCGTAAGGTGGTGGAGCAACCAGCCATAACATTTGCAATCAAACTGTTGAGATCGCTGTAACTCGGGTTGCTTTTCTTCAGCGTTGTTTGACAAACTGGGATTGAACTTGGACATTAGTAAGACAAAGCGGAAACATGACTGCAGGGTACGAGTGAGATATGTGTTCCTCACTGTCAAAGAGAGCTTCGTTGTCGATACTGAAGGTTAAGTCACTCTACACGGAATCACCTCTGTCAAGTCGATGAAGGCTTAAATTTAGTCGAATGGTAGCAACATACCGTCTCAACCAGCTGATGAAAACATAGTGTCGCATTGTAAGGCTCTACCACTGTGTCAGAAACTTTGGGACTTGGAAGTATGGACCATGAGTTCATCATGCCTGAGGAAAAGAGTGCACAAGAGTGAATTGTTGGTCGGGTGACATGTAGTAAGTCGAAGGACTCTTACGATCAGGAAATTCTTCTTTTAGCTTTCCCATGATTAACGTTCCAAGGCCACTACCGGTCCCGCCACCTAAGGAATGGATGATCTGAAAACCTTGGAGAACTTCACATCGCTCTGTTTCATGCCGCACCACTTCCATAACACTCTCTACCAGTTCGGCTCCTTCGCTGGGAGAAAGGTTCAGCGTTAGACACCTTGTCCAGATCAGATCGGTTTCTATAACAGTTGCCTCACGTATAAAATCCCTGCCAGATTGAGATTGACGCGCAGTCAGTAATACAATCGATAAGTGAATTCACAAAAATGAACGAGAACTACCTTAGCGAAATTGTTTCCTGAAGACCATGAACAAATTATGCGAGAACGACCAGAAAAACAAGGCAACATCAGCCTGCCGAGCCGGTTTCTCTGTTAGATAAAGTGACCCACCAGCCCCAGACTGTCCATGGACGTAGTTATCCGGCCTATGAAGTTTGCCGAGCGGGCCAGAACGAATAGCTTCCATCGTGTTGGGTTCTAAATCGACGTTCAAGGCGCGAGGGACCCATTTATCGTTTGAACCTTGGCTGAAGAAAACCTCGAGTCGATGGTGCTGTTCCTCTGTTCCTTCTGGTAGCGGTTTCCCATCTCCCGAGAGTGCATGCTCTTGAAGAATCGACGTCCAAAATGAGGTGGCAACCTGGTGGAGTATGAAAAAAAATAGTTAGCACCAGGATATCTGATATATTCCGAATCCGATACAGACTGGTCTACAGACCTGGTTGCCGGCCTGGCCGGTGGCGAGTGTAATAATCTCTCTCATCCGATCGGTTGGATACTTGGTTTCAAAAAAGTTTGGCTTCGCTTTCCCTTGACGAACGCTGTTCTAAGTACGAAGTGCCCAACGAGAACAGGATATGTAGAAGTATACCTGGTTAAAGGAGTCTCCGCCCACATACATAAATACGTAAGGCTGAGTCACCATGCAGTCACCCTCGAGCACGCGCGCGTTAGACGGCCTTCAACTTTGGACATATATGTCAACGAAGTTCCCGGACGCGTCTCGCCTCGGCCGGTCCCGAAGGACCCAACACCCATGGGCCCCGGTGTGCTTTGGAGGCACTTGGTTCCCAATCTCCTTCTCCTATTTCACAGTAGAACGTCCGACGTTTGTAAACACCCCCTGTTTCGATGTCGCGCGATTGGTTGAAGGAGTAGGACCAATCGGCCATTATATTTCTGGGGAATGCCTCATCTTCAATCACTTCACCACAAGAATGCCTATTGAAGTACATTTGGTATGGCAATTTCATGACTATTGAGTTGCTTTGTACTTGAAATTTCATGTATAAAATTTAGTTGTTCAAGGTTTCAAAATTTTCACATATTAGGGGTTTGGACAAACACCACCACAGTCCATTTCGTTTGCCAAGTTAATCCACTGTTTCTAGATGAAAGGTTGCTTTAATTTCGTGACAAATAAATTTTATAGCAAGCCCAGAAGTCAAAAACCCCACCAAAGGGGTTCACCAAAGGCCCTAATCAGTAAGATTTGTAAGCTTGCAAGTGCTGGAAAGACTTCATGGGTAAGCAAGGTCTCACTCAAACCAGAAAGTAATCACTCCTATGTGAACAGAGCTGATAAAGGATACATAGGTGGCACCCCAGGATATTGAAAAAAAAGAAAACTTAAAAGAAAGCATTGTGAACAAGACAAAAAATTGAACTCAGTGTCTTCACTGGCTTAGGGACAAAAGAGAGTGGGGACTAGGCTGGATAACTGACATTTTCTAGAACCAAACATGGGGGAGCTTATATTGCAGGTTTCTAGCTCAGAGAAATACCAGTTTCTGCTCACAACAACAACTATCTGACAAGAGAGGAAAAAGCTTACCTGGTTCAGAGACATGTTGGTTCCCTACTGGGCTAGGGGTCCAAGGAGTGAAGAAATAAAAGGAGCTGAAAATATACATGAGCCAGTACATGATTAAATGAGCTTAGTAACTTTCTTGTGAACCACAAGGGAGGTTTACAGCAGGGTGTTTTTGGCCGATAAACTTGTTCAGATGGTACCAAAATAGGATCTGAATACTGACTACACCTGGTATCAGAATTTTCCCTTTGTCCAAATTTACATGAGCCAGTTTATCAAGCGCTTGTTGGGGTCCTCAAAGTGTCTCTCCTGTGGCAGACAGGGGACACAAAGTATGATCTCGCAAAGAGAGAGACTTCCCCCAAAGCCTTGGATGTTGCTGTGGATACTGAATCATGTGTCCTTCCTTTGAAGTTTGGAGGCTGAACTGTTCTGGCACTGCACTGTCTTGGCCAATTTTCTGACCCTTTTGATGTTATGAAAGGCCAAAATCTTGCCTCAGATCTGGTGTTTGTTTCTTATTTCCCTAACCCACCCATCCAGAGGATACAGCATTCAAGACAATCATTATTGTGTCTGTGTTTTTTCTTTTGCCAGCAGTACCTGATGGTTTAAAACTTTGATTATGTATTACATGACTTCTTGGAAATTTTGAAAGCTTGCAGGACTTCCCCCCCCCCTTGGTTGAACAATCCCAATTAAGTTAAATCCTGTTGAATCATGTACAAATCATACATACACATCCATCAGGCTTACAGGATTTTGAGGCTTTTGACTGAGAAATGAAACTCCTAACATGACTCTACATACTCTTCTGATCTCAACTAGCTACCTTTGCAACCAGGAAAAAATTGTTATGGTCTTGTTACTGACAGATTTGGTGGCTAATGTCACTTTCTGTTTTTGGGAGGGGTGATTCATACACCTGTTGGTAGTACTTCATCAAACTTAAATCCAGCGGAACATTTTGTCTAATTGATGTTTTTGTGTAGTAGAGGTGCAGATGATACAGCTGTCTCAACTGTGTGTAGCACAGAAAAAAAGGGAAGTAATTGCACATGTGTATCTGATCATTGACTCCAGAGCTTTTGTAAGTTGAATCACATGTTTGTTCAAATCCTGGAAATCTTCTCCTGGCTCCCAAGCCTTGGCACTTGATTGAATCAAACCTTTTGGTACAACCACACAAACATATATTTCGAAAACCTGAGGGAATGAAAAACAGATGAACACATGTAGCTGTGTTCCATGAAGTGTTACAATTGAAGTTTTATGATATGTATTCACATAAAAATTTAGACATATATACAAAGATGCAAATAAAAAAATGACATATCTTATTGGGCAAATGAGTGAAATTAGTCTAAGAATGTATTTTGGCAAAGAAGAAAGAATATTTAGCTGATCCAAAGATTGAGAGGATATGAACAAAAACAACAACCACAAAAAGGAGAGTAAAGAAAAATCAGATCAACATGTGCTACCTCTTCTATTTTGAGAGAGGAGATGGGGCAAAGAATTCCAAGACTGAATGAGACGATGAGAGAGAGGAAGGCCGATTTGAAAGGAGCGAGTTTTGAATGAATCTGTCGGTTCGATAATATCAGTCCGACCAGGCAACGAAGTGACCCTGGCAGAGGTTTTAGTATGATGATGATGATTGGACAGATCCTGCCGCCTAGAATTTGAAGAGGAGAAGATGTAGCTCTCGCCGGTGGGGAGAGAATAATCAGGATGGTTGCCCAGGATATCTTCCAGTCTCTGGGAGGTTGATAAGGCAGGACTGGCGGTAGTCGTAGTAGGCTCAGAGAAAGTCGAACAAAGTCTGTTGGTTCTAGGGGTCGTATAGCCATCGCTCTTGCGCCATTCCTGAGCTTGAAGCCTGTCATGGAAAGATGATGAGATGGTTTGCAGATCCCGGGCAAATTCATCATTGGAGCGCGCAAAAGGAGGGATCATGCTGTTGTTGTTGACGATGTTCGGGCTGGTATAAGACGGAAGAGGGCCAGGCAGCCGATTGGAGACGTTCAACTCGACAATCTCCTCGTCATATTCTCCGCTCGGTCTGAACGGTCTGGTGGGTATCGGCCGAGTCCGCCATGGTATCGGCGGGGGAGATTGAGGGCGAATCTTCCTCTCTGGATTTGTGATTGCACTTGGTGATGGTGATAGTTGATCGAATGTTTGGACTGACTTTTGGGCGGTGGGTGTTCGCAAGCCATAGATTTCGGGTTCCTTGAGCGAAGCAGAAAAAGTATCAATACAATTTTACCAATTAATAGAATATGTGCGGCGAGAGCGAGAAATATCTATAGAAAGAGGAAGAGGAAGAACAAACATCATGCGCCTGAAGTCGGTTGTCCGGTTTATTTTCGCATCTATGATTACAATGAACACAACATTCGGCCACATAGATAATTTGACTGTTGTAGACTTTCATGACCAGGGGTTTCCTATTTTGACGGCGTTGAAAAGAGGGATGATTGCCAGGTGAATTGACGGAACCATGGGAGGTGCAAGATGGATTCCTTTTGATGATCACTTGGCTGGCGTCAAGCTCTTCAAATGTCAACTTGGAGGAAGTGCCACTAGTGCAAGTGGCCGCCTTGAGTTTGGCGTACAGCCTGGTATACAAGCTTCGTCGGTTCGGTTGATGATAACTGTTGTCTGGTTGTTGCGATTGCTTCTTTCTCGAAAGGATCTTCTTTCCACTAGCAGCCCAATCGACAGCCGCTTTACCCGAGTGCGAAGGGAAGGACAGGATGGCAGTTCTACGCTTACTATCATTCGGCTGTTGCAATCTTTTAGAACGATGGTGATCATGGATTGAGGCTGAACGCTTGGTTCGAGTTGTAGGAGGTGCAGGGAAAATATAATTTGGGTGTATTGGGGCTGACAACATCGAAAGGCCTGCAATTCGATCGAGAATGGGAACTAGTGGTGGAGATAAAGGGTAAGATATGACTAGCAGATCGACTCAAGGCAGAACTCTTGTATGGCTCCTGATTCTACACGGTTAATGTGCTCTCGTTGTGCCGATTTAACAGATGTCGATTACGGAGGCCTGCACGCTGACTGGCAAGAGGTTTCGTGCGGCCGCGGTTGGGGTACGAAGTTGTATAGCACAATGTTTTTTTTTTAAAAAGAAACGCTGAAGCCTCTGGCGAAGTGAAGCAGCAGGATGATTTCTGGGATATTTATTTGTAAACACTTTGGACTAAATAAATGTTGACGCAGGGTGCCCCCACCAGCTTGCTATATATTTATTTAAGGAAACCAACAAACCTATAAGAAGAATGGATGCTTACCTAATGCTTGTGTCGAAAAAGCCAGGGGTGGATGGCTGTGGATGGACAAGTGCTGATAGCCCTTTGAAGGGCATCGACCACACAAAGGCCCAGCTTATGGATGGACAGGAAAACTATGGGATCGGACGGGCCGGTGGAATCGTATAAGCCGATGCCGTCGCCAAGTTCGAAAAGCTTCGGAGAAAGACCCGGTATGGACCCAGTACATCAGCTTCCAGTTTCCTTGGGAACGCGTTCATTGTTCAACCCAACCACCGAACCCACTAGAATAAGAACCCCAAATAGCGCGAACTCGTGTACAGATTCTTCTTTCAATGTGGGTGGCAGCGCACTTCTCCGTTCTTTAAATGGCGGGGCAAAGCATGATCTCATATCGTTGTTGTACACAAAGGAGGCTATCTTACAGAAGTTGGCAAGGGTATGTATCGAAATCTTTCTATGCTCTTCAAGTCTCTACTCTCTATAAGGATCTATAAACATATGGCGTAACACATGTGAAGCCATCTCTACGCACTAAGAAATAAGGCAATACGCGTGTGTTCGCGTTCCATGTGCAGTATGTAGGGAGCAATCGATTTTTCCAATATGGACCGTGTGCGTGTGCGCAGAGACTTTTACCAAGAAAGAGATGCTGTTACCATCTGGGTAGTGTGCCTGTTGTGTTGGGATGGTTGGTTTGCCGTTGAGCCCAGTATGTATTGAGATGGGATGGAAAGGAATCTTATGTAAGCTTCAGAATATAAAAGCTGCCCTTTGAAGTTGCCGAGTAGCACGTCTGTACCATGAAGAACAACAACATACCACTCACAGTCGCGAGAATGGGTCTACTAACGATCATACGGAAGCAGAGGAGGAAGGAGAGAGAGATGAGAATCCTGATGCTGTAAGTCACCGTCAACTCTCCATCATATCCCATGACAACATAGACACAGTCGAAACTAATCCCCTCGCTCTTTGTAGAGGACTGGATAATGCGGGCAAAACGACGATCGTTAGGAGACTCAAGGGCGGGCTGGATCTCTCGAAAGTGATGCCGACGCTAGGCTTCAATATCGACACCTTAATCCACCGATCCTACTCACTGAATATCTGTTTGCCCCTTTCCTTGACGTTTCGAAAGACAAGAGAAAGATTACCCCCCCTCCCCCATGAAAGAGGAAACTGATGATCACGTGATCCATTCACAGGGGACGTAGGCGGACAAAAGACGCTTCGACCGTACTGGAGGAATTACTTCGAAGCGACCGATGCAATAATCTGGGTAATCGATTCAACCGATCGGGCTCGTCTCTCAGACACCTCGATCGAACTCAACCAATTACTATTAGAAGAGGTAAGTTGCTCATCTTGAGATATATGTATGTAGGATGAACAAAAACAAAACAAGAACTAATTTCATCCAGATGGGGTTCAGCGCTTAGCTGGTGCTTCTCTATTAGTCTTTGCTAATAAGCACGATCTGGTCGGGGCTTTATCGGCCGAAGAAATCGAAGAGGTAAGCCCGAAGAAGGAAATCTTGGGTTTCTCTTTTTGTTCCTTCAATTTCTAAAGGAAAAGTGAACTGACAAGAAGAAAAAATAAACAAATAAACAATCTTTTAGGCACTAGCCCTCAACTCAAAGCCTACTGGACATCGATGGCGGGTGATGGCCTGCAGTGCGATCTCCGGTATGAATGTGATGGAAGGCTTGGATTGGGTTGTCGATGAAGTTGCCAGTCGGTTGTATCTACTCCAGTAAACATCGATCTAAGGCCGGTCCACGAGCAATTTCCAGCAATTATTACCCGGACAGTCCGGTCATGAACCTTGGCAATTTGGGTTTGCGCTAGAGATGTGAATATGCAACCGATGAATACTACAATCGATCGTTCGAGCTCTTGGAAGTCGATGCTGTGTGTGCGTACGCCGGAAAAAACCATCAAACATTTGGATGCGAGGTCCTTCCATCACATCTTACCGTTGGATGTTAAACGCATTGCTGCTTCACGATTCACCTCAAAAGCTCTTCAACCACAACCAAACGTTGTCATAATTAATTCATAATCTAGTCAGCTCTTTCAATGGCCCTTTGAAAATACCTTACCTTGATCTCAACATTGTCAGAGCTTTTTTTCCGCCTCGAGATGTGAATTGGAAACCCATAAGTCTTCTACCCCCAATTCCGAACTTGTTCCTATAGAAACAGAGAAAAAAAAATGTTTCCACGAGTTACCCTTAGCTTTGATACGAATTGAAAGCGTGGAGGGTAAATGCCCGTTCAAGTCTATGTACTCAATACGCCGAATACGCCGCATGTTGATTGCAGAAAGTGAAGACATGGGTTCGTTGACAGCGACCTTGCAAGGGCCATCTGGTTGGCCCGACTTTGCCACAGAGACACGAGGGGTATGTTCCAACGTCCCATCCCCAACAACCACCGAAGGATCGGCGGCAGGCTCGACAAATCAGTTGTCGACTGCAGTCCCTTTCCCTAGTGTAAGTGGCTATGTTGTTACACTCATCACAGAGCGTGAGCGCAGTCCCCAAACCAATCAGCATGGAGATCATCATCAAGGCTTGGGGCCACATGGCCAGCGGAGAAGGCCGACACTCGTGTGCGGATGTAGATGTGTTGGTCCAGTTTCGAACCCAATAGGAACTTCTGGGGTGGTCTGCTAGGTTTGTGAGGCTTTTTGTGAGCTAAAAGAGATGGTTGCCTAATGTGAGAAATAGGCATGTCAGGTTGCTGCTTCATTCCTCCTTTTATAGAAGCAGAGATGACTTCGTTTTCAAGGGAAGAGATGTCAGGGCAGGATAGTGAAAGTTCAAACTGACTGGACTCAGAATCAGCGCTAACACAACATTCTCTTTCCATGATGAGAGGGGAAGCATCAGGGTACTCCTTCATATGAAAAGCTATCGAACAATCCGCCTTCCTGTCCCTGACTACTCGACTCTCCACGGCCAAAGCACTGCACTGATGACCACAGACTCAGTGCTCAGCTTCATTCATGTTCCTTTCCCCCAAAGAATGATTGGTAGTAGACAAGGCACGGGATGACTTAAATAGAAATAAAACGTCTAAATCCGCTTTTTAAATCGACAGGAAGTCTTCTACTTAGTTGCATTCCCCTGTTTCGCTCGTCTGCGTGTCGGGAATTCGTTCCCAAGTCCGAACCCAGACATAACACGAATATTGAACATTCGCTTGGATGGCCAAGCAAGTCAAGTATTAAATGCATCATTAATTGCACTGAGTCTTCGGATTCCTCACTCAACTAAACCTGAACCCAATTCCTTTAATTCAAATGTTGTCAAGCAACATACCGTTGATGTATCAACCGTTAAGTAAACTTGAAGCATCCAGAAACAGTGGGTGATAACTTTGAGATCGTAGTTGGAATTTACTCCCCATCATAAATGTTCATTCAAAAGGATGGAGTATCAACTAAGACTTCTCTCCCATTTTCCCGAACACTTTTTCTGTCTTTGTCGAGTGAGAGTGCCTTTCTCATATCTATGAAGTACTCGGTCGGATAGGAAGAAACAGAAGGAAAGAAACATGCTAAGATGGTGTTGTTGCGCAAGTGGACAGAAAAAAAGAGGAAATGACCAAAGAAAGTGATGGAATAAAAACGAAAAACAAAAAAACGAACCAAAGGCGTCTTCCTCGTCCAAATGGTCCCCCACCCCACCGCCTGAATAATACTTCAATACGCGCTGATAGACGGAGTAGCCAAAGTGTTCATACATCGAGATCGCCAAGGAATTCGAGACCCTGACAAACAAGTCAACAAAGTAGCACGATTGTTGTTCGGAGGCTGATTCGATCAGCTTCATGAGCTCCCGGGCCAGGGAAAGTCTTCGGTATGATGGCGCTACGGTTATAGCACTGACGTGTCCACTATGTAAAAAACCAGATTAAGGGGTAAATTGTTGGTATTTAAAGTTATCGTTATGTGAATCATCATTCAAAAAAGTGCATTAAATCTTGTCAGCCGCCCGGAAGTGAGTTCCAGGCTTCAAGGAAGAAAACGAAAGGCCAGGGTCTTAACTGGAAATCTTCGTTCTCGCCCTCCATCTTCCCCATGACTGATTTAAAAAAAAAAAAAAAGTAGAATCAGTGAGCTGAGGAGTTTTTCATAAGGTTTGAGAAAGACCGAGAAGGAATGCTGACCATATCCCATGATTTGATGATTTGGCGACTCGGCAATGTTCATCAAGTTTGGCCATGTACACAGGTATTGCAAATAATAACCAACTGAATACGTTTCCTTTGGTCATCAAGTATCCAAAAAAAAAACACAAAGATTGTTTCCCATGTCGAAAGGTGATGAACGGAGTTGCTTTAGTGATTCAATCCAGATTTTTGTTCTCGGTGAGGATTGATTTACCGTGTAGGCATCTAGCTATTGTAAGAAACCATAATTTGTTGACAGCAAGCAATCAGAATTCTATCCCGTGAAATCAGATGGATGTGAACATGAGAAATTTCGAACAATTCGGCTTACATTAACGTGATTGAACCGGACTGATAGCAATCAGTTGTATCCACCGAAATTCGTCCGATGAGAGGCAGTCCCCCAGGGGGTATCAATCAACAAGCGCCCATACGAATACGAAACAAACGCGTAAGAAAATGCGAACATATATCGGACGCTTCGAATGGCCTCAGGAGACTCATGTTGACCGTGCCTCTCGTTCCCCCCTTTCGATTCTGAATTTTCAGTTGCGCAAGTTGACATCAGTATGTTGAAGATTTGATCACTTAGAGCACCGCGGCGGAAGAGTCAATTGAAATCGCTCACATGGAAATAAATGTTTGTTGTGGTTGTCCAATGTCGATTATGTAGCAGGATTGGCAAGCTGGCCAAGAATTCTTCCGGACCCCGCGCCGCATGTATTCCGGCGCACACACAGTGCCGCGCGTCCCGGCGAGCTTTGCTTGCCCTTGCAAGTTTTCACACTTGTTGGCCCTTTTCTGATGCTCTCTGTTGATCTTGCAAGTATTCAAAATCTTGCCCAAATGTCCCAAATCAGGATCAGGCATTGGTATCCTCAAATTCTCAATGGAGAAAAGTTTCTCCTGTAGCATTATGACCAAACTATGTAACAGTTGTTCACTTACACTATGTATCTTAATCTTATCTTGGTTGTTCTTGATTTGATTTGTTTTCTTTTTTTTTTTTGAAAAGTGTCAATATATCTGATTCCATATCCACAAGACTTCAAATTCAATGCAGGGAAGATGGTCACATGACCACAAGGATTTTCCCCCCTCCTTTATCTCTTTTTATCAGTATCAATACATTACACAGATATTGTGGATTGTGTCATAATATCCATCTGACTTTAAGTTGCCTAGACAAAAAGTTTTAGTCGAAATTTGATGCAGTTCTTATTGGAAAAGCTTCTGCAATTGAGACACACTTTAGTCTCATGCACCTCAGCAAACTGCTGCACTGATCACATTATATGCAACTTGAGTCATGATGCCCTCCTGGCCTTTTTTTATTCATTCTTATAGGCCCCGTCTGGCATGGATATAATGCAATTCTTGTCTGACATCTGATCAGGTCCACCCAAACCTGATTAAAAATGTCACAAATCCATTTTGTTCCTTGGATTTTCTTATCAAGCTTTGGTTTAATATGTATTTTGATTTTTTATTTTCTGAGACCGAATTAAAAGAAACATGAAAAAAAAAGTATGATAACCAGAACAAAAGAAAAGAAAGAGAGAGACTCCAAACACGACTTCTAAAGTGACTACTATCTATCGACTCTAAAGAAAGACCAAGGAAATTATACTTCCATAACTCTGAAGAAAAAAAAAACAAAAGGGAAGTAGAAAGAAACAAAAAAAAGAGGAGAACGGGGCAAGAAAGAGAGAGAGGAGACTGATGAGGGAGGTTGCTCGATCGCAAAGCCTCGCCATCACACACGTAAAACTGCTCAAAGGAAGAGTAACAACAAACAAGTGAATCAAGTTTCGATGACCCTAGTCAAGTCTTTTGAGGTATATATAACTTTCAGCAAATTAAGAAAAAGGGAGGGAGCAAAACCAGGGAACCAAAGGTCTCGCTTTTTTTCTTTCTGTGTTTGCACTTTTTTTTGTTGGTTTGTTGGTTTGTTCTTCCCGTTTTAGACAAAGAAACAATGCGATGGGAAAAAAAAAGAAGAGAGAGAAAAAAAAAACATCTACGAGAGAGAGAGAGAGAGAGAGAGAGAGAGAGAAAGAGGGGGCATAAGAACTGAACGAGCAAACAAAAAAAATAGAAGAATGGGTTATTTAACCAATAAGTTCTCCAACTGCCGAGTCAATCCCACTTCCTTCCTATGAAGCCGTAAATACAGTTTTGTGTAAAGGCGTCAGTAAAAAGAGCTAAACGGTTATGAATGAACAGGAACGGAAAATCAGAGGTATGAAGGTGTGACTGACTCGGATGGCACTTTCCCAGTATCCGTAAATGATGGTGACAGCTAGAAGGATCCCAGTTCCGCTACCCAATGCACCCATCAAATCGGCACAGACAGATAGAGCGCCGATCGTAGCCCCACCGAAGGCAGCAGCGGTAGGGATAATTCGCTTGAGTTCTTTGTACATGGAACCTTCCCGATGACCGGCCATGACCATTTGTTGATCTTTCAATTGCTTAGCAACCTCTCTCGGTCCCGAACCAGAGACCTCGATCCAAGTCTTCGAGAACAATGCACAAGCTGTCAACATGAACGAGACATACAACAGGGTGTGGATCGGATCCGAAAAGACGTGGCGGATGTTGTGGGGTGGTGAGATGTAGTAAGCGAATCCAGACTTGGCAAATAATTGAGACGAGTTCTCGAGTGGCTCCCAAACCCCAAGTAATTTGACCAAGATGTTATCAGGAAATCGGCTGAACAACATTTGCGAGACGATGAAGACATTCGAGGTAAGGGCGGATTCAAGCATGATCGGCATGTTAGAAGTGTAGAAGAGCTTGACGGGGAAGGTACCACGTTGGCCACGGAATCGGTTGGACTTGACTGGAATCTCGACTCGGAAACCTTGGAGGTAGATCACGGCCGCAAAGACGACGAGGGTAGCGATCAGGTTCATGACGTTTGGCAATCGATCTCTGTAGAAAGCCTCCTTCAATGCTCTGGTCTTATCGTTCCAGGTGAACAACAGATGGAACAAGGCAATCAGAGCACCCTCGAACTCAGGCCCACGCCCGGTGTTGATCGTCGTAGGCGAGAACGCTTTCCAGATGATCGATTCACAGATGTTGGTGGCGATGAAGAGCGAGATTCCCGAGCCAAGTCCGTATCCTTTTTGAAGCAATTCGTCCAGCAAGATCACAATCAAACCGGCAACGACCAATTGGAGGATCAACAGTAAACAGACACCGGCTCCCAAGTCTTTAGGTTGACCATATAAACCAGTCAAAACGTAAACGGTAGCTTGTCCAAACGAAATCAAGAGTGCAAACACTGTAAAATTGCGTTGAGTAGATATAAGGGGGAGAGAGAGATCAGGTCAAGATCGACGGATTTGTGAAGATGATTTAGTGCAGAAGGAGATACTGACGTTTCTGGGCCCCGCCAAAGAGAGCTCGGTCCTCTTTCAGGGTGAAATCGACTTCAACTAACTGAGCACCGGCCAACAGTTGCATGATCATTCCACTGGTGACGATCGGAGAGATCCCAAGTTCCATCAAGGTTCCACGATTCGAGGCGAGGATGACACGCATCCAGTATAGTGGATCTGATGAATCGGATGAGACGATTCCATAGAGTGGGATTTGCGAGCAGATCAAGAAGATCAAGAGGGTGATCGCTGTCCATAAGACTTTTTGGTTGAATGGGATCTTTCGGCATGAAAAGATTCAAATCACATCAGATTTCGTTAGCTCAGCTGGCTTGAATGTCATTTTCTGAAATCTTTCCAGGTAAACTGACTTTGCGATCGGGGGATGCCACTTCTGGCAGTACGCCCATAAAGGGCCGAACCCTACAGACATTCAGAAATACAATTGGTTTCAGGTGGTTGCCCCTGCCCCCCCTATGACGTGTAACCTTTTTTGACAAAATTAAAGAGGCGGGTGACTAACAGGTTTAAAAACCGGACTGATGGAAAAAGGAAGCAAGGGGTTAAAATCAAGCAGATATATGTTGCAGATACTTAAAAAATAAAACATCAAAGTCCTACTCACAACTCATGATCTCTCTGTGTGATCGATCGTGCCAGTAAGTTTACGGGCTGAAATCAGACGATAGCGATCGGGATGATGGGGCTTCATTAGTACAAACAACACGATCATTAGGATATCCCCCTTGGCTCTGGCTCTCGATGACCGCTGACTCACTTTGAGTCAATCCACCACTGGGACAAGGAAGGTAACGACAAACTAGCAGCAAGAAAAAGAAACGTGGTCAGCAGCCAGTTGATCGGATCGAAGGGTGAAGCAGGGGTGGCGTTCTCCCACTCACCTTGGCTTTGCTCGGTTCTCAAGAATTCTTCACTGGCTGGTTTCTTCTGCTTCTTGGGTCAGCCGCTCGCCCTGTTTGGTTGGTGAGCGTTTTATGGTGGGAGCTTACTCGGGGGGTCGACTGGTGACGATCCGGGGGGGATGAATAATCTTTGGGCCTGGTCGACGTGGAACCCGATCGAGGCTCTTGAAACGGCTGCCCCCTGCCCCCCTGGCCCCCTTGCAACACCTTGCCCCCAGGTCAGACCGACCACGCAGAAGATGTCACAGTGTGTGTCCCGGGCAACACGGGTTTCACTTCAATATCCTGACACTGTTAAGCATCTCTAACGGTCTGGGGGTGGATCGGCTCGCCTTTGGCGGCCTGGAGTCAGATGTCCCGAGGTGTCACCGGCTTGTCACAGTTGTCCTAAATGCGGACTGTGAATTTGAGCGGGGGTGGGTGAAACGCGGCCAAAGCTGCCAAACTCAGCAGCCGAGGGCAGCTTTGGTCCACCCCCGCGATGTTCAGCAGCTCGCTCGGCAGCTCCACTAGCGACCAAAAGAGCCTCGCGGCCCGCTGAAGTCGGTCCCAGGTCCCGCATCAGCAGGACCGTTGGAGATGCTCTTACACTCTCACAGCACCACAACATCACTCACAGCCAAGCACATCCATGCCAAACCAACCTCAACCAAAGAACCACCACCTTCAGTGAAACAGCCAGGATGTCCATCACCCACATCAGCAATCTCGATCAACTCAACAAGCTAATCTCACAACACAAGAACACAATCATCGTCATCGATTTCCATGCACAGTAAGCAAACCGGAACTCACATCCAGAAGAAAGCTATCCCCTGAATTAACCACCATCCTGTTTCTCTGTATGTAGATGGTGCGGACCTTGTCATGCAATCGTTTGAGTAGTTTCCCCCCTTTGAGTCTTCGTAAGAGTTATTAATTGGCTTACTCTTCAAAAATTACTCAAATTTATACAGGCCGATTTTTATTCATCACTAGCCAATTCAAATAAATCATTAACGTTCACAAAATGTGATGTTGATCAAGCATCGGATGTCGCAAAGCATTACCAAGTTGTATGTCTTATCCTTAAATCTACCTATTGTTTTTCTGGATGCAATTTCATTCAAAAAAAAAAAAAAAAACCGGATGTGTGTGATAATTTATTCGACTGCCTATTTGTTCAGACTGCGATGCCAACATTTGTCTTCCTGAAAGCGGGGGTCAAGATCGATCAAGTCAGAGGAGCCGATAGAGCAAAGTAAGAAAAGATGATTGATCTTATACTTTGTATTAATCCACAGACAAACTGATCATAAGTTTTGTCTTTATTTGATCTCTTCTGTACAAAACCATTGTTGTATGTAGTTTGGAAAAACTAGTCAAGAAGTATGCCGGGCAATCCTCAACGCCAAGCGGATCGACATTCCAAGGAACAGGCCATAAATTAGGCACATCGTCATCATCATCATCGACTTCCACTAGCACAGCCAGTACGGCTGCACGTGTGGTCCCGAATGTCCAAGCCCTCAATACCCAGACATTGATTGACCGATGGAACCAATTATCCGATTATCATAAATTGGGCATCATCTTATTTTCGGTTTATCTTTTCTCGATTTATTCCTCCTCATAGGCAGTCCCTCAAACGTTGTATACGTCGATTCATGTAATTCTCTCTTATCCTCTTCATCGACGGACGTAAATCCTTCATTCCTCGGTCCAAATCTTGTTGCTCTCTGTAATCTATCCAGCCCTCTTTTTTGTCGAGGGAAAGGTTAGGAAAAATATATGCAACACATGTTTCTGTGCCGGAGACCATAGGTATTAGCAACATCCCATTTCTTCGGTGAGTTTGTGGCATGTTACACTGAGGAAGAGGCATCAGCTTAAAAAGTGGTCTGAAACTAGTTACCAGACTCTCAGGATCGGTATTACAGTATGATTTTGGCTTCTACAATCGTGATTGAGAGACTCCGAAAGACACCGGTGCTGAACGAAATGTGTACTGCAACTCTACGGCTCTAAGCTGAAAAGCGAATCCGAACCCCTTGCCTCACTTGAAAGTGTAGCATCCATGCTGAATCAATGAGCGATTGCATACCAGCTGAACTTGGGTGAGTTGAATAGTCGCTTGCCATACAAATTGGTAGTTCCAATTCACCCCATGAGTATATCCCCCTGAATAAATCGCTTGTTGGAACTTTTGTCTGATTAAAGGTATCTTGACATGTCATTGTCAGGGTACATTGGAAAATCAAGTCAACCCTGGTTTATCATACCTGAATCGGACTAATTAGGTGACTCGAACACTGACGCGGGTGAATGATTGACCATCAACGTGATTTTATTTTATTATTGATGGACGCAAGATTACAAAAAACAAGGCCCACAAGAGAGAGAGAGAGAGAGAGATTAAGAGAAAGAGATTATTAGAAAGAGATGTTGGAAAGGAAACAAAGAAAGTGCCTTCGACAGATGAAACAATACAGATGGATGATTTGGGTGATTTGGTAGGATGATTTTGATGAGTTGAAAAAAAGATAGCACGGATGTTGATTTGTTGAATGCGAAAGAGGACTGGATTTGTGATACGGATTAAAGAGAAACCGGCAGTTAAAGAGACGCTGATGATTTATGAGGAGAAAACTGATAATTGAAGATAAAACTGATGATTGAAGATGAAACTGATAATTGAGGATAAAACTGATACTTGACGATAAGACTGATAATTGAATATAAGACTGATAATTGAAGTTGACACTGATAATTGAAGAAAAAACTGATGATGCAAGAGATTCCTGATAATTCAATAAGGATAAACTGATAGTTGAAGGTTTTGATGCTTGGCTTGAGAAGGATTGGTTGATGCTTTGAACTGGAAAGGCCATCCTAGTACTACTGGTCCTACTGATCACGAAACCAAGAGTTGAACAGAACTGAGATATCGAAGGAAGGTCCATCCAGATAATAACGATTTTTCGAGCCTGCCACTTGTTGTTTTGTTTTGAATCCTAGAGTAACGCACTTGAGATGCGGCGGGCTAAAGATGAAGTTATCTGAGTTGAATTCACCTTTCATATCTGCCCTGTTTTTTCTTTTCTTGAGGCTTGAATTAATGGTTCAGCTTTTGAACAGGCGAGGATAGGGTTTTTCAGGGCTTGAATGAGGCGATGTTGATTTTGATGAAATGTCAAGCGTGAACACCATTCAGCCGATCCCGACATGTGAGGTCGAGTGCCTTGAGAGCTCTTGCTAGCCGTCCATATCTGTGAGTTCACGGGATTTTTTATATTTGATGAGACAGTCGAATGTGTGTCGTTTTCCTTTTTTTTTTTCTTAACTGAATCGCCACAAGCTCTTGATGGATCTGATTATAGAGGAAGAAGATGATCGAATGGAGCTGTTGGAAGCTGAGGATTCTGAGAATAATGAGGCCGGCTTTCTGGGGGCATTCAGGTAAAGGATCAGTTCGACTTCGGCTTCCAGGTGAGCATCCCGCTGGATGATGATGGGGTAGGCTTCAGCGGAGCAATCAATCATTGGCTCGAGTGCCTTTGAGACAAGTACCGAGGTGGCTGGAGTGGGCGTCTCGTCCACTTCACTAATGAAGTGACTCTCGTAGGAAGGAAAAGAAAAGTAGGTCGATTTGGGGGAGTTGGTCATCATCTCGATCTGGATCAGGAAAGTCGCAATTGCTTTTGATAAAAAGTTAGATTTGGTTGGGGAGATTTTTTCAAGATTTTTTTGCGCCGGTTGATTGTTGTGGATGATAAAAGCGAAACTGAAAGTGACTCTTTCGCAGGCTCTTTTTGGAGTTGGAAGGCAGCGTAGTTGTGAAAATGATTGGATGATTGGTTGGGTGAAGGATGATTGGTACGGATGAAGTTGAGGTCTTTAAATAGTGATTACCCACAAGATAGGGAATACCTTTTCCACCCAGGTATTATCAGAATGCCCGCTACTCAACCCAGTAGCTGGGCCATCAGTTGCAACCGAAGAACGCCAGCCATCTCAAAATAGCTGGAGAATTTCGTTTCAAACTGGGTTTGGTAGGACCCGAGCGGATGTGTCCTAGCCGGATGAAGGCCAAATATCTTTGGAGATCTTTCGCTGGACCAGCTTACTAGTGATACTAGGTTGTCCGGCCTCCACAAGATGAAGATAATTGCTGTCAAAGGGTCACTTGTCGACTAGTGATTGGTCGGCGGAAGAAAGATGGCTGTTGTTTCGATTCGGGCACATGATGATGAAGGCACAGACCCGGCCCCACAAGTTCTATCTTGCCGGCTCTTCTCAATCAGCCGGCCCAGCTTGAACTTGCCGTCAAAGACCAAAGAAAATTGGCAGTATAGCGCTGGATTTTATGGTCACAGACCATGACAAGCTAAGTACTGTTAGCTGGTCCTCCGGAGTGGTAAAGGGTGCGATGTCCTTGGTGGTCCAGAGGGACGCGCCGCGTCATCAACCGGGGGCTGATCACAAGCCGCCATGCCTTACCGAGAACAACGCGGGACCGGACCGGCGAACAGGGCTCACCGCGCCATCCTTGTAACGCGACGTTTGACCATGCTTGAACACGAGGCTCTGCGACCCTAACCAGTGGCCACAGTTCAATGTTCAGTGCACGGGACTCGTGTCGCGCGCCGTCCGCCTGGCAAGGGGCTGCTGTCTTTAGTCCCGTCCCGAGGAAACCGGCGTTTGGGCAGGCGACAGCGCCGGCCCTATATGTGGGGAATGCTGTGAACTTCATCCCAACCGGCTTCACCCCCGGCATAAAGGCAGGAGTGGCTTGCGCTGCTCCAATCGAGAGCCTCGCTTTTGACAGCGGCCTACCGCCACAGAGACCTGTAAGGTTAAAGGTGATGCCATGATTACATACCTTGGCAAATAAAACCCTGGCCTGTTTTATGAGAGGGATCGCTGGATAATATTGGTAGCGTTTCAACTGCACTATTGGCAATACCGCAAGCTTATTACAAGAATGTTGGCGAAACTCATCCGCTTGTCCCATCCGTCATTCTCATCTCGCCTTTGATCAAGAACTCCAGGCTCTTCTTACAAGGGATATCATGCTTTTCGGAACTTCTTGTAAACTGGTTTCAGTATTTCCTCATGAGGAAGAAGACTTGATGAGATTTATATTGACTACAGATATGCTAGTCATGAGTATGAATCCACTTGTTATGTCACATAAATTGAGGAAAATATCGTGAATAATACCTAATAATCTTTTTTGGGGGCTCTGAATTTTTTTCCAAAATGAGGAAATAAAAAGTGCTTAGTAGAGAGAGAGAGTGTGTGTGTGTGTATGAATTTCATCCGATCCCTAGTTTTGACCTGTTTCTGAATGATGCTTGAGTCCGGCCACATTCATGGCCCATCCAACATTCAATTTTTGTACTAGTCTTTAGATGTCCAACCAACACTTTGATATTTAGAGCTTGCTCAAGATCACACTATCTTCAAGAATACTGCAACCAGAGAAGTCTTGTCAATCTGTCAGTTTTGACCAGATGTCCCTCCCCCGTGGTTATAGCCAAGCGGTGGTGAGGTGTCGAGAGGGGACGGGGATCGGGAAGGACAGCCCGACAGTCCAATTGCCAATTTGCACCGACGATCGGAAGTTGCGTAAGATCCGGAAACATTAAGGGGGAAAAAAAAAAAACGATGAGCTTGCCGATGATCGACATCGCTGGGTTTCTTGAGCCGTCCTCGACCCCGGAAGCTCTGCAAACGATTGCCGACAAGATCCACGCGGCGTGTCTGACGACCGGGTTTTTTTATCTGAGCGGGCACGGGGTGACGGCGGAAGAAGGGGAACAGATCTTGAGGAGCACGCGGGCGTTCTTGGTGGACGGGACACCGGGCGAGAAAGAGCGGCTGTCGATCGCGACGAACGACCATGCCCGGGGCTACCAACGGATCGGCGATAACGTGACTGGCGGGAAGAGCGACTGGCACGAGGCCTTGGATCTCTATGCCCCCTCGCCCTTCCCCCATCTTCCACAACTCGAGCAGCTTAAAGTCTTGGCCGGTCAGAATAGGTTCCCCGCCCGTCCAGCTGACTTCCAACCGGTCGTCGAGAACTGGATCCGTCGCTTGTCTGAGCTCGGGCTCGTCCTCATGAGGGCTACCGCAATGGGACTCAAGATGTCCTTATCGGAAACCGAACAGTTGCTCGATCAGGTTCGGAACTCATTCTGGTCAATCGAGCAGTCACTTTCTATTCTCTCTACCTTTCCCCAAGAATCACTGCTTTCTGATCTCCGCCATTTGCAATCTTCTTTCTTTCTCTCTCGCTCTCTCTTTTTTTAGGGTCTTGCGCTGTATTGGTTATCCGCCCTTACCATCCACTCATGATGGTGTTTCTTGTGGAGCACATAAAGGTATGATGATCGACTCTATATGACTTAATTCTTTTTAGACGTACATTTCTATCGGGGATGAGTGAGGATTGATGAGGATTGAATCTTGATGGCTTGGTCAGATTACGGCTGTTTCACCTTCTTGCATGCCGACTCAACCAAAGGATCGTTGCAGGTCTACGTGCCTAAAGCAAAAGCAACTCATGATGAGCAGGAACCAGAGTATCATTGGATCGAGGCCAACCCGATCGAAGGCGCTTTCGGTAATCTGTTTTTTTTTTTAAAAAAAAAAAAAAACAAAAAAAAACATAGAAACCACACGTTCACTGGGTTCAAGAGTCTCAGAATTGATAGCTGTGTTATTTTGTCTTTGGGTCGACTGCAGTGGTCAACATTGGGGAAATGTGGGAAACGTGGACGAATGGGCTTTACAAAGCGACGCTCCATCGAGTAGTTCACAAGAGTAACAATTACCGAGTCTCGTTCGTAGCCCACGTCCTCGGAAGTCACAACAATAGTATTGATGCAGTCTGATGGATTTGCGCTGATGATCTGGTTTGTTGACAACAGAGTTCCATTCTTCTATGAGCCGGCTTTCGATGCCATTGTGGCCCCTTTGCCAGCGGCCATCCGGTTGCAACAACGTCTGCAAGGTAAACAACTGGTGGAGATCGTCAAGAAACCGGTCCAGTATGGCGAGTTCCTGATCAGTAAAGTCAGCCGAAATTTCTCCACTTCGGCCGACTCCGACGCTCAAAGGCGTGATCGATATTGATTGTTTGTCGGATCCGTGGATGGACGAGTGCTTCCACTTTATGATCAGATTCACAATCTTGTACCATCATCTTTAGGTTTGCAATGTATTATTATCATCTTTAGGTTTGCAATGTATTATCATCTCAGTGGCAAGGTAGTCGCCATTCACAGATAACCTATCGCTCCAAGATAACTGACAAATCATAGAGATATTGAGTAGCGATAATTAAACCCAATTAATTCCAATCCTTGGGGAACTGCGAGCCTCCCAAATGACACCATTAGACTCTGCTGAAGTCTTAACATCAAAACATTTTTCAAAGTAGGGTACTTCTATGAATGCAATTTCGAGGTGTTTCCCACAACAACCCCAAGAGTTAAAGGAATTGAAGGGAAAAGTCTCTCGGCTGTAGAGAAACGATGCAAGCTGGATTGCTGGTTTGCAAAAAAATAAAAAATAAATAAATAAATATATCAAAAAGGGTCAATTTATCTAATGCTTTATTCGAATGTCAACCAGATACAACTCATCAAACTTCAAATCAAAAAGAGTCAGTAAGAAGAAGAAGAAGGAAAGATGTCGATAGGACCCCCCCCCCCAAAAAAAAAGACAAGTATAACATTTGAAAACAAAAAGCTATGTAGATACGGATTACAGGGCAGTCTTATTGGGGTACAGGGTGCGGATCCAAGTTGACCTGAGGCGAGGTATCGGGGACAGGAAAGATGGACGGGGAACAGCGGGCGCTGAATTTCTGGAGGGCTTGATTGCGGATGGCCGATTCGACTGAGCAGAATGCAGCCGATGTAATATTAAATGAGGCAAGTGATATGTATAGGTTTGTTGAAGACAAGAGAGGGAGAGATGGGGAGATCGAGGAAGGCACTCTCACCGGCCAGCTCGTCGTGGATCATCCTCCGCTTCAGCTCGGCCGTGTACACTTCTGCCTCCAGCTCCGCCCTCTTCTTCTCACCGGTCGACGGTCGGTGTCGTCTGGCTATATCGTCTTCAAATGCTCCGCTTGTCCGGCCGACTTGCTCCGATTTGGTTGGCGCGCCGGATAGCTCTTGGATCGCTCGGCTCCTCTCAGAGACCGACTGATCGACAATGTCGATGCAGCTCCTGATCAGGTTCTCTCGACTCGCCCAACTAGCTTTTACCATTCCAAGAAAAAAAAAGGAAGCTCATCTTAGTTTATATATAGTCCAGATACAAACGCGTTTTTTTTTCGTGTCAATGAAACACTTCACCGGTCAAGATTTTCCAAAACTCTGCACATTGGCTTGTCGAGGGCTGGCTTTGATTGTGTTGGTGAGGAGGATGGTCGGAGGGGGAGCCTAGGAGGAGGAAGGAGCGGTTGAGGGCGAGGGTGATGGAGTCGTCTGACTTGCGATAGCGTTGGAGGAGTCCTATGGAAATGCCGCTCTCAGTTCTCAGTTTGATTGTGAGGAGGGAGTCAGTTCAGTATGAACCACTCAAAAAGACGTCCGTACATACTTCGAAACTCCGAGATATCCAAGCACACCGATGAAGGTAGTCTTCGCTCGATGATGGATTGTTGTTGTTGAGGAGCAGGATCTGTTGGAGGGCCCGTCTTGAGCTGGGCGTGGAGCCATTCGGTGCCGAGCCACGCCGGGCTGGATCGCGCTGGACGAGAGATATCCGGCGGGCTTGATGATCTGTCGCCGGCAGTCATGGTCGTCTTCTTAAATGGTTTGATTGAAGTGGTACGCTTGGGCGGCATTCCAACTGCCAGCGGTTTAGGCCCCCCAAAATATGAACTTCCTGGCCAATTTGTAATAACAATATGTATGCCGATCACCGATGCTTGTTAGTCAAACTTCATAACTTTGTCTTCCATTGATCACCATTTCTTATAATATGTATTGGCCCTTGACCCCCTTCAGGCAGGAGTGGGCTCAGAGCAGGTTGACCGTCCGCCAACTCTTACATATGTTGTAATGGCCATCCCCATCATCCATGCTTCACTCGTTAACTCTTATACAATCCTATCAGAATTAGATCTTCTCAGTGCTAGATCGACCGCCTCTCCTGAAAACCTTCTACATGGATTATAGGACGATCCAGTGCGGATTCTAATAATAATCTGGCGAGGCTGATGGCTATATTGGGATAATTTGTATCAGCCTCGCCCAGGACTTTCAAACACTGGTCCTCTCTCTCTCTCGGCGCTCGTTGGGGATCCAGTTAGCGAAATCAGATTGGATATCAGCCTCTGCTTATCTCGCCTCAGGCTCAACCTCAAGCCTGCCCAACCCAGCTGCCCTCTCCATCCGCCCCGTCGAGAGAACAGTCACCTCCGGGCTAGCCATGTCTTTCCTGTTGTTGTTTGGGTTCAAGTGTGCTCACAATATTCCTGCGAAGCGATTCTCCAACCAACCATCCTCTGCTTGATTCTTGAGTCATGCCTTTGATGGTCTTCTTCTTCTTCTTCTGGCTGACGATTTCTCTCAATGTAGTATTCCCTCTGATGCTTGATTCGAAGACCGTCGAAGTGGCAGTAGCAGCATCCAAATTCGATGGCCATGAGCAGAAGAGGCCAGCAGCGATCCTAAGACTCCGCCAGCTTCCGCCGCCCGTCTCGACCGTCACGGCCACGGTGACGCTGACGGTCACCAACACGGCGTCGCCAGTCCCACCGTCCTCCTCCATTGCTGCCTCCCCACTGGCGACGGCCACCAATCCCGTGAGCGTGAGCACTGCTTTCCCCCTCTAGTTTTATCGAGCGAGTGCTTCCTCCTTTTCAGCACTTCCTAGACTCACAAACATCCCAGTTGTCCGGAATACCTTCAAGCCCTCCAACCTTCGTCACGGCTACCGACCAAGACCTTCCTCCTCCCTCCTCCCTCCCCTCAATCAGTCTCCCCTCATCCATCAGCCCCGCAGCCTCCGCCCTCCCCACGCCACTCGATCAACCACCCTCCTCCTCCTCAACATCCACCGCAGACTTATTCCCCTCATCAAGCTCGCTCCTTCCCTCGGTTGGCTCCCCTTCAACTTCAGCATCGACTCGACAAAGCAGCCCATCGGGCTCGCTGAATCCAAGTACGTCGCTCCGCTCTCTCTCTTCATGGATTTGATTGGTGACCGGAGAGCTGAGGATGATCCAGGATCTCTGCAGACTCGAGCAGCTCAGGAGACGACAATACGAGAGGGGAGGAATCTGGGCGAGAGCCGGGCGAGGAGGATAGACGGGGGCTCAACCGACTGTTGGTGCCGTTCATCGTGATCTCGGTGCTCTGTTCGGTATGTCTGGCGGCGGGCTTCCTAGTGTATCTGTGGCCGTATCTGCGGGAGGCCCGGCTGGGCCAGCAGGCTCTCGGGCAGCAGGCCGGCCCGACAATCTTCGAGCAGGACTACGCCGTCTGCGCAAAGACATTCGCTCCCAATCCCTCCGGGGCCTTGGACTACCAACGCAGCCTCTCCCGCAAACGCAATCGAAAGGCCCGGCTCGTCGACCAGCCCCTGCCTAACCAGATAACCGCCTCCTCCGCCGCCGCGTCTCCGGACTTCAGTAATCTCCCCAAGCCCGACCCCCGGGGGCTCCATGAACCCACTCTCTGGCTCCCCCAAACTGCTGCCGGACCCGGCCTTACTCGGCCCGCTTGAAGCCGGTCGTCTTGCATACTCTTCATTCATCTTCTGCTTGTATTCACAGTCTCCCTCGTCTTTCCGTTCGTCTCTTTTCTGTGCCTTCTTCTTCTTGTTTCGCTTCTAGATTCTTGTGTTGGTATGGTTTGCCGTCAGGATGTCGCTCCCAACAGCCGCCGAATTAATTGTAGACTTACATATACAAACACACTCATACACTATAACACATCTATTTATACGCAACTCATCCAAAGAGTCTTGTTTCTGTTTTCTGTTTTCTTTTCTTTTTTTCGGTGGTCACGTTCTTTTTTTTCAAGAACTATTCTTGTAAAGCACTTCCACTCACAAAGAAAGAAAAAAAAACCTCTTCAACCTTTCCTTTAATTATATTTTTGAGAGGTGACAGAGATCATATTTCGAGTTGGATCACATGAGTGGCTCCATGATAGTAACTGAGAGATGAATGTATGATTTTTCCAGGATAGGGATGACTGGATGAACAGCGTGAAGAAGGAAACAAGACCTTCGGATCCTTGCGCTCCGACATCCCAACTACTCCATCTCGATCAGTTTAAGTAATAATTGTCTGAGGTATTTAAATACTTGATCAGTTTTGGGCTGATCCAAGCGCAGGGACTTTGTTAAGAAGTCATGTAGCTCAGGGCAATCAGAGATGGAGAGCACACAGCGGCGTGACAAGAGCTTATGCCCCACCCCCATGTCCCATATCCACTACGACACCCTAACATAACAAAAATGGATACAAAAACTTTCCAACCCCGACCGACATATTAGAGGACTTGGGCGCTGTCTAGAGTCCTTTCAGAAGTCGACCTATAGATTCTCGTGGGGGGGGGGGGGAATTTGGGGTTTTGAGGCTCTTGATTGGTTCTGGGGGACCCGCACTGTAGATTCCAAACGAAAAGTGGACTCGGAGGGGAGGAATTTCTTCGTCACATCTGTGAGCGACCCTCGCAGAAGTCGATCACAAGACCCGAACACGGTAGATTCTCGCAGAGAAGAACTCGGCTTTCGAGGCTCTACATCGGCTCTGGGGGACCCCCAGATTGTGACGGGGAAGTGCTGCAGTCGAACTGGAAAAAGTAAATAAGTCTGTTTATAGACTGAAGTGAGGGGGGGAAGTCCAGGACTGAGATGAACGCTTTCAACACGACCCCCTGAGACGATGGCTCTGGTGGATAGTATTGTGTAGCCATCGATGATGTCTGGTCTGGTGCTAATGAATGCGGAAGAGCGATCGACGCCAGTACTACTACATAGCTTGAGGACAACACACCTCCAAACACGGGCAGATCGGCGGTTCAAGTCATCAAAGTCGTCGGTTGAGGCCAATCTGAGCCCCATTACAAGTTGGTATTTGACGATCCAAATGGCCTCCCTCCGTAGAACTCAACCCTAAGCGGAAGAACCCAAAAGGAACGCGAGAAAGAGGCAGATGAACCCGAGCAAGCGCTTACGAACAAGGGACACCCTCCAAGGACGGATAGAGCCAATGAAGGTTGAATTGGCCTGCCCGATTGGTCTCTGATGAGGGCCAGGCTGTGAACTGTAGTCACTCACAACGCTGATTTATGGATCGTTGAGGCGGGCCTTTCTTTCATCTGCTTCCTGGGAGGTTAATGCTTAGCTTGCTCTGCCTTTATTTTGCGCTCTTTGGGCTTGGGGCTTCGCGTCCGAGAAGTGAGAGCTTGAACCTTGTACAGCTGAGAAAAATGCTTGATGATTGATGATGATTTGCTCATCTTTGGAGCTCACGTTTTTCCGCTCCACTGGCTCAGCCGACTTGGCCTCCCGGCAATAGGGAGGGGTACATGAGCGTCTCAGCTAGTACCAAGTGGGAGTTGAGACGATGGGGGTACAATGATGAGTCCATCAAGCAGTCTCTTCTCGGCGAACCTTTTGCCTGTTTTAGAACTCTGCTCTTATCCCATTGCTCGACGACATGAGCGTCGAGGAGGGCGATCTCTTCGTTTCGCTTCTACTGATCCGATCTTGTAATTGTCCATGGCAGCTGTTGAAAGAGAGAACTTATGAGGTTTGACATGTTACATTGTAGCAGGGTGTTTTTGGCAAATCTCGACAGAAAACCGACTGTATCACCTTATTTGAGGCCAGATACCGCTGTCGTCATCAAACCCAATAATGATAAAAAAACGATGAGGGTTCTATTTTACACAAACTGTACATTGTCAATGATTGAGATGAAATAAACAAGTGATTTTTCATTTTGTTTTGTGTTGATGGGTGTGAGAACGAGTGGAAAGAAGACGATCACAAGATATAATGAAAGTTAAGGATTGTGTTCAATATTCAAATCAGCCCTGCTGCTGCTGAAGAGTAAAGTGAGAAGAAGAAGGAGTGAATGACTCAACCTGAGTTAAGTAAGATTCAGCCACGATTCTGGCACGGGCGTTTAAGCTCAACTTCATCTCACTGATTTCTCGATCGACATCTTCCATGAATCTTCAGAATAACATGAACCGAAATAGTTGTCCACATGAGTTCTAAACCAGAAAAAGGGGAGTAAGAAGAGAATACAGAGAAAGAACAAAAAGGACTGAACTGGATAATGAAGTCAACCACTTTCAATCGGATCATCGATTCGATGTTACGCGACGTGATCAGGAAACTTATATCAAACGATTTGATCGGTTTCCTTCTCAAGATGATAAAGTTTTCTGCCCGGAGACTCAGGAACCTCGTCACTCCTCTAGCCCTATGGTGAAAAAAAAAGGATCCAATGACACAATCAATCAGCAATCAGAATGTGAAGCAGAACAGAGCCCGAGAATAGGTTGATTAGCATTGAAGTCAAAGGGCAAGTAGATAAAAACAAGTCTTGGGAACTTACAGGATTTGTTCGATGTCATCAGCTTGTTTGATTTTGATGCTGAGTCTGACCGAGTTGATTGATGGTTCGATCAAGACGTATTCGGAGGGAGTACGAGAGATGTAGAGAGGCGTCAAGAGGACTTCGGGGGTTTTCCTAGGTTACACAAAGAATCGACATGTAAGATATCTTTTTTGTGTTTGTTTCATTTTTGTATTATTTGATGATCGATTTCGTCTTCCTTGAGTCGAGGAAGCTCTGTTCTGTTGGAAGTGTGTGTGTGTTTTTTTTTTGCGCAGCGATTTGATTCGATTCTAGGCTTCTTTGGCGGTTGAACAAGTAAGTGGATGAGGAACTAACCCAGCTTCAATCTCTGGTCGATTATGTCTCTCTACGACCTAGATCCAACCAGATCATCACACATCAACCACCAATCGAACACAGAGAAAAGGAATAGAAGGACAGAGAGGGGAAGGAAGAAACAGACGGGACTTACTTGCGAGGCAAAGTCCTCTAACGTCAGCGCCGCCGTCAGAGTAGCTCTGACGCAGGCCAAGTAGGGCCTCAAAGTATTAGACTGAGGCCGATGGTGATCAGTTGTTCATTTCCATCGCATTTCGTCGTCGATCGGGACATGGATATGTATAGGGAAAAAAAAGCAACGAGAGGTAGATATGTAAGTGGGTTGTTTCTTTGTGAAAGGCTTTAGGGGACTGACCATGTGGTGCGATGGATGGCTTCTTGAATCTGTTGCTTCTGTTTCTGGGCAATGGAGGTTGAGGTTGGCTCGGATAACTTTACAGCAAACTTGCCTATCGCCAATGTTTATGTAACTAGTGCCGGCTGCGTAACTGCGCCGCACTTCATCCAGCACACTTCCCTCGCTTGAAAGCCACCCCTCGGAGACCACAGCAACAGGCAACACACAAAAAAACCCGACCATCTTGCTTCTCCAAAAGAATACATCGCACCCTTCTCTCAGCTTTTACACGATGGAAAACTTTCCCCCACACGACCCCAACTCCCCATTCAGTTTCCCCAAGGAAGAAGAAAAAGTGCTGGAATACTGGAATTCGATCGACGCATTTCAGACTTCCATAACCCAAAGCAAACTCGAATTAGAGGCCGGTAAACGGAAACGCTGGAACTTTTATGATGGACCCCCGTTCGCCACCGGACTGCCGCATTATGGACATCTCTTGATGGGAACAGTTAAAGTAATCTCAAATTTGCATTAATTATAATCTGGATTTGATCGAGACCCGCCCAACTAATTATTTGGTTGGTTGGTGAGTAGGATATTGTTACCCGGTTTGCTCATTCAGATGGGAATTACGTCGAACGTCGTTTCGGATGGGATTGCCACGGCTTGCCGGTCGAACATGAGATTGATAAGAAACTTCAAATCCAATCGAAACAAGATGTCATGGACATGGGCATCCCGAAATATAATGCTGAATGTCGGGCGATTGTCATGCGTTACTCGAAAGAGTGGAGAGCTACGATCGAGCGAATGGGTCGTTGGATTGACTTTGATAACGATTACAAAACGTTGAACGTTAGTTACATGGAGAGCATCTGGTGGGTCTTCAAGCAGCTCTGGGAGAAGGATCAAGTCTATCGGGCCAGTCGAGTGATGCCCTACTCTACCTCATGTACAACACCCCTATCAAACTTTGAAGCTGGAAGTGATTATCGGGACGTCAACGACCCGGCGGTGACGATCTCGTTCCCCTTGATTGACGATCCGAGCACTTGTTTGCTCGCTTGGACTACAACCCCGTGGACACTTCCTTCGAACTTGGCAGTCTGTGTTCATCCTGAAATGACTTACATCAAGATCTTCGATGAACAACACCAGAAGAACTTCATCATTTGCGAAAAATTACTCGGTACACTTTACAAAGATCCCAAGAAAGCCAAGTTCAAAAAAGTGGCGACCTACCTAGGCAAAGATCTGGAAGGATGGAAGTACGAGCCTCTGATGGATTACTTCTATGATCAGTACAAAGATACCGCATTCAAGGTCGTCACGGATACCTACGTGACTTCGGACTCCGGTACCGGTATCGTCCATCAGGCTCCAGCGTTCGGTGCAGATGATCACGAAGTCTGTAAGCGTCATGGTGTCGTCCCGGCCGATGTGATCCCACCTTGTCCCATAGACGACGGCGGCCGCTTCACAAGTGACGTTCCTGACTTCCAAGGCCAACATGTTAAGGTTTGTCAAAATCAGCCTTGGATTCGAAAAACCCTCTATGGGTGAACAGATCTGACAAAAAGAAAACTATTGACACCTAGTAGGAGGCAGACCCCCATATCACTAAGTTCTTGAAACAGAAGGGACGCGTGATTGTCCAAAGTCAAATCAAGCATTCTTACCCGTTCTGTTGGAGGTTTGTGAGGAGCCCTATTCACTATGTATTCTCCAAAGACTAAACTATGCATTTTTTTATTTGAATAGATCAGGTACACCCCTCATTTACCGTGCGATCCCAGCGTGGTTTGTAAGAGTTCAGCCGGTCATCGATCAATTAGTGGAGAATAATCGCCAAACCCGCTGGTTGGTTCCAATATTTAATGTCCTAACGAATGGGATTCTGATTGCTTCGCATCTTCCGCATTTCAACATTTTAGGGTACCCGCTGCAGTTGGCGAGAATCGATTCCAAAATTGGTTGGCCAATGCCCGCGATTGGAATATTTCTCGAAACCGATACTGGGGTACGCCGCTGCCGATCTGGGTTAGTGACGACTATGAAGAAGTAAGTCAAAAAAAGTATTACTTTTGGTAGATGAAGTGATATATTGACATTGATCGATAATCGTTTTGGGCTTGTTCTTTCAGCAAATCTGTGTGGGATCCATTGAAGAATTGAATGAGCTGTCTGGATGCGGGATCTTGAAAGATTTGCATCGGGAGTCAGTCGACAACATCTTGATTCCCTCGCGGATGGGGAAGGGGATGTTGAAGAGAGTGGACGAAGTATTTGATTGTTGGTTTGAATCAGGAAGGTTCGTATGGATGACTCTGTCTTACTGTCAGGATTCACTGCTGATACTGTGATGTTTCTAGTATGCCATACGCTCAGGTTCACTATCCTTTTGAAAACAAGGAAGCGTTTGAATCCGCTTTTCCAGCCCAGTTTATTGCTGAAGGCATGGACCAAACCAGAGGATGGTAGGTCATCTGCGATGATATATCTAGGTCAGCTTGATGTCGGCACTAACTTGCGATGATCTATAGGTTTTACACTCTCCTCGTGCTTTCGACTCATCTGTTTCAGAAGGCGCCTTGGCAGAACTTGATTGTATGTGGATTGGTCTTGGCTGAGTGTGTTCACATATATATACTGGCTTGGATAAACTATGGAAGCTACATGGAAACTTACATCTCATGCGCACTTAGGGACGGCAAAAAGATGAGCAAGAGTTTGAAGAATTATCCCAACCCAAATGTGATCTTAGATCTCTATGGAGCCGATCCTCTTCGGTTTGTAGCTCATATCTTGACCAGTCGCTTAAATTTCACATCCATATCATCTCTAACAAAACAAAACCGTTTTCTTTCGACTTTCAACAGACTGTTCTTGATCAATTCTCCCGTTGTCAGAGGAGAGAATCTCCGCTTCAGGGAGGCAGGTGTCAAGGAAGTGGTCAGTCGGGTGATGCTTCCTTGGTTGAATTCGTACCGGTTCTTCCTCGGTCAAGTCGCACTCTTGAAGAAAGTCTCCGGGATAGACTTTGAATATGACCCCAAAGCAAAGCTATCTGAAAACGTGATGGATCGATGGGTTTTGGCTCGTTGTCAGGGGTTGATCCAATACGTCAGGGCTGAAATGGAGGGTGTGTGCTAGTGGTGATCTCCCCACGTTGATTGCCTCACTGATCGGTGTCTTCCTTCTAGCGTACCGACTGTACACCGTCGTGCCGCAGATGTTAGACCTCGTCGATGAGCTGACAAACTGGTACATCAGGTTCAATCGAAGAAGACTGAAGGGTGAAAACGGGCCGGAGGATGCTGTTGTTGCCCTGAACACCTTGTTTGAAACGTTATTCACACTTTGTCGCACACTAGTAAGTGCTTCGGTTACATTTTTTATAGTGTTTGGTTGAAATCTAACCATCTTGGCATTATCAATCAGTCATCATTCACGCCGTTCCTCACAGAAAACATCTATCAGGGACTTCGGAGCTTCTTCCCCAAAGGAAATCTGGACTTGGGTTACGGCGATGATCTCCGATCGGTTCATTTCCTCCGCTTCCCTGAAGTTCGTGCTGAGTACTTTGACCCAGTCATCGTTCGACAAGTCAAACACATGCAAACGGTCATCAACTTGGGTCGAACCATTCGAGAAAGGAAAACGATCTCATTAAAGGTTTGTAATTTAATTTCAACTAAACAAAACAAAAAAAATATTGATGGCCACTTATATTTTGTGCCCAACTTACCAATTATAGACACCCTTGAAGGAGCTGGTAGTCTTCCACACTGATCCAGAATATCACGAAGATGTCAAGAAGTTACAAAACTATGTGGAGGACGAGTTGAACGTACACCAAATCACCTACAGTAGTGATGAGGCGGCATGCGGAGTAAAATACAAAGCAGGTGCTGACTGGGCCGTCTTGGGCCGTCGACTGAAAAAAGATCTAGCCAAAGTGAAACGTGGCTTGGAGTCGACCACCTCAGACCAACTGAAAAACTACTTGGAGAGCTCAAGGATGACGATCGAAGGAATTGAGATCGGGCCAGGCGATCTGACCGTTAGTCGGTATGTCGACAAAGAAGCCGGCAGCTCGGACGAGTCGCCTACTGCACCGGCATACGAAAACAACACCGACGAAGACGTGGTGATTCTGCTCGATTGCAAACTGCGACCCGAGCTCGAGTCCGAAGGGTTTGCCAGAGAATTGATGAATCGAATCCAACGGTTACGGAAGAAAGCCGGCGCAGTCCAGACGGATGACTTGGATGTCTACTACCAGTTTTCGGAAGATTCGATCGGAGAAGCCAATGAATTCTTTGAACAGGTCTTGGCTACTCAAGGGGAAGTGCTCTGTAGAGTCTTGAGGAAGGTCCCCGAACCCGACTCCCTCAGAGATCCTTCTAAACCTATCCTTGCTCAGGAATTGCAGGAACGCTGGGGAGACCAGAAAGTTACACTGACTCTCGTTCGTGTCTAGCTCTAACTATTCAGGTTGACCCGCTCTTGAGTAGTTTTCGCTCGCTTTATTTCCATCTTGCCCCATTTTTTGTTCTGATTACTCAATATATTCATGTTACATTGATACCATGTCAACTACACTACATTAGGCTGACAGATACATAAGTGTATGTATCTCATACATACCTATGTAGATGATTCCTTCAAAACAGTTGGTGGAACTGAAAGCCCCCAAAAAGCCGTTTTTTTGTGAGTTGCCCAAATGAAATCAGATAACCATTAGGATTACTTCCTTGAGTTCAATGATCTAATGGATGGATGCGTAGATCTGAGAGATTTACATATGAATAAAGGTTTCTCTTTCTTGGCATTGTCTCACAAGGATGCAACTTGAGTCTGTCAATTCCTGTGCTACATACCTAAATAGTTGAATGAGTGCAACTTACAACTTACAAGTGCAGTGGAAAGTGCCAATATCCTGGGATTCATCTCAATGCAGTTCTGTAGCACAATTGTTTCCCTTGAGAGCTTGACATAAACAATGTAGATGCAAGGATAGGAACACATCATAAGATGTCTTGATTCCTTCAATGACATGTCCAGAGTGCTTGATGACCAGCGCCAATTGTCTAGGGCCAGTAAGACTTTGTGGAGTTATGGCTTTTCTGGCCCTCCACAATGAGATATAGACTGGATCCTTCTCCCGGGACTGCTTCGTCAATAGCAGATCCTATCTGCCTTTTAGCTAGAAGTTAACTCATTATAATTGTGATCCAAGTCTATGTAACGTGCAGCCTTAATATTCTGTTGTTTGTGGCTCTTCACTTCTTGAAATAACGCAGTTGTATGATTGGCTCACATTCAGCATTGCACGTCATCTCCAGTCTCTTGACACGATCTCGCTCGCTCGTCGATTGGATTTCAAGTTCCTTGAATGCTTTTACTTTCAAAAAAAAATGTCCTTTTGATGGGGCAGCCCGGCAGCGACTCGCGAGCACAAGATTGGATCTCAGGATTCCAATCCTTTCTTAGGGACAGTTTGAATGCTGAGCTGGGGTCATGCTTCGAGCAAAAATATCAATGGTGAAAAGTGAATTGCAAGGATACATCCGAGGATCAAGATATGGTTGGTGTGGCCCAATACGCATGGGAGTGGGTTTTTTTGTATATAAATACATATTTACATAAATATTTATATCTATTTAATTGAAGTTGTGGTGATAAAAGAAGTTGTTGATGGTTCAGGGGCGCACGGGCAAGGTTCGAGAGGCTGATTGAGCCTGAGATTGCCTGTTGACCATGAGAGCCGTATTATCAGACCTGAGGTTTGGTGCAAGGGTCTGCCGCAATTCCTCGCTTGTCCGACAGTCCATCAACACGACCAACTACCACAGCCTTACCAGGACGAGTGCCTCGATCAGGAAACCAGTCGACTTTCATCGATACAGCTCACAAGCATTGGATCCAACATCTTCAATAGATCAAAGTTAGTGATTTCATCATATGTGCTCTCTTTTCCGATCTCTCCCCGGACAAAATGGCTGAGACACTCGAACTTGGTACGCTTCTGTAGATGAGACCAGTCTTGCAGCTCAATCAGCGGTTGCAGGCAGAAGGAAATCGAGTGTGGTGACGTTCAAGACGCTCAAGGAGCTATATCGAAAGGAGATTCCGATAACCATGCTCACGGCATACGATTTCGCGACGGCCAGGATGATAGGCATGGCGACACCACCATCGCAAAGCGAGAAGAAAGAGCCGAGTAGCAGCGAGCTCCCGAGCGGGATCGACATCTGTCTATGCGGGGATTCGTTGGCCAACGTCTGTCTCGGATACCAATCGACGACCGAGCTTGAGGTTGACGAGTTCGTCTACCATCTCAAGGCGATCCGCCGAGGGCTGGACAGTCTGAAGACTGAGCCCGACTATCGGATCCCGCTGTTCATTGCCGACCTGCCGTTCGGGACGTACGAGGCGAGTGTCGAGCAAGGTGTTCGAACGGCCACTCGATTGGTCCAAGCGGCCAGGGTGGATGGACTCAAGATTGAGGGCGGGAAGGAGCTGAGGCCGTTGATCGAGCGACTGAGTAGCTTCGGGATGCCCGTCATCGGCCACATCGGTCTCACCCCTCAACGGGCCAGCAGTCTCGGCGGCTTCAAAGTCCAAGGCCACGATTGTCCGTCCAAAGCCCAGGAAATCATCGCCGATGCACTCGACCTAGAGCGGGCTGGCTGTGTCGCAATCGTCATCGAAGCCGTCCCAGTCGAGCTGATCAGCCACCTGAAGAAGCTCCTCAAAGTCCCGTTGATCGGCATCGGAGCTGGCCCTCAGACGGACGGACAAGTCTTGGTGACCAGCGATCTCATCGGCGCACTCGGCTCCCATTCTCCTCTGCTCAAAAACATCAAGCCCAAATTCGTCCCCAACTTCTCCTCCTCCGTCAAGCTCGATAAACATTCACTCAGTCCGGGCCTTCGATCTCTCCCTACAAATCATTCGATCCTATGCCCATCTCGTTCGCACTCGTCAGTTCCCGAAGATCGGATTGCATACTTATAGCATGAAAGCAGAGGTCCTGCAACATTTGAACCAACACGGCTGGTCGTCTTAACAAGCCTGTTCCTGTCATCATTGACTCATTTTTTTAAAATAAAAAAAACTCTCTCTTTCTTTTTCCTCTAAACTTAGAATATCTCGCACTACCGGCAATTTATTTTCTCTCTTTCTGACTCACTCGCATATAGATGAATTCCTTTTTTTCCCTTTCAAAGCATGGAAAATCATTTAAACTTTACTGGGTGGAAATTCATCTTTCGCCTGTTTTGAATTTATAACCTCTGTGTTACATAGATTCCCTACGATGGGGAGTCATCGATGATCATGGATCACCTTTCTGAGTTTTCGGATGAGCTGGTCTTCGGATGGTGGAGTTCAGATTTTTGTTTTTAAATTTCATAAAGGTATGGATGGGGGCTTGCTGAGCCCAATGCCAATTGAATACATTTTTTTCCCCACTGGATTTTCAGATTCATGTTGTTTAACATCTTGTCAGATGTTATGTGCAGTCAAACCTGTCTAACCACATACCTGTAATGTATAAGGGCATTAACCCCCATACCAGATACATACTCATTTCAGTCCACCAAATGTTCATGAATTGGTGAAATCAAATCTGAGCCACAAGAAAAAAAAAACTTTTTCCTGCCCTTGACTACATGAACAATTACCTACAAAATTACCTCCAAGCCCAAAATTGCTCATTCCTCCCCCCCAGGTACATACCCAAACAACCACACAACATCAAATCAGAGCTAAAAAAAACTATCCTCCCCCTGAACCATAATGCACTACCACCCAGGTGTTTGTGTGGTTCCAGAGACCCATCCCAAGGACTGACACCTGTGAAACCACCCGGGTGGCCTAGCTTAACACAATCCCCTCGTTCCAGAGGGCCGGGGGCACCTCGCGAAGCGAGCCTCTGAAAGAGGGGCTTGGGAGTGAAGTTGAAACATCGGCCTGGAAGCTCAGGCTTTTTGTGGCTTTTTTTGGCCTTTGCACACAAAATCCCCTATAACTCAGGAGAAATCTGGATGATTTTGATGCCGTCAACTTCTTCGGATACCTGAGCTTCTTCCCATTCTGCCCATATAATTTTTTGATAATTGTAGTGAGTATAAGTCATCCGTCCCTGAGATGCCAATTGGGGGACTTGGTCCAAATACAGTGGTAATCTCTGGGAAGAAACGGGAATCTCTATGACCATAGTTGGGGCCCATCATGAAACTTCTGGCCAAACGGCCTTTGTGGAACGCTGTTGATGGGGGCAGGTGAGGGCCCATGGCCCCAAGAGTTATACGGAAATGATCAGAAGAAGCCGGCCTCTCAAATGGTCAAACAGGCGGGTCAAATTTCCACTTGGAAGATGACACAAGTCTGCGAGCAAGAATTTCCCCACCTAACTGATGCCAGCTTCCACACAAGAAAGCCGACTTTGTTCACAAGTCCCTCCTTCGGAGGCTCGCTCCGCGAGGGGCGCTTCGCGCCAGCCTGGCACAGGCCCATCCGATCGAGCGGGGCTTGCGTTAAGTTAGCCGGGTGGCACCATTTGGGTTACACCTTTAAAAATAACCCAAGAGTCTCACACCAGGGGAGTTTGCTTAGCACCTGCTTTCAAGTGCCATCAGTGAACTTGGCCATAGATCTGCTTCAAAGTTGATCACAACACATGTTGATGTGTACCACAACTTAACTGGATACGACCCAGAATCATACTGGATATATAATGGAATGCATGTGTAGAATGTACCCCAGACATATGCTGAAAGTAAACCAAGTTCAACTTAGCAGCAAATAGTTCTTGATCCAAAGCTTTCAATATCTTGACTATTATGATTTACCACCTGTTTTCAAGCCACTATCTCTGTAAGTTACTCTGATTTTTTCTTTCAAGGGGTCCACTAGTTACTACAAAGCATGTGAGTTAAGCAAGTCCTTGCCAGTGCCTATATCATGTGATTCTCATGTGCAAACAACTTGTCAAGTTAGTGGTGACCAGGACTCCTAACCTTTTGGTATTGGCTATGTACTAAAGAGTGTGATAATTGGAAGCCAAATGCTGACCTCACTCTGTTGGATTGATTTTCAGAACAGACACAGCAGTTAGCATGTTGACCAACACAATTGGACTGGTGCTGGTGTTTGTTTACCAAACTTTCCAACTTACATCACTACCTCGTGTAGTGCCCTGCAGCCAATGCAAGTGAGTCAAAATAAGTAGGGGAGGCTGTATATTGTGAGATGTTGTATAGAGCACTCCAAAACCTTTACAAATTCTAGACAAGAGAAAGGTAACAAACACAACCATCCTATCCTTGTTCCAAAACCCAAATCATTCACAGCCTCAGTCATATCCACTTGTTTTTCTATCCAACATGTCAAACATACTATACCTTGTTCAATTTGCCATACAAATACATTCTCCTACCTCATATTCCCTTCCTGATTGATGAAGTTTGTGAATGATAATCTTAATTATCAGAGCAAACTTGTGCATCCTAGATCTCTTCCAGTGTCTAGTGCATGTGTGCTTAAAGCAAGTTCCCTGGTGCATTGTTAGGTCTGGTGGACAGCTGCTCAACTAAGGTTCCAATCCAGCATCCCGGCTCCGGGAATTGCCTTTCAAAGATCTGTACCTAGCATATCCAGACCTGATGCTGGGTACCCAATGGATCTTCCAGAATTTAGTAATAGATGAGCAATACTGATAGTGAGAATTTGTCCTGATTGTGTGTCAATCAAGACTTGACCATCAGCACTATCATCCAAAAATGCCCCAAAAATGTGCTGCAGAAAACCAAGAATCAATTGAGATTAACTCCGTTGAAATTTTAAACTCGAGAACAGTCTGATGTTTTTAAAGGAAAGGGCTCAAAAAAGGAGAGGGCCTTTTTTTGGGAATGGTTCACGGAAAATGAGTGAAAGAACCAATGTTTTTTATTCACAAGTATCTAGCCAGAATTAAATAGACTAAATACATGTGCACAAAATTTGGTAGAATGAAAATGAATAAAAGAGTATTTTGAATAAAAACTGGGAGGAAGGAATGAATGAGTTCATGGAAGAAACAGCCAGACAATTCTTCTCAGTCTCTTTTAGAAAAGCTAGCAAATTAATCATGAAAAAACAAACACACAACCACAAATGAATAAGAGGCGTTGTGGAACTACTCTTTGGGATGAATAGAGCTGGAGAGGGAAAGATGCTTTAATGGGCTGCCTCTCTGGTAACTGGGTTGAGTAAGATAACAAGAAAAGATAAGAGTGTGGACTCTTAAGGAAAGGTGTGGCTTTGGAGGATTCTTGAGATGGGTATGTCTTCTGTCTTCTGGTCTTCTGTTTGAATGATACTAGTATCCCAAATGTTGATGGGCAACTACTAGGCTAATGAAGGGTGATCAGTTATCTGGATTGCTGGGGCAGGATCTGATGAGGAACAAATGAAGAGGGGAAAACAAGGCTCCTTATATACAAAATCTGGGGAGTGGCCAGCTTGTGGTTAGAAACACCATGGAACAAAATGGAACAAGAGAAAATTATCAAACTGAAACATGTGGCCCAATTGGTAGGTACTAAGATAAATGGGGAAAATGACATCAGAGGCATGCAGGGATGAAATGTGCCACATCCAATGAGGGAGGAAGAGTATACCAAAGAGATAAATGAGCTAGCCAGATGTGTACTAGTGTGAGACATGAAAATAACCCAAGAGGAATAGTGTGAAACAATAGAATGTGGCCCAAAGTGGAAATGAGGCTAGAGTGAAATTGGATTAGAGTGAAACACATGCAGAGGCCAAGTGTGGAAGGCTGAATGGGGATTGATGATGTAAAGCTGCATGAAGTGATTATGTAATAAAGAAGTGTAATGTGGAATCCAGAGTGTTTCTGTCCAGGGGGCTTGGTCTTGTGACATCCATGGTGTTGCAGGTTGGTTGAATAATCCAGAAGGGGCTTGCCTTGGTCCTTGAGGGTCTTGTCATTCAGAGGGCCTGATTATGTGCTTGAAGCTTTGATTTTGTGGGCCTCTTATTCAAGATTGGCTTACCACAGCGTTAATTCTTAACAATCAGTTTTGAGGAATCAAATAATGACCAGAAAAAGAAAGAAGTCAACAATAAGACTTGAGTTGCTAGAAGGAAATTGTCTTGATGAGTACTAATTAGACTACACAAGAACAGAAAATTCAACGCAGAAAACAGCTATGGTTGAGTATAATTCAGTCTGGGACAGGATGATTCAAGAAAGAAAAAGAGAGGAAAAATTAGGGAAGGAGGAAGTGAATTTAGGGAAGAGTAGGCAAAGACAGTGAAAACTCAACAGACTCAGCCTTGAAATATGAGCAAATGACGGCAGTGGTCAAATCTGAACCCAAAAATTCTGGCAAGAAAAGCTGGGTCTGGTAATATTTCAAGACAATAACCTTCAAGAATGAATCTTTTGATGTTTGCCAGGTTAACAAGACTCCTGGAAGAGAAACTTTATGCCTTAAAAAGCTCGCCATTAATTCAAAGGGATCAACTGAAAGTATGATCAGTCACTTGGGCTGCCGCCATGGAATGCAAGAGGGACAAAAAGATACAGGTTCTATTGCTAAGCTCCTACACAAAGGACAATTACCAAAGAAACTCAATCATGACTCGTTGACTGCCACTATTGCCTGGCTTTTCCATCTGCAGTAACATTCCTTATGTTGTTATTGAAGATGAAGCATTTCAGGAGCTTCTTTGTCTCTGCAACTCAGATAAGCAACAGATTTTTTGTGGAGCAGATACTCTGGCTTCATTCATTTGAACCACCTTTTGTCAGGGACAACCAGTCCTCCATGAACAACTCTGGGGACTCACGTCCCAACTCAGCCTAACCTGTGACACTTGGGCCTCTCCTAGTAACCAATCAATACTCGGAGTAACAGCACACTGGATCAAAAAAACCTTTTCTCTTCAATCAATAGTCTTAGCTGCTTGTATTATTGAGGAAAATCACTCTAGAGTCTCTCTAGCAAATCAATTAGTAGCGGTACTGTCAGCCACGAGACATGTAGGACATGTCCAAATGTCTTCATTGGCTCATATTTCCATGAGTTGGTTTAATGTAGTGGTTTGATGACCACTTCAAAGGATGAGGTATATCTTGATGGATGTACCTGAGTCCCAGTGTCCTTGGTATCTTATTCTATACTTATGTAATAAATAAATATTATACATATGTATTAAAAGCTTAGTCATCTCTCTCTTGATTATCTGCTGTAATGAGAGAGATGATTACCAATGAGGATTAATTATTTATCTCTCTCTGTATTGATTCACCCAGAGAGAGAGATGATGTCATTTCCTCCACTTTTGGTGTGATCATAATTTAAATACATATTTTGATCATTTATGATTTAAATACATAAATGATCATCTGTGGACCTGTCCGGTCCAACAGGCAGCCTGAACCCTGCCTTGCAATACTTAAGGGGAAGGCTTTCCCTCTAGGATTCCTTCCCCCAGAGATTATTGCCATACAAACCCGTTTACCTTACTTAACATTAGTGAGTGGGGTTTTAGCAGTACACTCTCCCCTTTCTCTTTACCTTTTATCTTCATCCTTTATATTCTACTATCCTAGACTACAGTTAAGTCACTACTGTAGTCTAGAAGAGAGTCATCGTACCACTCTGAGCTCAGGCGAGGTGATGCTCATTCCACCGTCGTCCCCTCTAACCCAGGGAGCTAACCCCTCCGCTTTCTAGCGTTGAGGTGAGGTTTCATTTCTACTGGCCCTTACAGGCTATAGTAAGACCCATTACCCCATCAACGCCAGGTCACATAAGAGACCGGCGTTGACAGGTACCGAGGTCTCTCAAACTCTCAAATAATATATTTTGTATCACAGCTGACAAAGTGTCAAACTGCAGAACCATGGCCTCTCTCATCTATCCTCTCTGATTCCATTCAATCGTCAAACTTGCATGCTTGGCTGTATGACACATGTGATTAACCAGAGCTTATTTATTATTAGGGGATTGACTTTCAAACCTTTTGAAGGCTTTGGAGGTCTGACTCCTAATTTCAGGGTACACAGACAGTCCTCTTGGCGTCCCAGAAATTTGGGAGTTGGAACTCCAATTTCTGGGAGCCATTTAACTAAGACCCGAGTATAATCAACTAATTAACAATCAGTTGATTTATTCCTATAAACCACCCAGACTCAAATGGTTAGAGGAATTTATGGTGATATATGCTGGGGCATATATTCCTGACAAAAGTACCTACCTTAGGAATGATTGAAGTGCTAAATGGAGTGTTGAGTTGACTACTTCTCAGCTCCAGAGTCTCTCTTATTGTCAGCATTGTGATTATCTCACGTGGTAGATTTTGCTCGCTCAGCTCTTTTGCTGCAAGGATCTTTTATAGAACTATCTAGTTCTAGTTGTTCATTTCTCTAACTTTAAGTGTACAGTGGGTGGACCATTATTTTTGGCTGCTTGTTTTGGATCCCAGAGCTTCAAAGCACTAGATTGAAGTCATGAGACTTGGTCAATTGGTCCAGAATAGGTCCCTAAAAATGAATATGAAAAAATAAAAACAGAAAATAAAGTTTCAAAATTTGTGAAAAATGTAAAATAAAATTGATTTTTTTTCAAAAGCTTTGATATTCATTTTGGGGGAGTCAGAGTGCTGAGAGAAAGGAAGATTGGGATATTAGAAGAATGATTATGAATGAAAATTTTGGAAAAATTGCTTTCCAGATGGCTTCAAACAGCTGTTGATTGGGGCATTCACCAGCCCACATTGCAGTAAAGCAGTAGTATTTACTGTTTTGGCTCCAATCTGGACAACTAACCTGTCCAAACCTTTTTTGGTTCCAATTTTTTTTTTTTTTTCATTTATAATCATTCTTACCATGTTCCCCTCTTTCTTTCTCTCAGCACTCCCACTCCCCCAAAATGAATATCAAAGCTTTTGAAAAAAATGAGTTTTAGTTTTTATTTTTCACAAATTTTGAAACTTTACTTTTTGTTTTTATTTTTTTCATATTCATTTTCTGGGACCTATCATGCACCACCTGAACAAGTCTCATAACTTCAAGTCTGTTTTTCGGAGCTCTAGGGTCCAAAACAGGCAGCCAAAAATAACGGTCTACCCACTGTACTTTATTCCTTTCACATCTTTTACTTCTTTCTGAAACCTAGTCAATATATATAAAGCTACCTCTCATATTTGTATTGGTTCCTTTCTCAAGCAATCAATTGTTTCATCCTAACCAACTGCTTGCTTTGTCACTAACCTCAAACTATCTTAGGTTTGTTTCTCTTGTTAACTCTTAGATATACCAAAATCACAATGATATGAAAAGCTTGTGGTTGATTAGCTTTTAGCTGCTTTTAGGTTTCTTAGCTTAGCTAGAATCGTCCTCTTGAAGCATTCTTGTCATTCAACCAATCATCACTATAGAAATACCGGCCATCACACGCGTAAATGATGAAGCTGGGGAGTTCGAGCTGTGGCGCCCGATTGATAAGAGTTGTAGGAAAAACAGGAGACCACACTGGTCTTTGAGGTCCGGAGAAGGCGTGAGAAGTGCAACTGGCAAACAATCACAATACCCGAACAGGGTGCATACAACTGATCCACTGAGCCCCGAGTGTGTGACATGTTTAATGGGAAATTGGCAAACAAATCATCTGAACAGGGACGCGATGAATTGGAGAAGTAGATAGTAGCCATCATGGTAGGTTGCATGGGAGTCTGAATCAAAAGAAAAGGAGAGAGAAAAAGAAAGAGACGATTTTATAGGGTTTGGGGATCTTAAGTTGTGATGATGGAAAGTACATATTGATGCCGATTAAACGATCCGTAGAGGATGAGAATGATGATCTAAGATCGGTTGGTATTGTCAGCTCAAGTGACTGGCTCAAGGACGAGTTAATCATTTGATTGCTAGTAATTTGACCTCAAAGGTCAAGACCGAGTTAGGTGGGATATCCGGGGGTGCTCCACTCTTGCCGTAAGCTGAAACAAAAAGAGAGAGACAAGACGTCAGTTGACTATTGTAGAACGAGTCGACCCGGAGTCAGACAGAGAAAGTATTTACCAAGGTTGGCGGGAACGATCAGTTTGCGCTCGCCACCCAACTTCATGCCCTTGATACCTTCGTCCCATCCCTTGATGACTTCACCGCGGCCGAGTTTGAAGTTGAACGGCTTGCCCTTGGTGTTCGAGTCAAAGACCTTGCCGTTGTTGAGTTTACCGATGTAACGCATCGAGACGGATTGTCCAGCCTTAGCATCGGCACCCTGGCCTACTTTGGTGTCGATAATCTTGAGGCCCGAAGGTAAGGTGACGGTCGACGGTGTCTTGGCGGCCTCTTTGGCAGGCGACTTCTTGGCGTCAGCCGCTTTGGCTTCCCCATCGTTCTCCTTGGCACCACCAGGTGCATCGGCTTGTTGGGCCTTTTTGAGCTTCTTGCGCTGCGACTTGGATAGTTTGGGTTGGCCGTCAGTTGTGCCAGCGGCGCTGTCGGCCATGGAGACGTCACCGTCGGCTTCTTTGTCTTCTAGAGGCCTCTTGTTTGATTTCTTGTCTTCAGTGGGCTTGTTTGACTTGGCTTCGTTCTTGGCGGGAGCCGCAGTGATGCTCTTGGTTGCCTTGGCCTTCTTGGAGGCTTGCTCGTCATCGTCTTCGATCTCCTCGATTCTGGGACCCTCGCCATCTTCCTCATCGGTAGAGATCTCATCTAATAAGAGTTCATCTGTCATAGCGCAAGGGTAAGTATTAAGTTGGGTGTGGTTCAACGGAGAAGAATGGCACCCGAGAGCTTACCCATTTCGTCCTCCGAGTCGCCTTCACTGTCGAAATCAGAGGGATCCTCATCAAGGGAGTCTGAGATGTAGCGACCCAAGAGATGGACTTCGTATTCAGCGCTACCAGTGATCACAAATCGATATTGGTCGTTGGGAGCGAGGTAAAGGTCGGTTGTGAGTTGCAAAATCTAGTGGGGTATGGCGAGAGTGTTAGATGGCTCGAGCAGAGGTCGCAGAAATTATTAAGACAAGGATGTATACATACGTTGGGGGTAAAGCATCCAACAACAACTTCCTTGGCTTCGATGTCCATCCCAGAGAAATCAGAATCATCATCTTCGTCGTCTTCCTCCTCTCCTGCATCATCGCTGTCTTGTGCTTTCTTGGCTTGCTTCTTGTCAGGCTTTCCCGCGGTTGGTTTGCTAGAGTTAACATTCTCCTTGTCATCGTCGTCGTCGTTCTCGCCTTCGACTACTGGGCCTTCGTACTGCAGCTTGAGGATAGTAACAAAAGGCGGGATCGTGCTCAAAGTGGCAGGTTTCTTGCCGTTGGTGATCGGACAAACGGCAATGTTGGTGATGTGGGTACTCTCATCACATAGGTAGAGCAGTGGCTTGTCAGGCTTGACGATCGCAGAGCTGGAAGGCAACAAGGAATGGGTAATCAATGTCAGATTTGAGATGCGAAAGGAAGAGAGAGAAGTGAAGGTGGGCAGGAATCTTACAATAATGTGGTCATGGCTCTTGTCTTTCAAGTTTCTATGTGGGGAATTGGTTGGTAGTTTGGCGTGGTGGATGGGTTTGGGGTGGGCAGGTGGGTGTTCTTGAGCAGAAAGTTTTGAGTAGACGCGCCTGAAGGGCTCCAACGGCAAGCTTGTGGGTCTGACGAGCTGCTTCAAGCCGGGGTGAGTTGGGTTAGGTTTCAGCATCGCGCCCAATCGCTCTCCGCGCGCCGCTTCGACCTCACCCTTCGCAGCTCGTTATGATCACCCTTGGAGCTTCAAGAGACAACTTGATTGCAGAAACATCCAATCGATTCATCACAAGCTCCGCTCCAATTAGACAAATCACTTTGGATTTCATTTTCATGCATGTCTTCACCCTCAAAAGCGCTCTGGAAAAATGAAATGATGATCTCAATATGTTCAAGAAAAACGGCAACTGGCCTAAGAAAATGATGAGGATGGATTTTATTGTGAGGAACAACCTGAGTTGAAGTTGAACTTGACTGAGTGGATTGTAAGAATCTATGGCTTTGTGTATACCACAGAATCGGTTTTATTCGAAGAGTATTCATTCGAGCTCCTCACCAGACCTTCTGAGTCGAAATACCTCGTGTCTAAAGCCCTCGAATGATTCCAGTTTTATTAAGCTAGCATCAGATATCATAACCAAAGCCTCGAGAAGTCTACCATTTTTTTGATAATCTCCCCTGTTTCCATTCTTTACTCCCCTGTCTTTGATATTCTCTTGCAATCTTCATCCCAGTTCTTCGCACCTTTAGGCCCGTGTCATTTGATTGGTGTGCCCTGGCACATCTGCTCCAGGTCGGTCTCAGCAAAGCCGCATAAGCCTAATCGGTTGATTCTAATCTCTGCAGTCGCCAATTCCCTTTGGTAATCAAAACTTTAACTGCACTTTCTTTTTTACAACCGTACATACTCGCCATCAGCAAAAAATCCAAGCACAGTCAATGGGCAACCAATATGTGGACCAGAGATCGCTCCTCCAAGCGCACATCTTACGCATGAGAGCCTGAAAATCGACGGCCTACCACCAGAATATTTCTTGGCAACCTGCGGGCGCAAGACATCGAGGCTGACAAACCAACTTGTAACAAATTAGGGGGGGGGACATCCCCCATCTTTTGCGGAGTGATCTGCGGTGATGTTCGATTTACACGGCTTGAATGAACAGATGATACATAGTTGGCAAGATGAAGTCGAATACATCATCATTGTTGTCCGTTGTGTCGATGTGCGGGTGTTGGTCGGCCTTTGAGCCGGTTGTCCGGTCGGCGGTGGTACACATTAAAACCACATCACTTGCTTTGAGACTCTGGTGATCTGGTAAACAAGCGCTTGGCAAAGGTCGGCACACTCCGATTGACTGTGAAGTGTTCGAGTCTTCATTAGTTTGCCTCCTCGTCGTCGCGCTTAGTAGGAGTATAAATAGGCGAGAAAGGAAGAAACTGATATTGGCACCTCTTCCTTTCGTCTTCATCCGACTTCCTGACCGCTCGTGGCTTGGTGTAACGAGCAGGCACAACACACAGCAAATTTCAAAAAATTCTTATGAGAATGAGTTCAGTTAGAAGAAGATCGATGAGATAGGAAAAAAGAATTCAAAAAAGATCGGTACTCTTATAAGAAGAAAAAAATGGTTCGATACTTTAAAAGGCGTTTAGGAAGAAGAATTTCAAAGAAAAGAATTAAGAAAATAACTATCGAAGAAGAAAAAAGATTTGTATCGATCCGTAAGAATTATCAAAGAAGAAAAAGATTTTTATACCAATCTGTAAAAGGATAGTGATAGTAGAATCAGTGAATAGCGTAATTCGGTTGTAGCTAGGTAATAATATTTAAGGACTTGTACTCGCCTCGAGGGTTTCTTTCCTCATGGCGAAATCTTTGTTTTATCATTAAACAATAAAATTCCGTAACCAAGATCCCAACTTGTCCTGCTTCAAAAAGAAACTAAGTCAGCTCGATCCGTTTGCGTGTGCTGTTGGATCAATCCTCTTTTGCTTGTCTAGGGCTGCTGTGAGCTTAGTCGTTACAATTATTTCGCCATCTTAACCTATTTGTCTTTAGAAAATTTCTAAAGAAATTCCCTTGCTTCGCTCGAGTTATCATATAAGACTCTTCTCGCTGGTTATTAATTTTCTCTTTCCTCTCCCAATATCTTGTCTCAGGCTTTTTCTCAAAGTTTTCCGTAGAAAAGAAAAAAAAAATCTCTCTCTATTTTCGCTAAAAAATTGATTGTAATTAATTTTTATTACACTATCTCTTTCTTTAACCGATTCTTTCATAAGCTTGTAATTTATTTTGAAGTTGTAACACCCAAAATTACCGTCTCAAAAGGTTTTTTCTTTAATAGGCTCAAAAAATTTTTTTTTATTTTTGTAAAATTTTCCTCTCTATTCTTTTGTATCTCGAAGATGTCTATTCCCGTTGTCACAAATTCCCCCGTCATTAACCCAACCGATAACCCTCAAAACCCAATCGAATCCCAAGTAGCTCAGTTAGCAGACCAGTTATCCTCTATCAAGCTCGGCTCGGCAAATAACGACTCTCAGCTCGCTCATCTTCAATCAGAACTTCACTCGATCAAGAAGACTTTCAAACACCTCGCGGACGATGTCAAAGATATTCAATCGATGAAGAGTCTTTACAACGATCTCAATAACGTCAAGCTGTACTTTCAAGATCACATTTTGAAGCTTCAATCCTCCATCGATCAAATCCGTTCGGTCATCGACGGCTGCAATTCAGCCATTCAGCAAAACGCTTCTCAAATCATCGATTTATCTCGATCAGGATTGGGCTCGTCTCGTGAGGTTTCGGAATTAGCGTATGCTCAATTCACTGGTAATCCGAAAGAAACTAAGCAGTTTGTTTACTTTATCAAAGAGAAGCTTTTCGAGAAGGAGGATTGTTTTCGATCGGAGAAGTCAAAAATCAACTGGATCGTTCGCCACTTTCGACACCCCAACGGCAGTCTGGGTGATCCTTGCCCCTCGTACAACTGGTGGATGGCGTTGCTTTTTGAAAACGCGCGTGAGCAAAAGCTTCCGACGGAATCTGCGTCGGTACAGGATCCCTATGTTCTTCCTCAACTCCTCTCGGCTTCAAATTTCTTAACCCACTTAGAAGAAGTGTTCGACAACAAACACGATAATGAGGACGCTAAGAAGAAGTTGAATGCTTTCCGACAACAAAATCGCACCATCGAAGAGTTCAACGCGCTCTTCAATTCTCTCTGCTTTGCGGTCGATTTAACTGAAGAATCCCGTTGTGACATTTACGAACGAGCTCTCAATCCCAAAATTCTCAAGATCGCCGTCATGCGTGGCGATTGGAAATCAACCACGACTCTGAAAGGAAAGCAAACTCTTGCGGTTTCGGCGGCTGAAGCTCAAGACAAAATCGCCTCGATTGATTCAGGATCCCTTCCAGCTCTCCAAAAACGTCAGCACGCTCAAGCCCCAGTTCGATCTGTCTCGGCTCCTCCTGTTCGAGTACCAGACGGTGTAGTCCCCATGGACTTGGACGTCATGTCGGCTGAAACGTGCTTCAATTTTCCCAGATTCCGAGCGATATGTCGAAAGAAGCAGATCTGTCAGCGATGTCACGGTCAATTCGATAAGCGACATGTGGTCTCCAAGGGCTGCACTTCTTCAAAGGAGAAGCAACCTGACGTCGACGACAAGATCGGGCTTTACAAACGATGGATCACCGAAGGAGGAAGGGATGTTGAAGAAGCTTTGGCCGAAGTGGCGGCGGAGGAAAAGGCTAAGTCTTCAGGCAATCTTAACCTGGATGACATTCAGCCTCTTAGTATGGGTGACATGTGTTGGGATGAAGCTGTTGCCCACATGGATGTCAATAAGGAACCTTGTAAGTCTCTCTACCTAAATTTTTTTGTCATTTCATTCCCATCCCATCGACCGATCTCTCCAGTAAGGCTATTGCAAGGGCATAGTTCGTGGGAAGCTTCATCCCTGTTCGATTCAGGGGCTTCGGCTTCATTCATTGACTCTAACTTCGTACGTAGGAACTCCCTTTCTTTGGTTCAGCTTAAGAATAATTTGGTTTGTCGGGGTTTTGATGGAACTTCGGCTCGGTCGGGAGAAATAAAAGAATGTTGGATCGGGGAGATTCAACTACCGTTTTCTTCTCATAAGTTATCTTACCAAGTCAAACTCTTCGTTACTAATTTAGCATCAGCAGATATTATCCTAGGCTCTCCTTGGTTGTCAAAAAATCGAATAATTATTGGCGGCGCTCCCATGAGCCTGTTTATTCCAAAGCCTGTATTTTCTATCTCTCATATCGAAACTGATGAATTTCCAGTCGAATTAAAAGAATTTAAGCCTGTGTTTGTTATTGAAAGTCTAAGTTCTTTGCCCCCTCATCGAGAAGGTTACGATTGCAAAATTAACCTTAAGCCAGGAAGTACCCCCCCTTTCACCGGTATGTATAACTTGAGCGAAAAAGAAAATCAACAATTAAAGGAATACATTGACGATAATTTGAAGAAGGGTTTTATTAGAGAATCACCTTCTCCGGCTGGGGCTCCTATTTTCTTTGTTAAAGTTCCAGGCAAGGCTGACAGACCATGTATAGATTATCGGTTACTTAACTCGATGACAATTCGAGATTCTTATCCCCTTCCTCTGGTCTCGAGGCTTTTAAACAATTTAGCAGGCTGTAAATTCCTTTCTAAGATAGATCTTAAATCGGCCTTTAATCTGCTCAGAATCGAATCAGGACACGAGTGGAAAACGGCTTTTCGAACTCCGTGGGGTCTTTTCGAATATCTGGTTATGCCTTTTGGATTGGCTAATGCGCCGGCTACCTTTCAGCGATTCATCCAGCACGTCCTTCGTGAGTACTTAGACGTTTGTTGTTTTGTTTATATTGACGACATTTTAATTTATTCAAAAACTCGAGAGCAGCATGTTGAAGATCTTAAGAAAGTTTTAAAGAAATTAGATGAGTATTCTTTAAAAGCGTCATTAGGAAAATGTCAATTCTTTAAATCAGAAGTCCGATTTTTAGGATTCAACATTTCTCGCGAAGGAATCCGCATGGACCCGAAGAAGCTTGCCACAATTCTAGATTGGCCATATCCGGGGACTTTAAAAGAACTCCAACGATTTTTAGGGTTCTCAAATTTCTACCGAAGATTTATCCCAAAATTCTCAGATTTGGCGGCTCCTCTTACGGATTTGACAAAAGAAGGAGTGTGTTCTGTTCAGAGTCTCGGTGAGAGGAAACCAAGAATTTCTTTTTCTGCCTTGAAGTCTTGTTTTTCGAAGGCTCCTCTTCTCAGACATTTCGATTTCAAGCTCCCTAGGATAATTCATGTAGACAGTTCAGGTTATGCCATTGCGGCAGTGTTAAGTCAACCAGGGCCAGATGGAAAGCTCCATCCGGTAAGTTTCTATTCTAGGAAGCTTTCGGATCGAGAACGAGGTTGGCCTATATTCGATTTGGAGTTGTTAGCGGTCGTAACAGCCTTTGAAGAATGGCGCGCTTGGTTAATGGGCACCGAGGAGCCAGTTAAGGTTTTTTCAGATCATTCTAATTTGCGATATTTTCGTTTAGCTAAACAGCTCTCTCCTAAGCAGGCCAGATGGGCCGCATTCTTAGATGAATTCAACTTCGAGATTCACCACATTGCGGGGAAACGTAATCCAGCCGACGGTCCAAGTAGGCGCCCGGACTACACCTCGGGGCAATTAAGAAATTCACCTACAGAAACTATCGCGAAGCGTCTGGTATCTGAAGACATCAATGATCTGATTCCTCTAGAGGCAGAAAAGGGAACAGCTAAGCACGATCTATTCTTTCAGAAGCCCACAGATGAATTAATTGATTACTTGAAGCGGTCCTATGCTAACTTGACTGAGGATGAGAAAGAAGATCTACATTTATTCCAGGACATGTACTGGTACCAGGATCGAGTTTATGTCCCAGCGGCAATGAGAACTAGAATTATTCAGCTATCGCATGATACTCCTTCAGCGGGTCACCCAGGAATTGCGCGGACTTTGGCTCTTTTAACCAGGACCTTTTCCTGGCCGGGAGTACGAAAGGACGTGATAAAATTTGTTAAGTCCTGTGATTCATGTCAAAGAGTTAAGGCTAGGCATCAAAGACCTGAAGGACAGCTAAATTCATTAACGATACCGGAAAAGCCTTGGAGTAAGGTGGGGATCGATTTCATCGTCAAGCTACCGGATTCTGGCGGATTCGATTCGATTATGGTGGTGATTGATTTGTTGAGTAAGATGACTCACTTTATTCCTTGTAAGGAGACTTATTCAGCAGCCCAGGTCGCAAATTTATTCCGAACGAATGTAGTGAAGCTTCATGGATTACCCCAGAAGATTATCTCCGATAGGGGATCAATTTTCGTAAGTAAATTCTGGGACAGCCTAATGAATTCTTTGCAAATCAAGAGTGGGTATTCTAGCGCTTACCACCCGCAGACAGATGGGCAAACGGAGCGAATGAACCAAGTTTTAGAAGATTACCTCCGTCATTTCTGTTCATTTTATCAGGATAACTGGGATAAGATTTTGGACTTGGCAGAATTTGCGATCAACAATTCAGATTTGGCGTCTCTAGGAGTTTCCCCTTTTTTCTTTTCTTACGGTTTCCATCCCAAGTTCAGCGTACTAACAAACAGCTCGGGTATCAAGCCGGCAGATGAATTTGCAGAGGACTTGCAATTCATTCAGGAAAGGGCAGTCGAGTGCCTAACCCAGGCTCAACAACGCCAGGCTCGATATTATGATTTAAGAAGAAGGGAAGCTTCGCATTATGAAGAAGGGGACCAGGTTCTTCTATTACGTAAGTTTATTTCGACTAGGAGGCTAAATTCAAAGTTAGATTACAGGTTTCTAGGTCCGTTCAGAGTCATTGAAATGGTAGGAAAAAACGCGGTAAGATTAGATATTGCTAGGGATTATCCAAAGATTCATCCAGTTTTCAATGTTTCTTTGGTAGTAAGATACAACAATCCTAGGGAAGTTCAGGGTCGCGGGACGGTTCAGGGCATTAGGGAACAATATTATAAGGAAGGAAGAATTGTTGACTGGTCCAAATTAGCAATGATTCTCGACGCCAGGCAGGTAAGTAAGGGTAAGTTTGATTATTTGCTTCGCTGGCGCAACTCTACTCCGGGAGAGGACACTTGGGTAGCTGACAGAGATATTCCAAGTTATTTGCACAATTATTTAGATACCTTTAGGAACAATTTGGTGGCCTTGTATAAATCAAAGAAAAAAGGATATAATAGGCAAGGCATATTTGTAACGAGCAGGCACAACACACAGCAAATTTCAAAAAATTCTTATGAGAATGAGTTCAGTTAGAAGAAGATCGATGAGATAGGAAAAAAGAATTCAAAAAAGATCGGTACTCTTATAAGAAGAAAAAAATGGTTCGATACTTTAAAAGGCGTTTAGGAAGAAGAATTTCAAAGAAAAGAATTAAGAAAATAACTATCGAAGAAGAAAAAAGATTTGTATCGATCCGTAAGAATTATCAAAGAAGAAAAAGATTTTTATACCAATCTGTAAAAGGATAGTGATAGTAGAATCAGTGAATAGCGTAATTCGGTTGTAGCTAGGTAATAATATTTAAGGACTTGTACTCGCCTCGAGGGTTTCTTTCCTCATGGCGAAATCTTTGTTTTATCATTAAACAATAAAATTCCGTAACCAAGATCCCAACTTGTCCTGCTTCAAAAAGAAACTAAGTCAGCTCGATCCGTTTGCGTGTGCTGTTGGATCATTCCTCTTTTGCTTGTCTAGGGCTGCTGTGAGCTTAGTCGTTACACTTGGCTTCAGATCTCACCAGAAAAATTGTGCCTGCCCATTATGGCCATCGATATAACCTCTCATCGTAGAGTTGGTCATGAGACTGGTAAACTCGTCTCAGTCTGTCCGATTGGTTATGGGTTGATGGTCAGCCTTAGAATGATCGCATAGTCCTACATCACTTCTGTTCTGCTCTAGTACTACTTCGCTCACTGAGGGCATTAATTTCCGTTCGAACCCTCTTATCCATTTGGATATATTACACATCTACAGCGTTTAACGTGGGCACCCACCGAGACTCCAGACAAGAAAGCCTTCAAGACGATCCTCGCTTTTCTCACTGCTGGTGGCAAGTTCCTCGACTCTGGAGAGTTCTACGGAAATCCGCCGGATCGGTTCAACTCCAACCTGGAATTACTCGCCAGGTTCTTTGATGCTTACCCCGAATGGGCCGAGCAGGGAAAGTGTTTCTTGAGCGTCAAAGGCGGCTTCAATTTGGAAGGCGGCAAAATGAATCATCCTGATGGATCAATGGACGGTCTCAGGAAAAGCGTGGACAACATCAATCAAAAACTTGGAGGGAAGAAAAAGATGGACTTATTTCAGGTCGGCGCTTTCCTCATGATGGCTCTCCCACTTGTTCTTGTAAATACGTGTTGCTCATCACTTTTTCTCAACGTGCACACAAGTACAGATGGCTAGAGTGGACCAAAAGGTACCAATCGAGGATGTCATGAAGAGCTACAAGACTTTAATCAACGAAGGCAAATTCAAGCATGTCGGATTGTCTGAAGTATCTGCCGAAACAATCCGACGAGCACACGCCGTTTACCCAGTGTCTGCTGTCGAGGTGGAGTATTCTCCAGTGAGTCTCCTGTCCAGGACTGATTGAGCAAGATACGACTAAAAAAAGAGCTCAAGCACTTTGACAACATAACGGGTACATCTGTTTTTTTGTAGTGGTTATTGGATATCGAACACAATGGTATCTTGTCGACTTGTGAAGAACTTCGAATCCCCATTATAGCATACAGGTATGTCCCAAACCATATGATAGGATTGCTCTTGGCTGAACGCTTTTAAACCGACTATCTCGATCTCACTCAGCCCCTTAGGTCTTGGTATGTTAACGGGAAAAATTAAATCGCTCGATGACCTCGACCCTAACGATGCACGACGCCACTTTGATCGATTCCAGCCCGAAAACTTCCATCATAACATCAAAGTAAGTCGACGAAGTAGACTAGAGATCACTAACTAAGCGCATGGAAGGAAAAGACCAGCTGTTAATCATGAGATATGATGATTTCTTTTCGGGAAGTTGACCGACAAATTCATCTCATTGGCTCAAAAGAAGAAGTGTACCCCTGTGCAACTCGGCTTGGCTTGGATACTGATGCAATCCGAATTGCTCATCCCGATTCCCGGCTCAACTCGAGCTGAAGGGGTTGAAGAATCTCTTGCAAGTTTGAAAGTCAAGCTGTCTGATGAAGAAGTCCATTAGGGACTTGTGGGGACACGGGGAAGAGCTGCGTACGGCTCACGCCGACGGGGCAGCTGCGTACGGCTGCTGCGTACGGGCGGCCGGGATCCGCCGCCCTTCTGTTAGCTCACAGTGATGCTTCTCTTAGGTGCTCACATGTTCAGTGTTTCTTAGGAGAAACACCTAGGGAAACCCGGAGACCAGGGAGTGGTCTCCCAAGTTTCCCGTGTGTGGGTCTGGGGGGAGAGGGTCTCAAGGGTCGAGACCCGGGCCCCGGCGGTGATCGCCGACACTCCAGTGAGACTCTGCCGCTGTTCCCGCCGTGGCGGCGGGTCGAGAGCAGGGTAACACGTGAGAGTCCCGGGACTAGCCGAGGTACTCCCCGGAGCAGAAAGACACCCCCAAAAAGGGGGTGGGGCAAACGCTAGACCCACATCTCAAGATGCCTAGGGGCAATTGAGCCAGCGTTGCCTGGTACTGTCCCGCCAGACCCGGAGGGCAAGACAACAAGAGAGAGGAGTGGGGAGACAAGATGAATGAATTACACTAAGGGGTTTGGTACATGCATCCAACATTCCTCTAGTCTAGCCAAGAGTTTGTTAGTTTTCCTCATCTCCTCTTCGGTGAAGTCGCGGAGGTAGAGCTTGTAGGCATCTGAGGCCCAACGACCTCTGATGCGGATCTCGCTGATTGGAACACCCAAAGCCACTTGGATTGACGCGCCACCGACTCGGAAGGAGTGGCCGGATACGCCCTCGAAGCCGCAGGCTCCCCAGATCTTAGATAGAGCACGGGTTGATTGAGGTTTGGTGAGGTGGAACCTTTCCCCATGGTGGTCGGTGTAACCGAACAAGGACGTTTCGGCTCCGCCAGCTTCGGCCAACCTTCTTTTGACAGCAAGGACTGGGCAGAGCATGTGCGGGAGCTCTTTGAGGTATATGGTTTGGGATTGCCCAGGATCGGCCGTTTTCGCGCCACGGATGGTGAGCTTAGCAAGGTTCTCCCTTTCCTTGTAGACTAGTTCTACGTCCGTGGTCAGTAGCGAGGCCGTTTTCCTTAGGGGCCCGCTACCTTCGTTGTAGGTGAGCTCGGCTAAGCGGGCCATCCCCCAGAATGCAACCACGCTCAAGTCCAGGAGGGCCTTTTGGAAGGGGTCGCCGTCAATGAGGAGTTCAGTCAGCTTCACCAGGTTCTCAATGGTGACTGGTTTCTTCTTGGGCTTTTTGTCCGTTTCTGCGTCAATGTAAGCCGAAGATTTGAGGAAGGTGGCCACCTTCGTCTTGGAGTCCGCGGGGTACACGGCGTTGTGGTAGACGTGCCACATTTGTAGCCCGGCGAGGTACTTGCTGAGTGTGTTTGCTGAGATTTCGTGGGTCGTCGAAGATTCAGCGGTCCTGCCTGCCCAGCAGCAGAAGTCGAAGATATCTTGGGCCGTTAGGGGTAGTCGGAAAGTTGGCTTGCCGGTATCCCGTGCGAAGCTCTGATACTTTTTAATCGCGGCATTATAACTGAGTAGGGTATTCCACCTGTAGCCCAGGAGGTAGTGTCTCTCTTGGGCGGTGGGTTCTCGGGGCTCGGAGCCATTGCTTGTGATGGCTGAAACCTTTTTTAGATCTAACATCATGGAAGTTTGTCTCTAGGGACGTAGAGGTATATTGCTGGAAGAGAGGTAGTCTAGGTACAAGAGGGTAGGCTATTTAACACACGGATTGGAACATTCTATGCTCCAGGTCCGAAGGGACGGTGATAGGGATTTGGAGTTGTGGGTCCCTTCCTTCTCTATTGCCCCTGGATAATGCGTCTGCGACGTTGTCGCCCGACGAAACTCTCCTTGAGACTATGTCCAGTTCCATCTCGATCAGCAGTCTTTGTATGATCTTCCATTCGTCGTTCACCGCTTGGTGTTTCGACTTACGTTTCAGGATGGCGCTTTCGGTTGTGGTGTTGTCGGTCCACACGATAATGGTTTTCCCGCGTTTCACGCTGAGTTGTGCTAGGGCTATCAGACCGAGCCTTATCGCAACTGTTTCAAGCCATGCGATATCCCGTTTTGGTTCGGGACCTTTGTCCCAGTCTTTGGTGAGTTGAAATTGGGCCCAGCGGCGGCCTATGGTTATTCCGATGCCGTAGCTAGTCGACGCGTCACCCATCCACCCGATTTCGATCGGATCTGGGTCTCGTATCATTCGAGTTTCCTTAAATGAGAGGAGAGTGGTTAGCCACTCTTGCAGGTCGACCCTTGCGCCTGGTGGTAAGGGTAGGTCTTTGGATCGATGTACCCATGTGTTCATCCATCGGTATAGGCTATTCAGGTAGCATCGGAGTTGCGGGAGGAGGTATGAAACATGGTTTAGCCTCCCTGCCATCACCTCGACCTGTTTGAAGGAGAACTCAGAGCCGATTTGGAGGAACTCTTTTATCTGCTGTACCCGCTGGTACTTCTTGTCGTCGGGCAGGCGTACTGACTTCCTGGTAGCGTTCCAGATGAATCCGATATATTTTTGTTCTTCCTTGAAAGGTGAGTACTTTGTCGAGTTTGTTTTGACTCCGAGGCTTTCCGATCTGGCCACGATATGATCCATTTCGACTTTTGAGTCGGGGTGCTTGACAAATAAGTTGTCGTCTACCCAACGGAAGACGGTGACTAGGTCAAACTCGTGGAGCATTAATTGCTTCCAAGCATCTGCGGGCCTACCAAAGGAGCCGCATCCTGCCACGCCTCCGAAGGCGATCCGGGTGTCGATGAGGATCCCACCGTTGAAGTCTCTGACCATCAGGTAGGCCCACTGAGATTTTGCCGTTGGGATCTGGCGATAGGCCTTCTCCCAGTCGAAAAGGGCTAGGAGGAGGGGGCCGGTTTGCCTCTTGAAGAATTTAGAGACGTTCTCAAAGTCGTCCCAAGTGGTGGCGTAGTCCAGTTTGTCGACAAAGGAGTTGACTGAGGGGGTTAGAGGGTTGTTCCTCGGGAAGGAGAGGTCGTTGATCGGTCTGATAGATCCGTCTCCGTTCACCGCTGCGCCTAGTGGATTCGTTCGGAAGAAACTGAATTTCTTCATTAGTTGCTCATGAGTGTACGGGCCGAACATTCTGCCCGCTTCTACTTCTTTCCTCATAGATTGTTCTATTTTGTCTTGGGCCAAAAGTGCCGATTGGTGATTGGGAGGTGTGAAGTATGGGGTCGCCGGACCTAAGTTGTGGTTTGGGATCCCTTGGTCGAAGCCTTCTTTGAAACCCCGTATCACATCCGAAAACTCCTGGGCGAGGCCTGCTTTCTCGAGCGATCTTTCCCACTCTTCTACGTCCATCTCACATCTTATGGCTTCGGGCCAATCTGGAGTCCCCTCTTTGGCAGGTTCCAAGCGGTGGGGTTTGTTAGAAGCTAACGGTAACGACTGGGGCTCTGTGTGGGCCCTTACTTTCCTGCGAAGTGGGTTGCACACTTAGTCAGATTTGGCTCAAGGGTTTGGGCAAAGTTGTTTCATTTCTTTCTATGTCTCTACTCTTATTCTCGGTTCCTCCTTTTTACAAGCTTTTAGGTGAGAATTGGGGGTGGGTTATGGGTATTTGGACATGTCTTGGGAATAGCCATCGGTTGTAGGGGTGGGAGGACTGATAAAGAGAAAGAGGAGTAGAAAGTGGGAGAAGAGAGGGAGGAGTCTAGGGGCGAGGAAAAGGGAGAGAGATGGGGGGAAGGAGGGATAGAGGGAACCTACTCATTGCCACGTCGTCTGGTAGCTGATCCATGGTTGGGGTTGTAATTCCTGCCCTTGTACCCTGAGGTTCTGGGCGGTCTATTCTGATCTGGTCTTGGGGGAAGGGAGTTTGCGGGGGCTTGGGATAGTGATTGGGAGGACCCAGCAAGGGGGGCTTTACTGCCGTTGGTATTGTTGTTCGGCGTGGTTGATGCTGTGGTCTTCGTTCGCTTTTGGCCTGTGTGTGGGTCCCATCCGTATCGAGGGCCGCCGAGCGCGTATGGGTTATCCCTCACCCCAAGTTCATTGAAGTTTCTGGATTCGGAGTGGGCGTCGTCTGCCGTCTCTGGCTTGAAGAGTGATATATTCGAGAATGATTCCTCCCCGTCCTTCTCAACGCGGAAAGCGAAGGCATTGTTTCGGATCCTAATGTCGTAGCGTAGCGCTACCATGAAACCATGTTTCTTCTGCAGTCTGTCGCAGTTGGCCTTGTGTAGGAGGATCCACTCAGCAAGGACCGGGTAGTTGTATCTATCGCGGATCGTCTCGTAAAAACATTGATGATTGAGCGTCCAATCGGAGAAAGATTGGAGCCACTCGTCGGGGACGGCTAGGCCATGGTAGCGGAGGTTCTTTTCGGCTGAAGATTCATCAGATTTAGGCCTGTTTTTTGAGTGGTGAGATAAAGCTTCCTCTTGCCAGGTTTTGTTGAAAATTGTCAGGGGGATTGGCCCTTTTAGCTCGAGCAGATTCTTGTGAAAGTAAGGCGTGAACCCCCCATCGTCGTGCGAGTTGGTGTTGGCCCAGATGAACTTGATGCCACGGACTTGTGTGGTGCCTTCCGATTCGATCGGTCTTTTCTTATTGTTGAGAGATGAGTCTGGGGTGGCTTGGGCTGTGGTGGGGGTTGTCTTCTCATTCGAAGGTTGGGGGGACTCCTTCGATAGCGTGTCGAACATCGCGAAGAATCGGTCCGCCTTTGCATCGTCGCCATCTTCTTGAGCTTTCACGGCTTTGGCCAGGAGTATCTCTTTCGCCCTAGCGTTCGTTGATTTGGATTGAGACGGGGTCTCGTTGCTTCCATCTATGATCTCTGCTTTTTTTTTTTTTTGTGTCAGCGCTGGGCTTCCTCAATTTGTATTGGAATGTTTGTTTCGCTTACCTATAGGGTTCTTTAGCGTTGACCTGGTTACCGAGCTCTGAAGAGCTGGATCCGGTTCTCCCGTCTTGGTAGACGTAGTTTCTTTCCCTTTGGGTGCGGGGTTGAGATTGCCTGTCGGCCTATTCTCTTTGCTTAACGGTTGGGTTAAGGATTTCGGAGTCGAGGAGTTGGGAAGGGGTATTTGGCTGGCTTGTTGACTGGGTGATTGGGATAGGTTCGCTTGTTGAGATGAGTCCTTGACTCGGTCGCTGAGGGATTGGATGGAGTTTGGGTTTGACATCGTAGGGATGGAAAGATAGGGATGGAAAGAAGGAGGTAGACGGGAATACGACTTGCTAGCGGTTCAAATCAAGTGTCGAATTGGGGAGAGACCGGTTGGAAATAAATGTCGAAAAAGAAACAAGGATGAGGGGATCTGAGATTAGGGTTCGGTGCAGGTGAATGGGTACGGTGGTCGGTTCCAGGATGATGGGGGAGGGGGAAGTGCTAGGGGAAAGGAAAGGAAAACCCTAGGTTGCGGCTCTTCCCCTCTACGCGCGGACCTCCCGGAGTCCTCAGTCCTGCTGTGCAGCTGGGTGGCCGAGCGCGCAGTCTCCAGGGCAGGACAGTGGGTGAGGCCCGGGCTGCGGGACGGCGTCCTCCATGGACACGCCTCCGTTCCCGCTGCGCTCCCACTAATGCTCCATCAAAGAGATTCGAGACTTTGTCGACAAGGCTGATTTCAAAGGTGTTCGCTACAGTGGTCAGTATCCATTTTCTTCGACAGTCATCTACTTTATGTATATTCACCCCACCCAAAATGTATGGAAGTCATTCAGATCAAAGTCTATCTTGGGAAAGCAGCCGAATTGACCATTCTCACTTTCTCTCTCTCTCAAAAAAAAAGCATCGCACAAGGCTGCCTGGAACTTGAATGGATGACTGCTTCACGCCGTTAAACCGGTCCAATTGCAAGGCTAATGAACCAATGCTTCGGTTCATGTTTCATTTGATTTCCTGGCACAAACCTGATCAAAAAGCCATCCCAACAAACCCCACATGGCTACATAAGAAATTTCTGCTCATTTCCATTGGAACTTGTTCAAAAATCTCATCATCAACTCTATCACTTGACCATCAAAGGAAAAGAATGTGATAGATCATTTTTATCCCAGTAGATAGACAACTTTCCATTTTCATATGTCGTCATCATACCAACCTTATTATAAAATAGCAGTAAGCAAGAGCAAAAGTAAGAAAAAAATTATAGCAATTTGTAACTTTACGCAATGGGTGTACCTACTACCAATAAATTGATGTTACTAAAAGTTTACCTCCTTTCAACTCTCTAATACAAAGTGCTTCATTACCAGACAGTAAAGTTGATGGATACCTAATTTTCAAATACATACATCTTTATGAACACAAAGAAAAGACTGAGGGCCTGTATCATAGCACCTGAGCAAATTTTTGATTTCAATTTTGAATTACCTTGTTTGTTCACAAGCCAAAATTTGTTTTATGTATCAATTTTTTGACACCAGAATCACAGACCAGTGTCGGTAAAACACCAAGCTTTATGATCACACCACAAACATTGAAGCGTCCATTACACTACATACCTTATCCTACCTAGTCTTACATGATGTGTGACAAGCTTTTGCAATCACCTTCACAACCTGTGATTGAATTTTTGTGAAGTTCATTCTTCACAAGAGAGGCTCACCAGCAGTTGGACTTGCGCAGAAACGCATCTTCTCAGCACGCGCTTGAGAGAACTTTTTCTCTCAAGCGCGTGTCCATATAATTCCTTGAGACGCGTCAGGGGGAAATGTGTAACCATCAGAACATTGTGAGCACTTGACACAAAACACGTCCAACAAGGAGCAAGATGAGATTTCCAATAGAAAAAAGGGAATCAAACATATTTCATTACTACCAAGTATGGAGAGGAGAGAAGCTCTTTGAGCCGACAAGCATTGTTTTGACTTTTTTTTTCTGTGGGGGATGTAGAGGTCTGATATTCAGGCATCTCTGGGGGAGCGGGTGATGGCTCGTTCACCCTTCTCTACGGGATCATCATGGTTGTGAGCCGAACGAGAGTGATGGTAGTCATCCCTCTCGTCCTTGTGATCCTTGAGACGTTCACTCGGCAACCTGTCCCTGTCATCAATCTTGTCAAGGGGAGTCGGGCTACGTCTAGGAGGTAATGGACTACGGCTACGGCGAGAAGTGCGACTATGGTAAGGGCTGGGGGAGCGACGACTGCTACGCGCTCGGTAGGGGGAGGGGGATCTATAAGAGCGACGGGAATAGACAGGGGAGCGGTCACGACGCTCATAACGCCAGGAAGACGACGGGGCATTTTTGGCCCACTGTGATGATGTCGAGTAAAAAACCCACAGGGGACAATCCCGGTCAGCGATCATATGTACATAGGACAGGAAGAGGAGAAGGAGTAGTGATCGATCGGTGGTGCTTACCTGGACGTTCAACGTGTCGCCATCAAGACGACGGCCGTGCATTTCATAATACGCATCGGCCGCGTCTCTTTCATCCTCAAATTCAACAAAAGCATATCTGGAGAGGCATGCCGAAGTGAAAGAGAGGGAGCAGGAGCCCAATGGGAGGAGAGAGAAAGGTTGGGAAGGCGCGGGACGGAGGAGGAGAAGAAACAAACGAGTTCGTAAGTGCTGAAGTTCTTGTCGGGCCAAGGGAGCAGAAGCACTCGTTCGTGGTGAAGGATGTGAGGAACGAAACACGATCGATCGGAGGAATATGAGACGATGAGATCGCTCGGAGAGGAAACGAGGGGAGGAATGATCGCTTGGGTACGACTCGAGATTAGAGGCCTCGGCTTCCAATGAGGAGAGGAAGTGACTTGGGTGGTAAGCCAACTTTTTTTTTTCTTTTCTTTTCTTTTTTTCTGTTTTTGCTTTGAGCGAGGTGTGAACTCTGAAGGGGGATGATGGAGATGGTGGTGATCATCTGTCGGGGAGGAGCGGATGATCGAGAGGGCTTCTGGACAGCTCCAGGTGGGTAGTGTGGGCATACTTAGACGGTGGTGTAGAGCCGAATGGACACAGTACTCCAAGGTGGTTGGGAGGGGGGTTTGCAGTCGGATGCTGAAGATGAGATGAGATGAGGAGGAGGGCGGTACGATCGTTTCCAACTTACGATTTAGCAGTCGAGCTTTTGGCGGCTGGGATGTCGCATCTAACCAGACGACCGTAACTGGAGAATCAAAAAAAAGAGGGAGTCGAGTGAGTGAGAGGGGCCTGCGGAAGAAAGGGAGTGGGGGGGATCCGACTGACCGTTCGAATTCATAAGCGAGCTCCTTAGCTCTCAAGGAGCCAAAGCCAGCAACGAAGAGGGTGGTCTTTCCCATGATGAGGTCGTTAAGGAGTCTAGTGACTGGAGAGAGAGAACAACGGGTGGGTTGGTTGGTGTTTGTATGTGGTCACCGTTTTAAGAAGGACGCGATGGTGGAGGGAGGGAGAAGGAAGACTCGTACAGGTTTGGAGGGTTGAGTTCAGAGTGAGTTGAACTTTCTCAAAGAGACGAGTGTCTGGTTTGGAAGCGAGGAGAGTCTCTTACAGCTCCACTGGGGCTGGGGCGAAGGGTTTTATAGACTGCATCAGCACAATCGAAACCCCCCTCTCCTCGGCGTGACCACTCCGCAGCCACCCAGGATGTGACAGTACAGCCTTCTCCGCAGCTCACCAGAATCAGATCGTCGTCGTCATAGCCCAGAGTCCAAGCTGCAACTTCCTTCGATCGAAACTTCCATCACAACGCGTCCCGTTGTTGTACTATTCATAATCACTCAAATAAAGTTTCCCTTTGTGATCCCAAGTCACAGTTTTAATACAATCAACCTAATTTACCTTTGTCAAAAAAGCCCAGACTCCACTCTGTCAAAACCCAGGCCCCAAACATAACAAGACCCGCGGATGTACTCGGCTATGGTTCCAGCCTTTCAAGAGTCGTAACATTACTTTCTCAGACAAAGGCAAGCTTAACGAAGCGCACACAAAAGCATCCAAACTGATCCAAACCTCTGTAGTGCAACGATATGAATGAGTCGGGAAAGTGTCGCTATGTTTGGCTTCCCCTCCAGGCCTCATCTCAATCTCGCTTCAAATGTCCTGTCACCTGAAGCTTTTCCCCCAATGCTTCTGGAATCGAGTTCTATTGCATATGCCGTCTGGAAGAATACAGCAGTCTTTGGTCTTTCAAAACTTACTGATATAAACTGAACAGTCTGAGAACTCATATTTAAATACATACAAAATAAATTGGGTGACCAAAGAGCTCAAGTTCATGGACATAGAGAGGTGTCTGTTGAGCATTTTTTTTGGATACTGAGTCTGCTATAATCCCAGAGAGGTTGTCCCCTGGAGCTGGATTTTCCAAGCAAGAGATATTCAGGTCAAGTTTGCAAATCCATCTGTAAACTTGTGCTAGAACGGTTATAAGCTCACTGAAAAAATGCTGTTTGGGGTTGAGTTTGCTTATTCCAATGGGTTTTCTTGAAGGAAAACCCACACCCAGTGGGACAAGTTCTCTGGAGTTAGCTGTACCAAGAAAGACAAAATCACAATCAATCACTCAAGTCAAGTATTGAATGAAATATTATCAATCCAATAATTCCTTTTGATCAGTAATTATGTTTGTAAAATCTGATGCAAAATATTTGTGTATTGTATTTGCATGGAAATTGGAATCAGGGCTGCTTAAAGTTACTGTGTCCCTTTTTTGTCCAAGTTAATTCTGGGACTGCACTAAGATTTTCAGCACAAAGTTGATGAAGGTTTTTGTGGCACATGGTGAAGGGTCAACTAGTGGAAACAAGCAACCATGTAGATTGGGCCAATATATACCATAAGACTGAAATTAGGCAAGAATCATAAGACTGAAAGTGGGTAAGAATCATAATACTAAAAGTAGACAATCCTACTATCAGATGTCCAATAATGTGTCCGCTTTTAAACATTTTGTCATTCACATTTTTGGAGCTGAGTAAAATCTTGGAAGAATTAGACATGAAAAATGAATCATGGTTGGATTTGAATTTGTATGTATTTGAATCATCAAACAAAGCAGAATCCTTTGATTGATTCTCAAAACTTCTTATCAACTCAGAAGTGATCAGGTCCCAAAATCATAATGATCTATACCTTTTTTTACATAACTTTTTAGAGCCTAAATTAGATAAATAAATAGTTGAGAATTGATGCTAAGAAAGCTAATCATGTTGAGCTATGTGCTTATAGGAAGATATGCTTCAATCAAAACAGTAGACTCAATCCTGTATTCAGCTACTCTAGCTTGAAGGATTAATCTAGTAGTTTTCTCCCTAGTGAATCAAAATAATTTTTTATTTCTCACTCCTCAAGGGCAACAAGCCCTTGGATCTGTCAAATTCAGTCACCATCTCTCACCTGTCTATCTCAACAGATCAATATCCTAGATACATTAAATCCAAATACTCAAACCCTTTCAAATCTCCAAAATTGGGATGACATTATTAGCTGACAGTGATTGATACATAGCTTACATTTTTTATGGTTGAGAAGGAGAATTGAGATATTATGCTTATGAAATTGTTCATGTATAAGGGCATTGGAACCCAGCATGGGACAGTCTACAATTGAATCATCATCAGGTAGCAGTGGTGCTGGAGAACAGTGTCCTGTGTCCAGGAGCAGGAGAGGGGCACGGGAGCGGGGTGGCACGGGGCGGCCGTCCGGGGAGCTACATACAGATGGTGGCCATTTTCGGAGCCCTTTCTCGGTCAGTCACCACCACTACATCATCATCCACTCACAACCTCACCTCCTCCATACAAAAATCACTACTCCTCGATATCAACTCTATCTCTCTCTCGAACGAACGAACGAACGAAAGATGGGCGGAAGTCACACCGGATTCCGTGGGTCTCTTCTTCCTCTCCCTCTTCACCCCATCATCAATTTCTCATCATCATCATCTAATTATCCACTGATCCTCATTTCGTTCTTTTTTCTTGGGTGGGTGGTGATTGATCGTTGGGCTTTTCTCTTCGTGTAGAAGCTTTAAAGGTTCCCGTCTTCCTTCTTTCCTTTGATGACAGCCGACACAATCGTCCCCCCCGCAAATCATTGACGAAAACCTTTTTCCTGACCATAATAGAAAAACCCGCACGTCGATCGGTATGCAGCCATGCGAGACGGGGTGATGCGGACCTTCGAATTCACGCCGCGCAATGCCCGGAACACGTTCCTCATCCTGGGGCTCATTCCGTTCGGGTTACTATACATTGGGGTTGTCGATTCGGTTGAGTAATCTCCTTCTTTTTTTTCTTTCTTTCTTTCTATCCCTCCTGTTTTTTTTTTTTCTTCTTTTTTTTCTTCGTTTCTTCTGACTAATCTATATGCCGTGCTGTGCTTTATTTTTTTCTCTTTGGAATGATGGATTGATGATGGCCAGAACAAGTGGGAATTAGCGGGCAAACGGAAGGACGACTCGTTATACAAATACCCTCGCTCCGACCAACGCTAGTAGTTCTCCGCACCAAGTCATCCCTCTCCTCTAACTATCCATGAAAAAAAAAAAAAAAACATGATTGTCCCCCCTCCCTCATCGCTTCCCTCAAAAATCCCCCTTTTCTTTTTTCGGTTCACAAGGTGACCAAAATATATAAAATGTGTGTGTGTGTGTGTATATCTTTTCGGATTGGTGAAGTGAGAGATAGCATTGAGAGAGCAAATCGAGAGGGTCCGTCTCCACGCAGCGCACACAGCTTTTGATCCGCGAAAGCGGGGAGAGGACCAAGTGGTCCGCCTGCTAGTGCCTTTAGTTGCGAAGAGCACTGGTCTTGATTCCCTGGCCATCAGTTCATGTTTCCTTACTTTGGGTCTATAATCATCGATCAAGTCGATCGATCAATGTCATCTAAGCTCATTGGGGACTTTGTGTCTCTTTCCTCCGGTCACAACTCCCACTCCCATTCCGCTTGTCAGACGCCGTTCCTCATACCGTCAACCATTTTGTTTGCACAATTTCCTCTCACGCAAAAGAGAAAAAAAAAGGTCAACATGTAGAGTGAGGTTAAGAATATGTGTATGTAACCCTGATGGTGCTATGTATAAGTTAAATATGAACGACTTTTATTGGTACATATATTAGAAAGATATCTATGTACACCATGAGACCAAATAAACTAACGAAAAAAAAAACAATTAACAAGAAAGAGATTGAGGAAATCCAGATGTGTCTCAATAGTATCCTGACAAAAGTATACAAATTACAATGCCCCTTTTCCAAAAAAAAACAAAAAACAAGGGAAGAGTGGAGATGTTTGTGTGTGTGTGTGTCTGTGCTTGAGTGATAGGGAGAAAGAGAGAGAAAGAGAGAGAGGAGAATGATGATGAAGAACAACGGGAAGTAGATGATGATTTAAGAAAGACGAAAAAGAGAGAGAGCACGAGCGAAGATCCGGTATCACCAAACAACGACAGTGCGGGATGACAGCAATTCAAGAGAAGAGGAGAGAGCAGAATGGATGAGATGTGTGTAAACGGAGTACAAACGGAGCCCCGATCGAAACATATATAAATATTAATATATAGAAACAATTCAAGAGTGATGGGTAGAAGAATGGGAGTGGGAGTTAGAGGGAGTCGGAGGAAGAGAGCCGAACTCGGATTCGCCCAGGACGCGCAACCAGCGATCCTCGCCGAGTTCGTGTTTGAGCATCTCGATCCTCTTCCGGAACCGATTATCATGATGACTATTCTTCTCTCCCTTACCCGAATCCTTGAGATTGGTGGTGGTAACAGACGAGGAGGAGGGGGAAGAGGAGGAGAAAGAAGAGCCGTGTGGGGAGAGGAGGGTGGAGGCGGGGATAGGGAGAGTGGTCGAAGAGGAGGGGATGGCCGATTTGGGGCCGGATGAGTGGGTGGGATGATGGGGCGATGATGTGGATGATGATGATGATGAAGAAGGGACAGGAAGACACGGATTAGAGCAGGTCCGGGACGGGGATAGACGGTCGACTGTGAGCCGGGAGGGTAGATCGGGGGTGGGTGAGGAAGACTGAAAGTCGACGATCCGTGCGGGTTTCTTACGAGATGTCGGTTTCTTCTTGGGGAGCACTTTAGTGGTAGAGGGACTGAGCGAGGAGGAGGTGGAGGGGGTGATCGAAGGCGGATGATGGTGGGCGGGGTCGGGGAGGCTGAGGCGGGGACTGGGACACCCTTCTTCTTCTTCTTGCTCCGACGAGCGGGCACGCGGCGAGTAGAGACTGCTGTTCGAGCGGGACGAGTGTCGGTGGTCGGGCGTTCGACGGACGATCAGCGGCTTCTGGTCGACCAGGATCGGCCGCTCCAGGGTGGGGGATCGTCGACGAACCGGGCCTCGGATCGCCTTGGTCTCCAGATAACTCGGCCCTTGGTTCTCTAATTGTAGCGCCACCAAACCCGGTGCTTTCCGATCGATCTCCCGATCCTCTCGTGCGAAATACTCGAAGATTCGCACCCGCCATTCCTGTTGCTGTTGATGGACTATCGTGAACGGGTTCATGGACGCCCATAGACTCGTCAGGCCTGGTAACGTCGCTAGCCGCGACAGTTCACCAATGTCCTGGATCTGGTTCTGTCGAACGTCTAGTCGTTCTAGGGTGGTTAATCGTTCTAGTCCACAGATAGATGAAAGGCGATTCCGTGACAGATTAAGACTCGTGATCTAGACAAGAACCATGCACACCGTCGTAAACCAAATTAGCATGTTTTTCGGGGGGACATTGATAGATTGTTATGAAATTTCAAATAAATCAGGGGTTACCTACACTGCCAAGGCTGAGATGGATGCCCAGGAGAGAGTCGATCATGTTGTTGGAGAGATTTAAGGATTTCAATCTGGGGAGATGTCCTAATCCAGTTGGGACGGCGATGAGCAGGTTAGAGGATAAGTCCAATGAGACCAGTGATTTCAAGGCTAGGAGGGCTCGGGTGGAGAGGAAGGTTAGTGAATTGTGGGCCAGACTGAGATGTTGTAGAAAGCACCATGCAAACGCAGGGAAGTTTGATGGGAGAGATTGTGGCGCTTGGTGTTCTTCTCCATCTCGCTGTTTTCCTGCTTGTTGCTCTGTAGGTTTTTCTTCGGCTTCCCGTTCAGTGGTTCGTTCAGCTTCTTGCACATCTTTGGCTTGTTGGGTTTCCTGTTCAGAGCGTTCTTCTTGCTGTGATGGCTTGGGATCTTGTCGATTAGACTGGTCTGATTTGAGGTCTTGTTGAGCAGACTCAAGATGATGATGATGATGATGATGATTTTGCTGTGAGTCGAGTAAGATGGTATCGATGAGGAAGTCTTCAAAGTCGAGTATCCCACTCCTGCTGATCTCGAGTCGACGGAGGTTCTGAGAGAGTCGAGCCCAGCCCGAGAAGATTCTTGGGTCGAGTCTGTCGATGTAGATCGACCAGAGACTCTTGAATGAGCAGAGTGGGACGGTTGATTGTCCGGGGAGTTCGACGAGTCCTTCTAGGAGCTGCATGGGTTCGATGTCTGTTGTGGGTGTGCTGCTGATCGAGTTTGATGGTGATGAGGCGGGAGTGAGTTGGAGTGAGTTGAGTTTTGTGAAGGTAGAGTAGAGATACTTGAGCTGTTGTTCGGTTGTCCAATTTTTTGGTTGCTGTTGTTGCTGTTGGAATGGTGAGAGGAGTAGGTTGGTGAGTATCTTGGGTCGTTGGATAGTCCATGCTGTATAGCTTCCTAGTGTGCTGAGGAGTGGGTTGGGGTTCTGTTGAGTTTTCTGTTGGATGACTCCGATCATCCATTCTGTTGGTTGGTAGGCTTTGATGGAGGATGGCTGTTTGGGTTCTGATGCTTGGTTGAGTTGTAGTAGTGTGTTGAATTGTCTGGTGAGGTAGGATAGGTGATGTGGGTCTGAGTGTAGGATGATGATGTTGGTGTTGTTGTTGTTGTTGTTCTGTTGTTTGTTGAGTAGTTGGTTTGTTAGTTGTTCGATGTACTCGGTTGGTGGTTGTGTTGAGGATGATGATAGCATTCTTGCTTTCTTGGGTTTTGGTTGGTTCTCCTTCACAGCACACATGACACACCCTCCAGTCTCAGATTCGACATCTACCCGATCGGGGACACCGATAGCTCACCCGAATGGCGAAGCGATCGGGAATTTGGGGCCGGCTCAGCTGGTTGAAACCTTAACCAGGGTCCGGAAGGCTTCGGTGAGGGACCAACCGCCGACGGCTGCTCCTTCCCTTCATCCTCCCTTCACGGCAGCAACAGAAGATTAAGAAACCTGGGCTCGATCTTTCCGGACTCAGCTACGAATTCGCAATGTATTCTGTAAAAAGCTATCATGCTCTGAATCAAATATTGGGACGAACCTTGTGTAGTGCATCATGATATGTGACGAACTGCCCGGCACCCGTTTCTGACTAGAAGAATGATGGTCGAATCAGATCAAGAGTTGGAAAACAAGTTGACTCCTTTCAGGTGTCCAAACCCCAGGTCAAGTATGTACAATTCACCACGGGAGAATCAGCAGTCCTCCCCGGATGGTGGACCGGGAGATGGCTTCAAATCCTGATGAGATTGAGGCCGCACTGCTTGATGATCTGCTGTGTCCTCCCATCTCGCCCTGCACACAACACACCCAGTCTCCAGAGATAACAAGTTTGGAGTCAAGCAGCCCAGCAGAGTGGCCATCGTCTCCCATCTAGCCGCTCGATTCCCATCATGGCTCCCCCATCTCCACTCAAGTATTTAGATTGCTCCCTTTGCTGTTGTTGCCTATCCAATCCTCCATCTACTCCACTGACATCCCACTCCCCACCTCTGCCATCTCCATCAACAGCTTGCCTACCGATTCTCCCAATGCCCCAACTCATGAGCCCTCGGGAATCAAATCAGCCCCAGAAACCGCCGCCCAGCAGCAGCCGGCGGCATCCCCACCCGAACCGGCATCCCCAGCCGAGTCGGCCTCCCCACCTGATACCTTGGAGAGCCTGATGATCCAGCTCGGTGTCATCACTGGTGGCCAGCTTATGAATGACCAGGAGGATGCTGGCTATCATCCCGTCAAGATCGGTGAAAGATTCCATGACGATCGATACCAAGTCGTCCGTAAACTGGGCGAGGGACAGTTCAGTATGGTCTGGCTAGCTCATGACCAACAGTTGAGTTTGATTGATGTACATATGTACAAGCTGGCTTCTGAAGAAGCAAAATGGATTCTGAACCGTTTCTTTCTTGTACCGTATCTTACAATCTATCTGAATACCTACCTGTGGACAGGCTCGATCGACACGTGGCCCTCAAAATCTTCAAGTCCTCCAAATTCTTCACCGACTCGGCTGAGGCCGAAATCAAACTCCTCGAACGCGTCTCCCGCGCGAATCCAGCTCATCCGGGGTATGCTCACGTGGCCGGTCTGCTCGATCACTTCAAGCATCAGGGGCCTAATGGGAGCCATGTCTGTCTGGTCTTCGAGCCACTCGGCCAAAGCCTCGGAGCGCTCATCAGACGTCACAAGAAAAAGATCCCCGAGCCAATTGTTCGTAAGATCGGCCAACAGGTCTTGCTAGCATTGGACTATCTCCATCGCGAATGCGGGATCATTCACATCGATATGAAACCCGATAACGTGTTGATCGTTGTTGAGGACGTCGAAGGAGTGATCCGTAGGGACTTGGAGCACAAGCCAAAGGGCGGATACGACAGCAAGTCTTCGATCCCACTCTCGACTAGTTCCTCCGATCCTTTCCACCTTCAAGGCCAGTCTGACCATGACCCTATCGCCGTCAAGATCATCGATTTCGGCAGCGCCACTTGGGTTGCAGACCGTCGAGTCGAGGGTGTCACCACTCGTCCGTATCGCAGTCCTGAGCTCATGCTCGATGCTCCTTGGGACCAGCGAATTGACATATGGAGCACAGGTTGCATGGTCAGTTATGTACCTACATACCAGCGGGAAGTGCAAGGACAGATAAGAAGCTGAGGCCGGATTTTCGAACTCTATTTTAGTTGGTCGAGCTCTTGACCGGATATCTTCTCTTCCCAGCTCCCCTCGACCTACCAGATGAACATCTCCTTGGGATGATGATCGTCTTGTTAGGCCCGTTTCCAGTCGAAGTAGTCAAGGCCGGGAAGTACTTCCACCAGGAAATTGCCCAACTAGGCAAGTTGACTTTGTTCAGTCTACAAGCCATCTTGTACTTATCCTCAGAAAAGAGCTACATACATTACCACAAGATTTAGTTCGCAGGCAGAAGCAAAGTCAGCCAATACTAACGATTTATTAATTTGGAATTCATTCTTGTTCTCCACAAACTGTCTCAATCATCCAGACCAAATGATAGCCAAGCAAAGATCACAGACTCAAAGCCTTGAAGAACGGCTCCTGATCGATTATCCATCTGACCGATCCATCAGTCAATGTATACTGAAAATGTTGCAGATCGATCACTCCAAACGAGCCCAAGCAAAGGAGATCCTCGACGCTAAGGGTTGGTTAGGATCCGATGCATGACTGAAATAGAAATCGGGTTGTTATCTTGATCACGCTTGTCGGTCCCGTTTTGGAGCATTTTGTGCTGATCACAGCTTCTAAGCCCATCTTCACGCCTTCATATTTGATCCAACACTCTGGACTCTATGAGCCATGTCAAGCTCCTACTACCTGTGACTTGTACCTTCCTTCCAGATATCCTTTCATTATCCAGTTACCCGTACCATCAAATGTCCTGGTTTTTCTTCCCCTTTCCTCTCGGCTGTATGTTACCAAAAATAGCTCCCTGTATGCTTGCAGTGATTGTTCACTCACAAGCAGGACCTTTATTTATTATCTTACACAATGATCATACCAGACTTTGTGTTTTATCAAGCTCAGGTGGTACATTCAAATAATCATTTCATGTGTTTAATTGAGCGGCATCATGTTTCCACACAACGTGTCTTCCCATTTATCCTCATTGACCCCCACACCAGTGCAGTGACCATCTCTGGCGCGTATGTACATAGCCCAAAAAAATGATCAAGTTGGTGTGGAGCTGTAAAAGAATTATGTATTCATTCGTGCATGAAACTCTAAGCATCCTTTTTTTTGAGGGTGTGGACTGTTTCATATCCGTTTATTGAAGCTCACATGGGAGGGGACATGCTCGTTGTGTGTGGCACCCGTCTTCGTAATGGGAGAGTGGGTAGGGACGGCTATCGTCAACGATTGCACACGTCTTCAAAGATGAGAGATTGATCAGATATATTAATGGGCCATGTGCGGCCTCCAACGATTGAAATGACCAGCTCTCATCTGGCGCGGTTTCTGGCTCGTGAGCTCATGGACGGTGTGTGTGTGATCTAATAACCCAGTCCATCGGTGTTCCATCGCCATAGACAGACCCATCTAAATATTAACATGTCGACTTCGCTCCCCGCAGAAGGAGCTCGCTCTTCCGCCCACCCCCTTTTTTTAATTAATCCATCATATTTTCAAGCCGCAAAGGCCTGGAATTGAGAGACAGAACGCACGACGAGAGAGCTGGATGAAAATTGATCTTGAATGTTGATGAGTATTGAGCGATACTGCGGAAAACTTTCCGTCGATCTTAACACTGGGTCCATTCAACCCACGAATCCGGACTGGCCGGCGCGTGCCGGTAAATGAGGATACTAACATGCTCCAGAAGCCACGACATCATCATATGGAGTTGGAACAAACGCCGGGCAGCCAACAGTATAAAAATCCACGGTGGTCTGAGGTACAGCCTTCTCATTGCCCACATCGCTTAGCTCCAATCACTCATTAACAACTCATCCCAAGTCTCACTCATTGCCTCCATAGTCTTTTCCAGCTTGTCAACATAACACACAAAATGTTTATCAGATCGCGTCTTGCCTTTTTACACCTACTGGTACTGGTAGTCTCTCAAATTCTGTCAGCTTCGCCGCCTTATGATGTCGGTAAGATGCAACCGAACATCGGCGCTGGCACGGCGGGTTCTCAAGGCATGTCTGCTCCAGGGGCTACCGGTCAAAGCGGCGCTTCCGGTACCTCGCCCGACTCTCAAGGGGCTGGTGGAGCTGCTAGCGGCGGCTCTCCTGCGCCTGGCGGTGCCCCGTCTTCAGGCTCTGGGGATTCCGCCGGTGCTGGAGGAGGCGCGTCTGCTGCTGGCGCCTCTGGCCAACCCGACGCTTCCGGTGCTTCGTCTGGCTCTGGCGGCGCAGCTGCGACTGGGGATTCTTCGTCTGCGGCCGGCGCCGCGTCAACCTCTGGGGATTCAGCAGGTGCTGGAGGCATGAGTGCTTCGGGGGCTTCAGGCCAAGGCGACGCTTCGGGCGCTTCTTCCAAGCCTGGCGGCGCAGCTGGTACCGGGGATGCTTCTTCTGCCGCCGGCGCCTCGTCAACCTCTGGAGATTCCACTGGTGGTGCTTCCCCTGCAGCTTCTACTGGCGGCAATTCCTCTGGTACTGCCGCCGACGCCTCATCAACTTCGGCGGACTCGGCTGCCTCCGGAGGCTCAACTGGCTCAGGGGGCTCAACCGGGGGCCCATACGACGGAAGAACTTATCAAGGCCGAGCCACTACCTACGTAAGTCGTGTCGTCTTTCGTTTTTCTTATCCTGACCGCGAAGATCGAGAAAAGTTGTTGACCTGAAGGCATTGTCTCATTTGCGCTGATTTGTAGGATGCCAAATGGTCTAGTGGAAAGTGAGTAGTAATCGGTATATTCGTCAACTGGGTGTAAATTGCGAAACAAATGCTTAAAAAATCGGATTTTCACTTGAAACTCTCCTATCAAACCATATAGCTGTCTTCTTTCTAGGTGGCCACAACCCAAAGGATTAGGACCGGTCGCGATCGCCGAAAGTCTATGGGACTCTGCCCGTATGTGCGGTGCCTGCCTTTCGATTACCAGTTCCTTTGGGACCCACTTAGGTATCGTTACCGACCAATCCGACGTAAGTTGACACTCTCTCCTCAATTTCACGGTTCGGTTCGTCAAGTTCTGATGACGATAAACATTCGCTTGAATGCTTATAATCTGGCAGGTCAAGGGCAACAGTATCGATATGGGCCCGGACGTATGGTCTCAAGTCAGCAACCATCAAAAATCATCGGCTCTTCCGATCACTTGGTTCGTGTTTCTTTCTTATATGTTATCTCCCCTGAAAGTGCTTAGATGAGGAGGCCGAACTCACAATATTCTTGTTTTATATGCTGGACTTGATCTACAGGCACTTAGTCCCTTGCAATTTCACCACTCCAATCGAGTTTTACAATAAGAATGGCGCCAGTCAATATTACACCGCGATCCAAGTCGCCGGTTCGAACAAGCCGATCAAATCTTTGGAAGCTAGTTCCGCTGGTTACGGCTCAGCTTCTGGTGGCGGAGGTGGAGGTTCCAGCGGCGGCTGGGTCAAATTAGTCCGGGCGTCCAACTCCAACCACTGTGAGAACGTCTTCCGCTCCAAATAATAAAAGATGCGACACTTGGGTTGCTGATAATAATATTTCCTTCTTTTTGATCCAACAACTTTCATCGTAGTCGGGCCACCGGGTGGTAAGGGAGGATTAGGCACCAAAGCTGACCTCAGAATCACTTGCGATAACGGCAAACAGTTCATCACTAAAGGTGTCAGTTTGGTCGATTCAACTAAACCGACCCCGGCTTCCGGAAACTGTTAATCATGCACCCAACCATGTCTTGAGTTGACTGGATTGCATCATCGTTCTAAAGATCCGTTAGCTTTCCTCCTGCTACAAGAGCGCTATGATCACTTTCATGCGATTTTCTTTTCCTATACTACATTTTCCAAGAAGAAATCTCAGATATATTTGTAATATATCGTTTCTTGTTACACCGTTTCTTGATTTCTTGCTAGCTAAACTGAGCACCAACTCTGTGGTCTAGCTGAAAGAAGAAAAAAATACTACAAATCTACACAACTGTTCGGACCCTGCTTGCAACAGAGAGCGTCATCCCAGTCATTCCAGTTCCTCCTGGATGGCTCGTGATCAGATGGAGTGTGAAATTCCTGCGAGATAATGATTCCCACTTATCCTGTGACTTGGTTATAGTCATCGAGGCTTCGTTCGATCGACATATAAGCCGTTGTGACAAGCTGCAAACAAGCGTTGTTAGTCAAATTCACATTTGGTCAACGTAGGCAACGTCGGCGAAGACATTCAGTTGTCCCCCCAGAATGAGACTCTTTGAATTGTATGTCCATGTGCTTGTCTCTATGATCATTTATCCGCGGAACTTGACTGCCACTGGAAGCCCCCAGCATGGACATTCATTCTGCCTCCTTGCGGATTTGATTATCCATATCAAGACTCATATTTTCGGAATTTGTTGGACCCTTCTGAGTTTTTCTTGAGTCTCGAAAATTGCCATCTTGAGTAGTCACATCTTATTCTTCATTCCAGTACAGTCCTTCTATCACGAACGAACTGGTTTCTGTGCTTGATTAATATTTTAGGGCGTGTATACACACCTGCGTTTTTTACTCATCAGGATTTCCTTTTTTTCCCACTGGACTTGTTGTGACTTCGCCCTGGCCTCAAACATCTTCTTACATGATATTTCGTTACTTCTATCACCGAGCTCAAAGTTCAAATCGCGTCCCCTACACTTAGTCTCGTAGATATACTAGCATTCTTCATTCTACCTCCACATAAGTCGCCTTAAGTTTGGATTTGTCAAGGAGTATCAACATTGGGTGACCACTAGCAGGCCGCGGAAGCTGCAGAAAGTGGGCCGGGAAAAGATCTTGGAAGATGATTGTGACCTTGCTCAAACGACAAAAACGGAGAGCTACACTTACCGAGTCACGCAAGGTCTTCTATCTTATGAGCTCATCGGAACTGTCCTCATAGATTTCGTGCTCATTGCAACAATGCGACACCGCAGCTTTGATCGCCATCATGTCACATCGATCTCAAACCTGCAATTTTCGGCTGACGAGCTGCATAGCCAGACCCAAGGGTAGAACCAGGGTGCTGGTATTTTTGGAAATCCTCACGAGAGCCAGTCACTGAATACCTTCGATCAGTACCTCATGGGAGCGTAAGACCACCAGCCACGGCAGCTTAAATGGATTGCTCTGATCCTCTGCTTTAAATCGATATGTATTGCCTTCCATATCCTTTCTAGTAATTATCTTACCAACTACTTTTCACTTGTCAAATCAACCAAAAATGTACGCTGGATATTACTTTTTGCTTTTAACTCTGCTTGCACTTCAAGCTGTGGCCAAGCCCCTCAACTCTCACTCAGCACGAGTCAATAAACGTGAAACTCCCAGCGCTTCTTGCTATTCCACCCATAGAAACAAAAATAAAAATAGCCAGGTAGCCGGTCGAACTTACCACGGAGAAGCTACAACTTGGGTACGCATCATGAACATTATCAACATCTTCTTTCCCCTTATCATTTGATCAAATTTCAAGTATAAGGGAAAATAATAGAAATTCGACGCTTTGATTATTTGTATCTGCGACCATCATCGTAGAACGCTAGCTGGGCTACCGGAAAGTTAGTGAATTTATCTTGACCACGATACATATAAGTAACCTTGGACAAAAAGGATCAGGACTAATCTTATACTTTCGGATATTAAAAATAAAACAGTTGTCTATTCCAAAAGTGGCCCCAACCGAAAGGACTGGGTCCAATCGCTATGGCTTCGAACCTCTGGAACTCTTCGGGTATCTGCGGTGCTTGTATTTCGATTACTGGACCAGTCGGGACCCACAAAGGAGTCGTTAGTGACCAGTGCCCATCTGTAAATAAATTTTCCTTTTCTGTTTTACCGGGTTACAGAACAAAATTCTGCAGAAGATACTGAGAAATAGAAACAGTGCAAAAAAGACAGTTTAGATTTAGGTCCAGATTTATGGAAAGAAGTTAGTAATGGCCAAAACCCCGGAGTACTCCCAATTACTTGGTTTGTAGCATCTTTTGAACCTTGAACTCATATTTCTCAGTCTGATGCGATGGAAGGCAAAAAAGAATGTTGACAGCGTTTTTTTTTTGTGACCGGACTCCTTTCAAATTGCGATTCCAGGGAAATTGTCCCGTGTAACTTTTCGACACCGATCGAGTTCATCAACAAGGATGGCGTTAGCAAAGATTGGAATTCGATTCAAGTGGCCGGTGCCGAAGTTCCAATTAGGTCTTTGGAAGTTATGCCTATTGCTAACGAAAGCTCTGGAGGAACTGGCCAGAGATCTTGGATTAGATTGACAAAGCAATCAAACTCTAACTACTGTGAGCTATCTTGCTATTATTTTTTGACATGCCAGGTTTTCTTAGAGAAAATGATCGGTGCGACTTATTTTTTACTAACACATTATATCTCTCCAGTCCAACCTGAGTCCGGAAAGGGATTGGGAAAATCGGCCGACATTAAAGTAACATGTGATAATGGCAAGAAAATCATTACGAAGAACGTCGAGTTAGACAAGCCCTTGAACATTACCGACGCGGTTGGAAACTGTTGAAACTTCAAATTTCCCAAAATTGTCAATTCTTACGGAGCTCAGTTGGGCCTGTGACCACTACCAGAACAAATCAGCTCTAAATCAGTAGTAAATCACTCATGGTTTAGCAATTGCATGAGATAAACCCTGTCTAGTTTTGATATTTTCTCAATGTTCATCTCGAGTCTGTAATCTTGTCAAGGTCCACTGGAGGAAATCTATTTGTCATGTCTTGCGTCGCCACTCTTTCTTTTCTATTCTGCAAACAAAATCAAAGTGAATGTGAATTCGATTTCGATATTTGCGAAAATAGAAAAAACAAGGCTCAAGATTTGAGAATTTTAATGAAGAAACCAGTGAGATTTGACTATTTAGATTGCTTCAGCTATTGAAAAAAAGGATGCCAAAAATTGTATCACTTTGATACAAAGAAGGAGATCCGACTGAAACTGATATAAGTGCTATTGCGTTTATGAATTCTTTCAATTTATTCTGAATGAGGTTGCTAAGTATTTCCGACAATACCAATTGTCTCGACCAAAGCTATCGACTACCTTCTAACAATTGCCAGTCGCAGCGGTAGTATTAAGTGGTTGGTCTAAATGAACGTGCTTGGTGATGATTTGTTTACCATCACCACAGGTAACTCTGAGATCACCAATAGCCCCCAGGCCTGACGGGGGATCCGGTTGAACTAAAAAAAAACAGATTACAAACATTGTATTAAATCAGAAGCCCTAATTAGAATGAATGGTGATCGATTTCTTGTTACAACTGAAGAAAACTCACAATAGTTTGAACTTGATTGTCTGACTAACTTCACCCAGTTTCCGGTGGGCATTGTACCGCTGCTATTGCTCCCGCTGGGTAAAATTTCCAAAGATTCTATTGGCATGTTGGAACCTGCAACTTGCACTGATGTCGAATCTTTGCTCACTCCGCCCTTGTTGATAAACTCGATAGGTGTAGAAAATTTGCACGACACAATTTTCCTGAAAAGATCATATAAGGGTAAGTGGTTCTCTTTCTTCACCGCTCTACTTTTGGGACCGCAGATTATGAGGCTTTCTCCACTCAGACATGAAATTTGAGACGAACCAGCTGATTTTCAAAATCCCAGGAGTTTGGTTGTTGCTAACTTTCTTCCAAAGATCAGGAGCCAAATCAAGGCTGTCTTTCTTGCACTGTTGTAATGATGAGTTGAGTGATCAGCTGGTGCATCTTGAGGTAAAGTGCAAGCATAAAGAGTTATTTACCGAGGGGCATTGATCACTGACGATCCCGTCGTGAGTATCTCCAGAGGGACCCGTTATGGAAATGCAAGCACCACAGATGCCTGCTGAATCCCATAAATTAGAGGCCATCGCAATGGCTCCTAAGCCTTCGGGTTGTGGCCATTTCTCAAAAAGGCAGCTGAATAAATTTGTCATGAGAATCAATGTTTTCAGCTTGATAATTTAAATTTTGCCTAAGCTTCTATGAGAATTTACGTACTTCCCAGAAGGCCAGTTCGCGCCCTAAGTGGAAATCATAAATTCAAAACAAGTCTTAATCAACAAGTTGCGTTATAATCGAAAGGGAAATTGATTCAGAGGCAAGAGATTGAAAAACTCACCCATGTCGTAGCTTCTCCCTGAAAGACTTGTTCGCCATCCCCATAAAGAGACGTATTAACAGAGACAGCTCCAGCAAAGCTATTGCTGCTACTGAATAGCATAGCAACTTTAAACAAGCATTGGATAGCTACAGCTAAATGGAGTCCTGTTGCATGAAACATGGTATCAAAGCTTTCCTAGAATTGGTTGTGATGAGAAGTATAGCTATTGAAACTACGAGCAAAGAAGCAATCAAATGATTGAAAAATGAACGAGGACTAGTGTATCAATCTTCTGTCACACAAGTGGAGTGATGAGATGAATGTCAACTGAAGGACATCAACACAAGCATTTATATACCATTGCTTCCAATGGTGCTCTCCTTCCAAGAACTGTTTTGGCCAACGATTTAGGAGCTGGCTTCCTCTGCGTAACTGGAAATGACATCCAACACCTGAGTTCAATCTAGCAGACCCCAGATCTCTTTTACCTTGTTGTTGGCAATCCCCAAATAGAATCTTATTCGTTAAGAACCACATGGAACTACATAAAATATCAAAGAATCAGTAGCTATCAGATTCTGCTGGCAGACTGACAGTGGAGTGTCCCCCCGGAACTTTGTAAAGACGCAGCCTGACCACTTGCCAGTATACTATAGTATGGGTGACGGTTTGCCGGGTTAAGAAAAGACTGTCATGCGGTGTGGCAATTCTTCAAGTCACGAAGATTTCATTTTCCTTGCGCTAATGAGGAGGGGCCCTTCATCTCTCCCTAAGAAGGAAAAGGGTCAAGTTCATCTATGCGGTGAGACTTTTCAATTCATGTGGGTCTTGTCCTGGTGACTTCTTCGCGGAAGTTCTCCATAAACTTGATCAAGATAATCATGAAACATTCCAGTCTGTCTTCAAGCCACGTCGCTGACCGATACTTTCTGGTTATTATGGTGTGCTCTACGCGCAGCGGATGGTGGAGGTGCACAGTCTTGCACAGTGTTTCGAGTTCAGCTCCCGATTACAAGCTCGGTTAGGGTACCACTCCCCTGGTCAAAATTAAAAGACGACAGAGATGAGCAAAGTTTGACATATGGCTGGTTCCCCAGATCTGACTAACCAACTCAAACCTTTCCGTCGGTTATATCCTAACGCGACTCCACTTGCAAGATTTTCGAACAACTTCGGATAGCGAAATCTGTCCTCATTGAACTGGTCCAGTTTTGAAGCTAAATTTGATCACGAGTCTCAGTGAGCATCTTGAAAACCAAAATCACCCATCAAGGTACAGAACAACTGTCGATTAACTGGTCATGCAGGTAATTCCAGCAGTCCAGTTACCATCTTAAAATCACCAGAAACACAATTTACTCCCGCAAGCACCAAAGTCATCCACCAGGTTCCAGAACAACCGCCACCCAACTGTTCGTCCAGATGAGTCTGGCAGTCCAAGTGGGAAAGCTCTTTTCTCGCCACAGAAGAAACTCAGTAACATGTTATCGGGGGATCTCGGTGACTGCCTTCTGTCAAAGATAGCTTGCTTATCCTCTGCTCGCATCCACATGTATCAGTAAAACCAACCTCAGTTCGTTCAAGGTCTGTTGCGTGTTGACCCCAAGGAGGAAGTTTGTTCCGTTGTTCAGTCATAGCCGTGACAAGCTGCGGCCAGACTTCAGAGTCGAGATTGCTCGTGGTCTACTCGCTGCAATTAGCCCATTTTCAGCAATTCCTTTTGGTCATTGCGCGCTTGTTAATGGAAGGGAACTGGTTTGGATTTTGGGTTTTCCATGCTGGAGTACCCGTGAAGCCCTGCAAAACACACACGAAATCTCATAGCATTATTCTTTTTTCTGCTATCCAGTTTAATTTCTTCTGATTTTTCAAAAGACATCTTGGAAAAGAAAGACTATAAGGCAGTAAAAAAAAGAAAGCACTATCCAATTAAAAAATGGGCAACATTTTTTTTCAATTGGTGGTAATCCTGATTCTAATTTCCGGGAAACATGTAAGGGAATGTGAAAAGATGTCCAGAATATGTACGTCTACGACGGATAAGTTTTTTTTTTTGAATCTAGAAAGGGAGAGTCACAATCCGAATTGGTCGCTAGGTACAGGCGCAAGAAAAAAAAAAATTCTGAATACAAAAATCTTGGCTAGGTGATCAGAGAGGGAAGGGGGAAACGGAAACGATAGATGTACATTGATATTATGTTGAACTTTGGGGCAGAAAAAAGAATCAAGGAGCGTCGCAATAGGCTTTGAAGCAGGCTTGACATTGGGCGCTTCGGACGGCGGAGTTTCGGAGAACTTGTCGGTCGACTAATGCGCACGCCAAACACATCGGCCAGTCTTTGTTCTGGGTTGGGCCCATGCTTTGGGTGGCCAATGCGAATCCATTGAAAAAGAATTCATCAATCTCTTCCGGCTTTCAGTTGTTGTTTTTGGCAGTCATTTAGGAGCAGGTTTTCATTAGTAAAACTGGGGTTAAAGTATGACTCAGGTAAGTTGATTGATTGACTTTGGCTTACTTTGTAGGATATTTTCGTAGTGACTGTGTTTGTTTTGCCAGTAGCGTAATAATTAGGAAGGTAGACTATAAGGGGGCCTTGGCGGTCTTCACAGCCGAAGAACGTGGGTCGCTTGTTGTATCCTAGCTTCGTGAAGGTACCGTCAAGGGCATTGGGAATGCTAATTGACAAAAAATTTTAGTATCCAGGGCAATGTCGTGAATCTCTGAAGTAAATTTTTAGGCATTACCTTGGCATGTGATAGCCCTTGTAAGGAGGTAGCTTGGTCTTAGTGTAGATACTATACATGTGAGTACCATTGGGATCTAGTTGTGCGTGAAATTTAGGAAAACAAGAAACATCAGCATCTTTTGAAAATGTGACAAATAAGGTAAGGCTGCTAGACCAACATGTATACAGGTTTGGGTCATCTTCGTCGCTCCCATCGGCACTCTATGATACATTTTGGAAATAAGTTTGTCTCGGAGGGAAATGTTGTCAAAGGAACGACGGGGGCTGCTTCAAATTACTCACGGCATCTAACGCAATGATCACATCGAGTTTGCGCTCCGGTTGAATCAAAGGAAACAAGGGGATGTTCTCGTGAATCAATCCGGAATCTGCCATCAAAATCAAGTCCCTGTCTGTGTCCTGGTATCGTGCACTTTGAAACGCAGACGTCTTTCCTAGACCCTTAAAGGCATTGGGTATCTGATCCCCAGAGAAATTGGAGTCAAACTCAAGTTTCCATCGGGCTCTGGATTCAGAAATAATTCGAAGCTCTTACTTTGCCTTCAAAATTTATGTCGTTGATGAATGTGCGGACCGCCGTCAAATATTTGGGCCTTTTTTCGTGTCTTGGGGAATCCCCACGAGAGAAGATGTTGCTGGACATTCCCATCACAAATCTTTTTTTATAATAGCAATGAATAAGAAGGAGCGTCGGTAAATAAAACGCAAAAAGGTTATTATCAGTAAAGAAATGAGAAGATTACGAGGGAATGTAGAGTTCGTAGAGTCAACTCGCAAGCAACTTACCCCGCATTGTCAAAGCCAGCAACACAGCCTTGGGGATCAGGGTTGCCAGCAGTATGGGTGGATCCAAGATGCTCAATGGGTATTGATGCGTTGAGATAAGGATTGAAGATACCGAACTCCTCGGCGGAGAACTCATCTAGAATGACCTCAACAGAGAGAAGGGGCCAGAGACTTGAGCGTTTGAACTGAATTACAAGTGGTCATTCTGGTCTGCGGCAATGATGGAATCTTAAAACGTACATGTTGGACTTTCCGGGGTGAATGGTTCCCCCTTGTCTGGCCGACTGGTAGTCACAGCCATCACAAAAGGTACATCACGTCTTTTGTAGCCCGACGTTTCCCGGATCGATGACCAAAGGACTTCTTTTCCTTTCTGTGAGTTCTTTTTGTCGGGCTCATTTCTTCAGAAGGCATCATCCCAAGCAAGTGCTATCAGAATTTTTGCTTGGCTTGTTCGAGCCTTCTTTCGAGCGAATTTCTTATACTTAGAAGTCCGACTTACATAAAGTGACGAGAAAGAATTCTGCCCCATGCACTTCAAGGGGAAATGATGAGAGACGAAGGAACGATCAGGAGTAAGTCGGGAGTCTTTCTTGAGAAGTACTGAGCAATCAAAGTTTGAAATCCTTGGAGGTTACTTACTCAACAATACTGACGGGGAACCCAGCTTTGCGTTTTTCCTGCACCGTTTTATAATGGGACCAATAATCTTTTGCGATGTTCCAATCCCACAAAGAGTTGTCCTCTGATAGCCGCCAATTCGGAACAAGAGTTTGTATTTGAGGGAAGTTGGAGGTAGCCTAGAGATTTGAAAGAAAGAAACATAACCCTTGGTTCATATTTGCTTCTGATTCATATAGATAGTCTCAAGAATCTACGCACCCACGATCCCAATAACCAACTTGCACTATAATCAGAGAGACAGAGAGATTAATGTAAATTCTCCCAGCGTGCATAATACGCAAGAGTGTGTTGATAAGAATTACCCTGATACACCAACGGCATAATTAGCTAATTGAAGAATGCCGCCGACTTTGGCCTCATTGGCTTTCTGGTTCCTCGAGTCGAATGAGTCCAGAATCGATCCACTGAAGCACAGCGCACGCATACCACCACCGCTGAGGGCTAGACCAATGTTAGGCAGAGTGAGCGCGGCCACACCTCCACTCTGTTTGGCTGACTTCAGGAAATCATCGATGTTGAAATTTTCCAGTTTGACGTTCTCCAAATACTTTTGCCACAAGGGAATCGATTGCGCAGCTTTGTCTTTGATGTAATCGGACTCTCCTTTTCCGAGTCTGGTCTGCAGAGAAGGAACGGAGAGAGTCAATGATATGCTTGCTGCTAGTATTAGGGGGAGAATTGAGGACATGCTTGACTTACCTGCTGATTTTGCTTATCGTTCGGAGCCCGGACGAAAGGATCTTGCGGGCACTGAATGTATGTGGGAGCATAGTTTCCAGAAGGTGACTTGGCCAAAGCAGGATCTCTTCGCCTTAAGTTTGGACTGCCGGTTTCGGGCCGGGCGGACGCTGCCGACACATTGCTGAGGCAGACGAACAGTCCCACCAGGATTAGAGTGGACAGCCGAAAGGCCATGTTTGAAGGTCTGTGATGTAAAGTAAAAAAGAAAGACACTGATGAGACTCTTGAAAGCCGTGTAGCACCGGCGGCTAATGAATGTTGAGGAGAATAGTTGGAGAGTTTTCCTTGAAGGGGGCACATACGCGCTCCGCTTTGACTTGGGTCGCAAGACTTGACGCAGAGCTTGGTTGCCCCAAGGGCTTATGGTGGCTTTGTTCAAGGGGTCGTCTGTGACTGTCAGCCCCGGTCACCTCAGACTGTTACAGATCAACTTAGATACCAAGTAGGATTCGCTGTATGTTTATGTTATACATACACAATCGATCCCTATTGAAGGCGGCTGAAGGCTGCAGAAAGCGGTCAAGATCCACAAGGATAAGGTTGGACCAGGTGGACCCGGACTTGCTGAAACATGCTGCAAGAGCTGATTGAGACCTAGGGCCAAGGCTCGTGTCGCCGTGACGATGGCACGATTCACTGGTTCCCCCTACTCGGGCGCCTGTTCGATAAATTGAGCTTCGGTAAATAAAGTATGTATGCAAATTATTTACCCACCTTGAAGAACACGCCAACAGGCGCCACCATTGGGCCCGTTCATGACTAACCCACAGGGTTGAGCAAAGCATCTCCGCAGATTATGGCTGAAATTCATGGCATTTTTGCGGAGTGTCAGACTTACATAGTTTCGTCCGAGTTTGCCCCCGTCTCCAACATTACCATAAAAGCATTGCCATAAAAGAATGTGAAAAGATGAGAAAGCCCAAAGAAAAGAAAAAGGAATGGAACTAGACGGAATAGAATTCCTACAATGGTCGAGATGAGCATGGCCCCCAATGAGTTTGCAGATGTTATCACAGCGGGTGATTGATGGATTTGAAATGAATATTAAACTACCCAGTTTATTCGCAACAGAAGAAGATTGTATAAGCAGAACAAGTTATAATGTTCTAGATCAAATGAAGTGAGGGAAGAATACAGGTAGAAGATATAACTCAAGTAGATTAAGTGCACTGTGGCCAATGAGAACTGAAGGCTTGTTTTTTTTTTTTTTTTTTTTTTTGGATGTGACAGAGGCCCAGAGCTGCCCAGGCATCGAGAAAAGAAAAGCGCGCGATTTGATGGAATGAAAATTAACAAAAATACAGACGCGTTGGAAACACAGTGAGCAGACGGAAGAAAAGGGACGCTGATCTCAAGCTATTCAGAGGTCTTCATCCAATTCATCTTGGTCGTCGAGGTCCATTCCATCATCAGCAATCGGATTCGAGGGGAGCTCTAGAGGAGGATGAGAATCGGTATCATCAATGCTCGCAGTGGTGCTGTTGCCGGTGAGCGAGGCCTTGGATGGTTGCTTGGAAGCGGACTCGTTTAGGCTCATGAGCGTTTCTGTAGGGAGTGAGTTGGTGATTGCGGTGGATGAGGAGGGTATCGTCGGATCTCTTAGGATCGTACTTAGTGGTACTGAGGCCGGAATCACTTCTTCTAGCCAATCGTATTCCGGATTTCTTTTGACTGCTGATGCTTTTATACACAATGTCATTCACAATATTAGAATTGAAAATGAACCAGAAAAAAAAAATAGAAAAACATAAGCTTACCAACATCGTTGTATTTCACAAACACTCTTCTCTCTGCTTTTGATCTTTCGAAAGCTGAATTGGTTAATTTTTTAACAAAAAATTCCTATTGCAATTTTAATTTGATCGGAAATGAACGCATACAATTAGCACATAAAATTATTAAATCCAAGAGGAAACGTTTCAAGAAATAACAAACGGTGGCAATTGAGATCAAGAAGACGGCTTCCTTCGAGACGATCTTGATATCTTTATCTTGTTTTGCGGCCCTCGTGACTCTTGTGACGGGTAAGATAGTAGTTCCGATTGATTTTTCACTATGTACTTTTTTAGTTCGCTGCTGCTGGTTACGCGGGGGTGGGGGTTGATCGGTATGTGATTTTTGAGGTTGTGGGTCTATCTGATCGGCATGGGGTCCTTTGGGTACGCCATGCTGGCCTTTGTCCTCGTGTTCATCCTCATCTTCAACCTCTTCGCCCTCATCGTCATCCGGCTCTTCCTCGTCCTGCTCTTCTTCTCCCTCGTCCTGTTCTTCTTCCAGTTCTTCCCCAACCGGCAGCTCGTCTTCTTTTGTTTTTGGTGGTGTTGATAGAGTGGATGAAAGCGGTGAACTCGACATGATCGTCTCTTCTTCCTTCCGGTCGATCGGCAACTATATGTTCTGCGGTTTGTAAACTTCGACTCGATGGAGACCAGGTCGAGTTTGTCGTTGGGAGTCAAACTTCATGGCGCCAAACCTCCGGCCAAGGTCGAGATCCACTTCAAAATTTTTATACAGTGCATATGCAATCCACCTCACATCCGCCTCATCACTCGATGGCCACTTCATTTTGGTTCACACTCCCCTGCAAACTAAAAGTAAAACGCGCTCAACAAACTAGCTTGAGATTGAAATCCAAATGATTTCCGAGGAATTTCTAATCGATAGAAAATTCGTGTACTCTTTGTTCTGCCATCTTTGACTCTCTTTGACGCTCCATGGGGGCAGTGCACTACAGACTCACAAGAAATCAATACAATCAGCTAGATCATAAAATGCTATGTGAAAGATGTGATGTTATTCACAGGAAGACCATTCCTCAAATACAAATTCAGCAAGTGGTTGGGTGTTTTTTTTTATCTGTGGATTGTTTGTACCTGACTGTTTCCAATACAGCATTGCTTAAGTTGCAATGTAGAATAAGGGAAAGGAGGAGTTTCTTCACATTTTAATATCATGTGGGGCTATTTTTCATGATCACAAGTAGGATTGCAAACACCCAAATTTCCATGCAAAATCATCTCCACTTCTGTGACTAATTAGCACACAGTAGTACATGCCAAGGAATCAAAGGGGGATAGATGATTGTGCACCTGATTTTCTACTTTCATCAGGTGTTTATCACTTAGCATGTAGAATTTTATAAATTGTTTGAGCATATTTTCTGACATAGAAGATTATCTTCTTTCTTTTCATTACTGTTTTTTTTTAAAATTAGCGTCACCAGATTCTTTCACCCAGTGCAAAAATCCCTCTGCTAGAGTAGGGTGTTCAAACTTGATTCTTAAACCATGTTCTACACAAAATCATAACCCCTGCAGGTTCATGAAGCTTACAATGTTTCTCTATTTGGGCACTGGGGCTTTTCTCAAAATGTTGTAAAAAAATTTGAGTTTATGTAGAATGTGATTTCAAAATCAATTTTGAAGTACACCCAGTGTGAAGATCAGATGACTTGAAGCCATGTAGCTGTCATGAGGATGGCAGTCCTGTGAGCCCCTTTGCCCAGTCACTGTGCCTGTGACATCTTGGCTGTGTCCCATACATTTTTCTCATGCATGGCACAGAGACCTGTGAAATCACAGGTGCTGCATGTCATGCAACACTTTTGGACCGAGAAACCTGTCACAGATTCATAAATTCTTTTTGCATGGGGTTCAAGTCTTTTTTTTTTGGGGGGGGGGCAGTGATACACTGACCGACATGATGCTAACCAATGTTGTTGGTGGAAAATAACATGGATGATTCTGGTGATTGGTTATTGTCAAACCTATTGCAGCCACAAGTCCTGCAGTGTTTTAAACATGGTACCTGTGTCAATAAAAAAAACAGGAATAAAGTAACACAGTATCCCATCATGGTGCACAATGTTATCAATATCTGATGCTGTGCAAAGAGTTCAAGACTTGAGAAACCCATTACCTAGCATGCTACACAGTTCACACTGAAGGTGGCTTCTGTTTGCTTTGAGCACATAAGAGCAGCACATTTGACACTCTCAATTCCTGATTGAATGAGAGGACCTGTTAAGCCCCATGCTCTGATAGAGTAAATGGACACAACACTATAACAATTGCATCAGTTTTTTTTTTCTTTGATAATCTGGGCAGCTTACATTGTCACAAGAGGTCATATTTAGGAAACTATGCTGGAGATCAATAAAACAGAAAGAAAATACACAATCACTCTTTGCAGATCTTTTACTTCTTTTTGGTTTGTTTGTTTGCGTGCTGTAGGGTTGTTGGTCTGTGGTCTTAAGATTTGACCCAGAGATCCATGAACTTGTCAACGTCGAAGTTCTCCAAGGTCTTTTGGTCATTGACTACTTCCATGATCTTGGCGATTTGCTCCTTAGGAAACTGTTTTTTAATTTTGATTTTCGGAGAAGATTGATTGAACGGATCGACATGAAAAAATAGAAATCCAAAGAGACAAGTTAATAACATGAAGTAAGGGTGGTTTGAAAAGATGAGAGGGGAAGACGAACGTGAGGCTCGATGTGTCTCTTGAACTTAGCGTCCAAGAGTGGTTTTCCTTCCTCTCGACGACGTTTGTGTCCGACAGGATACTCGATCTCGACCTCGTCCAAGACCGTACCGTCCTTCAATTCGATCGTGATTGCGTTTCCGATTGAGCGTTTGTCGGGTGCATGGTACTCAGCGCTGTACTTCTTCTCCTCCGTGCAGCTGATCTTCGCGCGCAATTCATCGATTCGCGGATCCGAAGCTACTTTGTCCGTGTAATCTTCCGTCGTCAATCTCCCATAAATCAATGGAATCGCCACCATGTATTGAATCTTTTTTTTTATTCAAATACCAGCAGCAAATGAAAAACAAATTTAACCCTGGAGACTTAGAAACGGAAAAAAAAAAGAAAGGATGGAGGAGTGATCAGTGTACTCAACTGTATGGTCTCTATCGGCAAAGTTATGCAACGGTCCTTGCTTATCGATAATTCGAATAGCAGCTTCTTGAGTGCGGATCTTGACACTCTTGATATCATCCGAACCCTTGCCCATGTCGACCAGCTTTTTGTGTAAGATATGGGCGCATTCAACTGCCGTTTGGGCATGGAATTCGGCGGGATAAGAGATCTTGAATAAAACGTTCTCCATAATACTACGGATCCACCAATTGTCGAAATCAAATCGGATCAGCTTGGGTGATCATCTCTTTTTTTTTTTTGGCCTGATTTGATGTGGAATTGTTGTTTCTTGGTGTTCCTTGTGAGGTCATTTAGCTTACTAAGAGGTGAACGGTCTCTGGAATTTGAATGGTTTCCCACCAAACAGAACATCATAGAATCCCCAGGTTTTGGCAGATAGTCTAAGGGAAGTGTTTGAAACGCATCAGTCAGTTGTTTGAGCTTCTGGAGGCCTAAAGTGAGTGAACGTACACGGTGGGATAGCCCATCTCACCCTTTTGGACAAGGAGGGCCAGATTGACGGCCCGACTACAGGCATCGCCGGCCGCCCAGGATTTGCGTGAGCCGGTGTTAGGGGCATGACGGTAAGTACGGAGGCTCTGGCCATCCACGAAGGCTTGACTGATGACGTCGATGGTCTGATCGAAGGAGAGGCCGAGCAGCTTGCTCGTCACCGCTGCACTGGCCACCTTGACGAGCACGACATGGTCCAAGCCGACTCGATTGAATGAGTTCTCTAGGGCCAGTCCACCCTGGATCTCATGAGCTTGGATCATCGCCGTCAAGACATCGTGCATCTTCAGGGGTTTCTTCCCGTTGGCAACCGCCGTCCGACTCAGCCAGTCGGCGACGGCCAGGATCGAGCCCAGGTTGTCGGACGGATGGCCCCATTCGGCGGCAAGGAAACAATCGTTATAGTCTAGCCATCGGATCATCGTCCCGATGTTGAATGCCCCCCGGATCGGATCCAAGACGAACGCCGTCCCAGGCACTCGTGTCCCGTTTGGTACCACCGTGCCCTCGACCACCGGGCCGAGCAGGTTTGAGCATGTCGGAAAGCGGAGAGCCTCGAGACCGCATCCGAGTGTGTCGATCAAGCATAGCCTCGCCGTCTCGTAGGCCAGAGCCGGATCGTCGAACTTGGGATCATGGACATACTTGGCAATGTCGACCAGGACTTGCTCTGGTTTCGGCCTGGTCGTATCTTCTGCGCCGTGCGATGCTCCGCCCATGTTGATAGCAGCACTGGTAAAACCACGAGATGGACGAGCAAGCTTTGAGAGGCTTTCCAACTGGCTCCGGCCGATTTTCGTCTGACGACTGACAGCTGTTGAGGCCGATCGGAGTTGAGTGCTGAGGATCGGTTTGAGTTGGGTGTGGTGATGACGTAACAGGCGGGTGCAGCCCGGGCTCAGTCTCATGGTAGGCTGGTTGAGGATCGGATGGAAGAGTCGAGCCGGAGGGTGGGAGGGAAGAGGAGAGAGGACCTGGATTAATATGCTGTGCACATTCAATTAAGCTATCAATCAACTTTCCAACCTTCGTCTCTCTTGCAAAAATATCAAACTGACCTCAAGACTCCTCAAGATATTAGACCATCTCCACCGCAAGCTGCTATCCGAGCTGCCAAATCTCGAAGTTCGGCAACTGCGGCGCATTTTTAGCAGCCCACACAGAGGCCGTTTTACACCGCAAGCTGCCAAATATGGCAACTCTGCCTTGTGAAACGTCCTCCCCGCCGTCCCCCTATTCTCCACCCGTTTTGCATCACTTCTGAACCTCTTCCATTGGACAACTCCCAAAAACGATGGACTCAACGCTTCCGGCGGACACGGACCCAATGACCGAAGAAGTCCTGGCCAAAAAAATTATCCGAAGGCAGCAATTAACAGCAAGCTCAAACACTAGAAGATTTTTACTCCTTGAAGCGGCTGCATTAATGCTGGATGACGACAACGGCATCGACGATCTCATTCCTTCCCATGGCGGATCCAAACCAGGCAAGAAACCAAACAAACCACGCAACTTTGAAGCCAGCTATCAAAGGCTCCTTGACCACTACTTTTCGGACTCGCCACTCTACGACGCAACACTATTCAGACGCCGCTTTCGGATGTCCAAACCGATTTTCTTGAAGATAACGGAAGAAGTCAAGAATTACGACAGTTACTTTACTCAGAAACCGGACGCCTTAGGAAAAATGGGTCTACATCCCCTAGTTAAGGTCACAGCGGCCCTGCGCATGCTTGCATATGGGGCTGCTGGTGATTGCAACGATGAATACTTGCAACTTTCGGAAACAACATCGCTCCAATGTATGGACCGATTTTGTAATGCCATCGTGGACATCTATGGTTCTCAATATCTCCGTGCGCCAACTGCCGAGGACTTGGAACGACTGCTTACGATTGGAGCTCGACGGGGCTTCCCAGGAATGCTTGGTTCTGTAGATTGCATGCACTGGGAGTGGAAAAACTGCCCATCGGCTTGGGCTGGACAGTATCAAGGGAAGGAAAAGGTAATTTTTTTTCTTTATTGCCACAAGTTCGCACTGACTGATTATTCAATTATTTTGCTTTCTCTTCTTAGACCCCAACAGTTATCCTCGAGGCAGTGGCATCCCAAGATCTTTGGATCTGGCATGCTTACTTTGGGCTGCCAGGGTCCCATAATGACATCAATGTCCTAGACCGATCACCGCTCTTCAAGAATCTCTTGAATGGGCAAGCTCCGGAATGCGAATATACGATAAACGGCCACGTCTACAAACAAGGTTACTACCTCGCCGATGGGATTTACCCGGATTGGGCTGTATTCGTGAAGACTCTATCGGAGCCTCGAGGACTAGAGCAGAAGCACTTCGTCAAAATGCAAGAGGCTCGCCGGAAAGATGTCGAGCGGGCTTTCGGCGTTCTTCAAGCTCGATTCGCAGTTGTAGCTCGACCGGCACGGGGCTGGAAGCATCGGAACCTCTCGAACATCATGAAAGCATGCATCATCCTCCACAATATGATTGTGGAGGACGAGCGAGACTCATACCTGGAATACGTTTACGATCAAAACCCAGCTGCCGTTATAACTCCGATTGACGTAGTCCGAGACCGCCCCATCTCTTTTGCTGATTTCCTCGATAACTATCAAGCGATGAAAGATGTTGAAACTCACCTTCAGTTGCGACACGATCTCATTAAACACCAGTGGGAAGTGAAAGGTAGACAGGAATAAGTACACTTTTAACTTAACTTGTTATAGAAATACACACGGCCCAATTCCTTTTCTTTTCTGTGTTCAATGAGACACAAAAGTTCATTTGCTTGTTATAGAAATACAAACAACCCAATGCCTTGTCTTTAAACCACCCGATGCCTTTCTTTATAGAAATACAAACGACCCAATGCCTTGTCTTTAAGCCACCCGATGCCTTGTCTTTAAACGACCCGATGCCTTTCTTTCTGTGTTCAATGAATCACAAAGGTCCATCTTCTCTTTTTCCTTTTTTAAGTTGTCAATGAAATGTGAGCAAGAAACATTCAATACTCATTGAAATTGAATTTGCTTGGGAATCAAAATTTCATTTTCTCTTGTTAAGTCAGAGTTACAAAACAAAAAACATGTGAAAAGAAATTCTCAATTGATTGCAAGATGAAGATGAAAATAACAAGCATGACCAATCCAGTTTTTTTCTTCTTTGAGTTTGAGTTGGAAATGAAAAAAGCGAGAATAGAAAGATGGAATCGGTGTGATCGGCAGTTGTTTTCTTCTTGGAGTGTGAGTTGGAAAAGGAAAAAAAAGCGACAATAGAAACATGGAATCGGCAAAATCAATGTGGATTGATCGAAAGAAACTAAGTGGAGGAGTTGCGTCGAAGATCACTTAATATTTGTTTTTTTTTTAATCTAAAATATTCTTTTGAATCATCATCGAGGTTGGATAAATCCTTGTCCATAATTGATACCTGAGCGTTGTGTTCTCCGGTCTGAGCCATCCGGTCTAAGGTCTTTGCTTCCAAATCGAAAATATCATTCTGTCGTTTCGTCTCGTTTGCGACCGACTCATGAGCGCGAGCAATCATCTCCTTCCAAGCCTCTTCCTTACTTGCGAGTTGATGAAGAAACTTTGCCTTCTTGTTGCCAATCGGACGTGGAAGCGAGGAAGTGTCCGTTGAGTTGTCTTCAGCATCCGTAACATCATCGGGATTCAAAACCGATGAGGCGGGGGCATCGCTACTCGGGCTTCTAGCTCGCTTCTTTTGAGTCGATGATCGGTTTTTTTTGCTGTTTTCGTCTGTGTAGGTGCTCCATTTTGGGACTTTAACGAGAATGTTGAAACATCGAAGGTGTTTGAATGAGGAGCCCTGGTCTTTGGAGAAGAGTTCAAGAGCCCGGTTAAGGCAATCTTCGGCTGAAGCACCACTCTCTTCGTGTTGTTCGACCTGGTTAACGAAGCCTCGGAACTTGCTGATGACCTTCTGCAATGCTCCCCAATGAGCTTTCAAACTGCCAGGGGTTCGACGCGCTTCCGGAAGTTCTTTTGAGAAAGACAGGTGGACCCGTTTCCAAAACGTCGCGCCATCTTGATTAGTACCAATCAGAGGATCCTCCGATATAACGATCCAGGAACGACAAAGCTGGACATCCTCGGCTTCCGTATAGCTGGACGACCTCTTGGTTCCCAGCTCGTCTCCTCGTTGGCTTTCAGTGACCTCGCTGGTTTGTTGGCTTGGTTCGATATGGGCTTGCTCGCTTCCGGTGTCTTGAAGGAGTGGGTCGAGAGGAACTGCTGGGGCCATCTTGATGTTTGCGGTTGGAGGGAGGGTGTTGTGTTGGATGGGCGGTTGGAGGGAGGGTGTTGTGTTGGATGGGCGGTTGGTGTTGTGTTGGATGGTGGCTGGAGATATATGTAGGTATATATGTGGTGGGTGTTTGTGGATATCGGGGGATATAGGGAGGGGATGGATGGGGGAATCACATAAAAAAATTGTGATACCCTTGAGGCTGGGTTGCTATCGGGTTGCTATCCTGATGCCAAATTTGGTATCAGGATAGCAGCCGAGAGGCGGGTTGCTAAAAGTTTTGGGTGTTTAGCAGCCGCGGTGGAGCTGCTAAACCGTGTTTGCGCTGCTAAATCTGGTTTAGCAGCGCGGTTTAGCAGCCGCGGTGGAGATGGTCTTAGGGCAGTTCACGTTCTGCTGATGTTGACCATCAGCAGTTGAACCTTGTTAGAATCCCTATCTTAAGGTTTATGGGAAAGCAACAGGGTTTAGTGGGAGACTCCCCTTTGGAGTTGAAATCCCACAATTAAAGTTCACAAAGTTTGTGCATCAGCAAACAAACCTTGTGCCACATCAGCAGGATTTTTGGTGCAACGTGAACTGCCCTATTTAACTACTCAACTCCATTGCTACCTCAGAGTCAGTAAGTCGGCATTTTTCATTTTGATCTCCAACAGTCACTGTGTTTCTACTTGAATATTTTGAAGATTTTAATGACTGTTGTTGGCCACTCCAACTGTGGAAAAATGGGCCAATGCTTTTCATGATCAGTTATTCTTATGGGGATGCAGAATTCACCATCAAAGGGTTTCCTTTTTGTAACCTTCTGAGAGCCTCTTCCTGTTTCTCAATTGGAGGACTGTCAACATCTACAGACCCTACAGAATTAGATTTAGACATATTTACATAGACAAATTGAAATCAGATTTTGTGTAGAATGTTTGATTTTCTTTTCTTTTTTTTTTGTTCATCTTTTTACTTTTTTCGTATTTTTTCAGATTATGTACTTGTTGAAAAAAAAGGTTGGGTTTCATGCTTCCAGAAGGGAAAAAAGTTGCCAATTTTATTGAGAGGAGAAAACCCAACTGGTTTGATCTTTCCAGATTCTGACAGAAAGATCAAATTGAACATGACAGGAATTGTTCCCAAAATTCTCCGCACACACACTCCTAGAGCAAGTTTTTTCCAGAGGGAGGGTATGCACAAAATGGGTATGAATGGTTTCGGAAAAAGTACGCATGAAAGCAAGGGAGAAATTTAGAAACTCTTGAACAAGCTTCGTTGACTTTTGGTCTTGACAAAAGAACCAGGGAGAGATGGAATTTATTTACATTTGATTCCCTGCAGGTAAATAGGAGTCAAGACAAGGGGGAAAAAATGTCATGAGGATCCACAAACTGGATCTTGAAGAGATTGCTCAAATGATACTGTTTTGAGTTAATTGCATTGGGCTCACACCAGAAGATGAAAAACATTTGACTTGGGTTGAGAGGCCCAAGCATTTTATAATGGATAAACAAGTTTGAATATTTCTGCAAGGATAACTGCTACTTTGGGCGGGGGAAATTCATGCACTTCTTATATAAAATGCCTCACAAATAAATCTAGGATAACATCGGCTATGTTAACAGAAAAAGTCAAAATTACTCAGACAAGCCAAAAATACCATCAAGTCAAACTGCAGAGCTTGATCTTTATCTCCAGGGACTTTCAAGGTCATTGAATTCAATTTTTTCACTTCAGGATGATTTCCAGCCCTTCAAGTATTTGATAAAACAATTTTAACATGACTCTAATGACTTTGATCTGATTGAAGTCAGACTTCTCTACAGATGGCAGTCCTCAGCAACTATTGAGGCAAAATGAAAACCAGAACACTTGGTGCACATTTGTGTGGGAAAAACGGGTTCAGCACTGATGAGGGGCTCATCATAAAACTTAATGATGATCAGGTGGTGGCTTGGCGCCAAGGAGGTTGACTGGGACAACAAACCCTGTTAAGTTGAAGTTGCGCATTATTTATCCATTCTGAGGGATCGGTAACTCCAAAAAATCACCACTGAAGACAAAAATAGAAGGGCTACTGGTTGGGGAAAAGCTAGAAGCAAAACAGTCAGAGAGATTTGAAGGGCAGGCTGAGAAGGTATGTACCAGCTTGGACCAGCTTGAAATTGGTTTATTTCTTTGCTTGCATTTCACCAGATAAAATCCGGACCGTTTTCATCACCTTGCAAGTTTTTGTTTTCTGAAGTTGGAATGGATTTACTTTTTGTGTGCCCAGCAATCCGGGATGACCGGTGTCATCCAGTAGTTCCGGATGAGGTCCTGGGGGTCTCGTGAGTCCTTCCATCCAAGAAGCATGAAGCCATTGCCAAGAAGCCCTTCGGTGAGACGATGTGCTTCATTCCACCAGAGATGGGGAGAGGGGAGGATTTGTAAACCGGACGTTTCCGTGAGCTACTACGACACTTCAAAGCCACTCCTCTGTGATCTCGCTCGTGGCTGCATGCCTCCGTTCCATCAATCCCGATGGTACATGACTCATGCACGAGCGAAAGATGCCGATACCGGCGAAACGCGTCTGGTGTTTGTCTCAATAGGAATTCAATTGCGCTTCTGCGTGCTCATCAGGTGACATGAAGACCATAGCCTCTGGCAGTAAGGCGCCGATCAGACTCATCAGGCCTTGCAATCTGAAACTGAGCAAACTTGATCAAACTAGACCATCCATGAAGCACATAATCCAACCATTGCATGCCTGAAACACCTATAAATTTTTAGGTGTTTAAATACCCATACAGGAAAGGTCACCCGGATCTTTAACCATCCGCTCCTCACTCATTTTGACATTCATTCTTTTATCTTAGACTCCACTTGTCGGGAAGTACGCTGTTATTTATGAAATGATTTCTTCAAATCTGGTGGTGATTGTCCATTACCTACTCCTCCTTGCTCAAAGCTCACCGTCGACCGGCCGACATGTCTTGGAACGTAGGGATCCCGCCCTAACCACATCACCTTCAGGAAATTACGCGCCGGTGTATGACAAGTGCCCTGCACGATTCTACCTCAGAGAGCCAAATAAACTGACGAACGGACGGGTAAAAAGCATTTCCATGTCTCGAGCGCGGAAGAGGATGACCACTGACGTTACGTTGCTTGTGGAACCGATCATGACTTGCAGGCTGAACTCAGCGATGTGGAACGTAACTATATTACCGAGAAGGCTCAAAAGTCGATCAATCCTTGGCGGAAATACTTGGAAAATGTCAAGTTGAAAGACTTCGATATCAATTCATTTCTGCGTGAAGCTGAGAACCGGGGAGGTTTGGCTGGAGATACTCTTCCTAACTTTGGCCTCTCTCTGAGTGGTGGCGGAGGACGAGCACTTTGCCTCAGTGGCTCAATTCTTGAAGCATTTGATTCCAGAAATCCGAGGGCAGATGCAGCCAGAGTTGGCGGTATTCTGCAGCTTTCTAACTATGCGGTAGGCGTTTCTGGGTGGGTGGATTATTGTGATAACCTCAGACATGCGATTGTGTAACTTATCGATTTGCTTCTCGGAATATTCAATTCTTGTTCTGGCAGCGCAAGTTGGCTTCTAGGAGCTTGGGTGAGTAATCCGGCACACGAGGTCTTTCTGGTAGCAACGTAAAGCGTAATACTGATTGATGTTTTCTTCTATCAGGGCACATCCAATTTCCCTCCTATTTCTGATATGGCTCCCAAGTGGCGCTTATCCGAACAAAATGATCTGTGGGATTGGAACGTGGTGAAACACTATAGGAAGGTCTACAAAGTCGTCAAACAGAAGAAGCTGGCGGGCTTTGCCACAAATATCATTGAGTGAGTTATATGAACACCCTGGATCCAACATTGACGAATCCAGCGTTCAGAGGCAAGTAACTGATCATCTGATGAACAAACAGTGTCTGGGGTCGCCTTCTTTCTCGACTATTCATGTGAGGCCACAATATTCTTTATATCCGAAGAGATGATTTGAGGACACTGATTGTTGCTTTGCTATATATATATATACATATATATCTTTCTCATCTTCAAGAGATGACCCGACGCAAGAAGATCCAAATCAAGGCGAAGGTGTACTCTGGTCGTCTATCTCACAGACTCCCCTATACAAAGACCGGCAAGTTCCTTACGTCATTTCAGTCGCCACCAGTCGACCGGGCATCAAGGAAGATTTCACTCCTTATAGTCCTATCTGTATGTTTGACTTTCTAATTTTTTCTCAGTAAATTTATTCGGCAAGCTCAGATTAAAACTGATTGGAGCTGGATGATCTTTAGACGAGTTTTCGGCTGAAGAGTTTGGGGTTTTCCATCCTCGTCTCAATGTATCCATCCCGATGCAGTACCTCGGATCTCCTCAAAATTTGAACGGGGTTCACAATACTTGCGTCCGTGGCTTCGATAATGCCGGGTAAGTAATTCTTGTTGAAAAGTTCTTTTATGTCCACCGTCTAACGAGTGATTTTTGCACAGGTTTATCATGGGACTGTCCAGCAACATATATTCTATGATAGACTCGCCTAACGACCATAAGCCGATGGTTTTAAAGATAGTCGACAAGATCACTGATGATGATAACTTTGAAGGAAAGGTTCGACAATCTGCCTTCCTACGAGTCAGAAAGAAACTTGGACTGACATTGTAGATCACTCCCAGGTGCCTAATACATTCCAAAATTTGGGGCAAGTGCCAGAAGACGACTCGCCAGGCTTTCAAGACAACTCACGCGACACAATCTTGATGGCGGATTGTGGATTTATCAACGAATCCATACCGATTTACACCTTATTGCAGCCAGAGAGAAAGATTGATGCAATCATCGCTGTCGACGCAGTAAGCAAACTTGGCGGTTTTTTTTCTTTAACGGATGCTTGACTTGATCTGACAATCCGAAATGAAACCAGAGTACAGATGGTAAAGAGGCGGATCCTACCTTGTTAAGATGTAAGTTGATAATATTCTGAATAGTCAAATGGAAGGATCAGACAGCTCAGCCATCAATATATGTAGATCCAAATGGAACAGCCTTATTTTCGTCTTATTCGAGGACACTGCTCCCAATGTATAGAGGACGCCACATGCCAAAGTAAGAAGGTTCACTGATGAGGTACATCGTACTCACTCAACCCAAGATTGTTCTAACATTGGCGGCTATGTTTCTCGCAAAGGATCCCGAGTTCAATCAATGGAAGCTTTACCGACTTGGGTTATCACCGACGACCCACATTTTTTGGCTGTAATGACTTCCAGGGCCCTTTGATAATTTATCTGCCGAACTACTATGCAGTAGGAGAGACAAACCAGCCAACCTCGAAAACAACATATACTGTGAGCACTGGGTGTCAATCTGAGTTGAGGTAAACAAGGGGAGGGAAAAAAGTTGATGAGATTTCGTTCATATTAACAGCCCGAAGAGATTCAAATCTTTTACGAGAATGGCTTCGCGATAGCCACCCAGAATGCCGGACCCACCAGGAATCCAGACTGGCCAGCGTGTCTGGCTTGCGCCTTGATCGACCGCCAAGTTCTGCGAAATTCGGCTTCCAGAACGGCCGAATGTCAAGCTTGCTTCCAACAGTATTGCGCAAAGGATTAGGCAGAATTTCCCTCAAGTTCAACATGGCCATTGAGGTCTTTCTCTTTTGCGCCAGCACCTCTCACATAATTAAGCACTCAGACCACATAGAATCGATGGACTGATGAGAAATATGGGCCATCAGGAGATTTGACGATTTTTCTAGTATATACTTACCACTAACGTCGATGTTACTAAAAGAGTTGATCTTTTTCACATATTTCCCAACTGCTATCTGCAGATGGCAGTCATTTCTAATCCTTAAAAAAATCAAGTCTTATTCATCTCATTACGTTGTTATAATAGAGGGCTTTTTCTGTCCGATTCTTTCTCTACCAAAAAATGAATAAAGTCAGAAACATATTATTTGAGGAGAGAAGGACCAATAGCTGATGCTCTTGGACCATTTCAGCATCAATTTATATCAAAACAAGAATTTCAGGTTAGCTAATTTGATGAGGGTCACATATGGGAAATTTGTGTTGAAAAGACAAATTGACCCACCAAAAAAAATATGTAGCATGCATAGAACGTCAAAACTCTTGACATTGCGTTGGATGCAATTGTTTTCTTGATTTTGGGTTGATATACATATATGAGTCCTATCAATCAAAATATCAGCCAGAATCTCAGTGCAGCAATAAGACGGGTTGAATCTGGACGACAGATTCTTAAGATTTAACCAGCGTGGACCAAACAATCAATTAGCACAGCCCTAAAATTTCTCTTCAACAACTGGAGGAATGGTCAACAATAACACCATAATTGATGACACCCTCAGTGAATGGTTTGGGGTTGAAATTGAGGCCAGGCGATTCAAGCCGGAAACAAATCGGATTAGACAGTCATGATCAACATGAGAAAAAGCACAAGTTATTTCGACTAGTTAACAAGAGAACCAAGACGTGGTTTGTTTTTTCTTAAAAAAAAAGAAAATGAGAATTGTGTAGATAACTGATAATTATGAAGCAAAAGTATATAACCAGATGAATTGTGAGACGTCAACAAATAGATAGAGCAAGTGATTATGAAGATGGTCCGATAGGCTTGTTGAGTGTGGATTGGAGTCGGAACGGTGTAGATAATACAGTGGAGACGGATCATCAGGATCTCAATCGATTGGTATTTGGAGATCTGATTCTCCGGCTTGCTTCAGAGGCTGATCAGGAACGGCTCAAAGGAGAGGTGCATTCTTATGAGTGGTGCTCGGTTTGCCGAATTTACTAAATCATCCGGGACATAATTAGCATGTGTTGGATAGTACAATACAGAAAAAAAAAATCAGTTTTCAAGGAGTAGCAATTGTGATCTCTGCCCATGAAAACGAATGGCACCACCCTCATTTGACGCAGAGTTGTAATACGAGATATTGACTTACGTCAAGATAGGTAACGACTTTTTGGCGGCGATCAGCTCTCTATCTCTGCGCGAGATTGAGCGTCCAGAGGTGGGATTTTGATGTAAGTTGAGCGAGCCGATCGACGAGGCTTTGAAGAATTTGTGGGTCATCGCTCTCTTGGTTGGGCGCGGGTTACTGCTACTACAGCTTTGTCTGCTGGAGCTGGGCCTCAGCCGTCTTCGGTCGTCCATGAACTCGATACTCTCCGTGTCTTCGCGGTTCGGTGGAGTTGGGATCGACGAGCTGGAGGGCTGGATCGATGATAAGCGAAGATGGGTTGATAGATTCGCACGAGGACTGCCACAACTCGTCGGTTCGATCATTTTAGATCTCCTCCCATTCGAAGGGGATCTCAGTCGTTCTTGCTGACTATGTATTGGTACATAAAACCAGGGTGAGCAAGATCGTCAGTAAGCAGCTAAGCAAGCTTCAGCAACATGATATATATGAATATGAGAGAGACAATCAATCTGCCCGACGTACTGATCTGATGCGCCTATCAGTATCTGATCACGAGCTGGCAAGTGAGAAGGCGTCTGGACTGCAACTTCGTAGGCGGGGGGCAGGTTGCTGTTTATCCTGTTATCTGGCGGACCATCTGGCTGAAGCTCATCGAGCGGAGATTCCTCCTGAGGCGGTTCTTCTTGGGGCGGTTCGTCTGCTTTGTGGGGTGAGGTGTGTTGCGAGTGGACCAGCTTGATTAGAAACGATCTGGCGTTCTTGAGGGATGGTGGCCTCCATGAGGACCGAGCGGGACTGGTTTGATGATGATGATGGCCCATTGTATGTAGAGTTCCTGGAATCCGACGTCTTGAGGAATCTGACTGGACGGTTTGGAAACTGTGGGTTTAAGAGGTTCCCATAGGACGAGGATCTACGGATGCCCACGATAAGCGTCGAAGGAGAGATTTGATAACGGCACGGGATTTATGTAGAAGGCGGAAATCCTGGCGAAGCGGAAACAAAGAGAATCTATTAATCCTACAAGCACTGGGTGATCGATCAGTCGAGTACAAAACAATGCGTCAGACTCCTCATCCAACAAACCGACCAAGATATAGGGAAGAGGTTTTCCCTCCCTCCTCCCTGTGTCTGAAATTAGATTAGTGTTTGGGGCATGACTGGACAGAATACGATGTGTACCCTTACCTTAATGGCAGCAGAAGGAATCAAAATCTGCAGCTTATGAGAGGGGGTGGGCGGATGTGGGAGGGAAAAAAACAACAACACTCGGATTTTGCGGGTTTCGCAGCGAGACTGCAAATGTGGAGGAATCAAGTGATGGGTGCCCGCCCGTTGGTGAAGTCGCCCTAGATATGTATACAAAATATAAACAGATATTCAAAAGTGGGGGGGGGAGGGGGGTCTTAAGAGTGGAGAGCTCGAGAGAATCAGAAATGATGCTCAAATTCTTCAATCAGAAGCATAGTCTATGAACCCATGTTGTCAATGTGTGTAGGTCTGTAGTATTTATGTAAATAACGTGCGAAAATTCGGTTATAAGCTTGGCTTGGTGAAGCTCGGTTGAAAGTGTTGAGGAACGCTTTCGTGGGCCAGTAGCTGGTCGCTGGAACTTCTGTTTGAGTTGTGATAGTCGTCGTCGGCGGCGGTGGCGGCGGCGGCAAACAGGCAGTCTAGTCGGATTGGACTTGCTTGTAAAAAAGCAGATCGAAATTATCTATTGGGAAGGATCACTAGCTGGCCTGTGATGAGCTTTGAATTATTTGTAACACTAACATCTCCTACAATAATTAAGAGCCTGTCCATAACCGATCACAGCTGCTCACACACACCTCGGACTACGGCTCGGAGGGCGCATGAGTCACCGGCTGTTGTCAGGCCGCATGACCCTCACTAAAAAAACTCATGGCAGTCTGACGATCAAGTGATCCCGGTTAAGAAAAACTATCGCACTCTGTACTGCATTCCCAATACAAATACTTCCCAAATGTCGCGTGCATTTTACGGCTCCGAAGGTCGCGGGGAGTCCACTCTCGATCAGTGGTCACCGCCGCCACACAGTCATTTCCGGCCCAAAACCAAGTGGATCAAAGAGTGCTTTTGTTGATGTCAGTTGTGATCACCCTGATCGATCGCCAGGGTATGCCTATCACCCGTGCCGAAACGCGGGTATGTCTTTATTTGCTATGCACACTGACCGAGGCGAAGATGCTCTGGGTTTGCCGGTTACCACTCGTGCCGAATCGCGGGTATGTTATACGGACCATTAGGTATAAGGCGAAGAGAAGTACACGCGTCCCCGCTCAAAACAGACTCCAGCCTCAAACTTGAGCTCTCCAACCGAGGAGATATGGCGCCCTTCATGACGGAGCCCTCTGCTTGGCTCATTCAGGCCGATGTTTCAATCAAAGGACAGACATCTTTACTTGCAAGAGTTTAACCCTGTTTAGACCTATGTCTCAGGTTGTTTATAATCTTCTGAAGAGGCAGACATCCAGGCTTCGGACTCATTAACATTTGTTCCATAGATTTGTTGTAAGACTACCAGTATGCACAATTTGCATCTCCACCTTTTGCTGCACTGGCCTTCCTACAACTTCTTATATTTCATACAAGTTGACCAATGATGATTATCCGGGCCCATGTTAAAGAGATTCCATTTCAGCTAGTTAGTATGTACGAGTGTCCTCTAATGAACCCCCACCCTTCAAGACGAAGAAGGTGCACCATATGTATTTCTTGAGCTTCTGAACCTTCCTTGTGCTTCGGGCTGAGGCTCTTAACCTCTCTTAACCCCTGTCGTTGCTCTGTACTATCCATTCAGTCTCTGTGCCCTTCTGTCTCGGGCGCTGTCCTGAGTGGCCGCGCTGTTTCCTTGTCTTTCTTGTAGCTACGTCTTTTTTAGTTTCACAGTTTCACGGCTTTTAACAGTGCCCCACAATATACCCACGACACGTCCGGTTTCATCAGATCAGCCACTCAATCGCTCACCTTATACCTTCAATTCATTCAGCTTCTCTTCAGCAGCATTGGCAAGGAAGTTCATGCCAGCTTTGGTGGACAAAAATCGGTGATGTAGATGGAGCCTTATTGCTATCATGCCCTGGGCAAAAATTTGACGATCAACGTTTTCTATGTATCAGGCTACGATTTTCAAAATCTTTTCGAATGGCCTGGTGGTTGCTACTCGCCATGGTTAGCTGAAATGTCTTAATTTTTTCTCAAGGATGAAATCTGATCATAACCATTTCTATGCTGCTTTTTTTTGGCACCTAGCTGGCCGCGGGTCAATGTGTGGAATTGGAAGCATCTCAAGAACCCGCCCAGATGATTGGCATACGACAAATAGAAGCTGCTGATGAAGTGCACAGCTGTCCACCCTCATCAAGCCCACTTCCTTCAACAAGCCCTATTGAAGCTGAAACCTTGGGTGATTCTTCCGGTACGGCTCATCCTCCCCAAGACGCCGATCATCAGCTCTCAAATCAACAGGTAGGAAACTTTCATTTCACTTTCCAAATCATCGCTAATATGACCACTGTGGTATCTGATCACCCACGGCTACATACACTGGTATGGATGGCAGGGCCCACACGAGCTCGCGATTGCGATTTCCGATCCAGAACAAGATCAGGATTCTATCAAGGGCCCAGGGGAAGACATTTCAGACACTCAGACAGCCGCTTCAGACCATCAATCGATCAGCATCATCCCCAAAGCATCTTCATGTTCAATTTGTCTAGATGAAGAAACGGAAGGTGCAATGGCACGATTGGACTGTCCGCACCAATTCCATGCCAAATGCATCCGGAAATGGCTGATAACACGCAAGACTTGCCCGCAGTGTCGCCGAAAAGTGTCCGGAAGAA